CACCCATCTATCTCTTAACACCATCCATATTGGATTTCTATTTGCCATATATTTTTCAACTGTACTGTGATGTTTTACAAAAGTTCTGAACCTTTCTATTCTCATTGTTTCTACAGATTGTAAATTGAAAATAAACATTTTTGCTAAAAGTATTATCATATTATTGATCGATTGACTATGACTTTTCAGATCACCCAGTAATGCTATCTGCAGGGTTAGCTCCAGGTAAATATTGCAATCCTTTAGCCATTCCTGGACCTGTGTCCAAAAACAAGCTACAAATGGACAGTACCAAAACAAATTACCTAATGATTCTGTCTCTTCGCAGCAAAATCTGCAGAGCTGGGAAGATTGTATCCCCCATATAAATAACATTCTATTGGTAGCAAGAATTTTATATAATAACTCAAATTGAAAAATTATATGTTTTGAATCCGGCGTCGTTTTGCGTATCAGTTCATAAACACTATGCCATGGGATCGGTATGTCAAAAATCTCTTCCCAACTATTTTGCAATCTATATGGGATGGCTGTCAATCCTTTGGTCCTTAAATGAAACTGGTATACTTTGTTATTTATCACAGTTTTCTTTAACCAATTATGTTCTTTAATGCAAGGCTGACAGACAAGTTCCTTACATTTTCCCCCTTCCACTTTCCTCTTCCATTTTTGCAGTAATGCTGCAATTATTTGGTTGTAATTTTGGGCAGAGCAGAAACTCTGGTCTTTGTGGGAATTGTCTTGGCAGGCTGAGCTGTTCGTATCACAACTCGTCACATTTCATGACAGGATGACAGGACGCAGTTGGCTGGGACTGTTTGGGGTACAACAGTGTGAAAAGTATACACTTTTTTTTATACACATTTCTTTGCTTCAAAGACAGAATCCAATGGAAGTATTTTAGATGCTATTATTCCTCCCCCATGACCACCAGTATCCTAACAACAAGATCAATTTAAATATATAAACTACATTAAACTATTTGACTGGTAACATGAACCATACATTTCCAGAATGTCATTATACTTATATGAGTCACAAGGTAAACAAACCATCAAGCTCATCCTGGGTTAAGTGACAAACAAAATAGGAGTCACATAACAAACCCCCTTCTCACTGTCATAACACACACACATGCACACGGACACACGCACACACTGTCATAAAATCAGTGCAAAAGTGCTTGATAATGTGAGAGGAAATGGACACAATGGGAAAAGCGTGACTGCCCAGTGAAAGTTCAAACTAAAAGAGCCGGCACTTTCCATCATAAAACCATCCATGCTATTGTCATGGAAAACATATTACATTTTGTTCCATTCAGAATTTGATGACAAAATCTATTTTAAAATGGGAACTTTAAGGTACCCACCATGGGATCTATCGTAATACATTATGAACGGCTTTGCTTATCAGACTGAAAAGGTTTAGATGAGATTAGATAAACTGATTGAGAGATTAATTGATAAGAATTGAGATTTGAATCCCTCATACAGTAGCAGTAGCCTAGTGTAGATGTGGCTGAACTGGAGAGAGGCTCATGACTTGGCTTATTCTACAGGTCCATTGGTATGCACAGAGTGAGAGAAAGAGAGGGGAGAGTGTGTGTGTGTGTGTGTGAGAGAGAGAGAGAGAGAGAGAGAGAGAGAGAGTAGAGAGAGAGAGAGATAGAGAGAGAGATAGAGAGAGAGCGGAGTATCGGCTTGGATTGGTACTACATTGTAACTGATGCTTTGGCATATTGTAAATTGTTTCCATTTCATTTTCCCTTTGATTGAATTTAACTATTGCAACAGTTAATACAAACACTGTAATAAAGAAGTCTTGTATTCTTAGGAACTTTGGTGAGGAAGGGTTACTGTTCATTTCATTTTGTTTATTCATTTTTCACTTTTAGTTTTTTCTATTAACTGTGATGCTCACTTAATTAAGATGAGAGAGATCAAGAAAAGAGTTTCTTTTGGAATACGAGAGTGAGAAGTAATAGAGATAGTAGTATCAGAGACAGCAATAGTAGAGATATAGATATCAGATATAGGCGATAGCTCATGATGTACGTCTTACCCAACTATATGATCACTTCTCTCAGCATTGTTGCATGGATCTGCCTCCCTCACGCAGTTCTTTTTTCTTTATTGCCCTAGCTACCGCTCATCCAGATAGAGTTAGGCAGTCTCATAGAATTACAAAAAACTATAAGCGAAGATATATAAAGCATATTAATAGTTACATAACAAAATTCACTATGATGTAGATATTACATAATAAAGATAGGATAATATCTGATCTATAATACTCATTCGACATCTCCTCCCTCTCTCTCTCTTTCCTCTCTATTCGTATGCATCTTCCATCTCTATCTCTCTCTCTATCCTTGCATACTATCGCTCTTCTCTCTTCTCTTTCTCCGTCTTCCTCTTCTCTCTCTCTCTCTCTATCTCTCTCTCTCCTTCTCTCTCTCAGCTCTCTCTCTCTCTCTCTCTCTCTCTCTCTCTCTCTGTCTCTCTCTCTTCTCTCTCTCTCTCCTCTCTCTCTGCTCTCTCTCTCTCCCTCCCCTCCTCCTCGCCTCCATCTGCCCTCCCTCCACTCCCATCCCTCCTCCCTCCTCCCTCTCTCTTCTTCTCTTCCTCCCCTCTCGCCTCCTCACCTCACTTTCTTAATTTCCCGTTTCCTTTTTTTTTTGTTTATAATTGTTATATCATGAATAATGAGGAATAGATCTCCATGGTGACTTATTGGCTGGCCACATTACTCAGATTCTTCCAAAGTTTTTGACCCCACGCTTTGAACTCCCCGTTGGCCAAATCTGACAGAACAAAAGACAAATCTCTCCTCTGGGTTCAAAACTTAAACCCTGTATTAGTGATTAGTCACCCTCTCTGACCAAGCAGCAGCACAATGTGCTGTGTCACCGAAAGCCTTTGAGCCTATGGCTGTCTAAAATACAGCAAGATAACATGGTTGGCCCTAATAGTTTCTATGAAGCCCATATCTGTAATGCGTTATGCCCACACTCATGATGATGATGATTATGATTATGACATTATGAGCAATTCTATGTGTTTATACACTACCGTTCAAAAGTTTGGGGTCACTTAGAAATGTCCTTGTTTTTGAAAGATGATGCTGACCTTCTAGGCAGAGTTGCAAAGAAAAAGCCATATCTCAGACTGCCCATTTTAATCTTTTATTTTTATTGGCCAGTCTGAGATATGGCTTTTTCTTTACAACTCTGCCTAGAAGGTCAGCATCCCTGAGTCGCCTCTTCACTGTTGACGTTGAGACTGGTGTTTTGCGGGTACTGTTTATTGAAGCTGCCAGTTGAGGACCTGTGAGGCGTCTTTTTCTCAAACTAGACACTCTAATGTATTTGTCCTCTTGCTCAGTTGTGCACCGGGGCCTCCCACTCCTCTTTCTATTCTGGTTAGAGTCAGTTTGCGCTGTTCTGTGAAGGGAGTAGTACACAGCGTTGTACGAGATCTTCAGTTTCTTGGCAATTTCTCGCATGGAACAGCCTTCATTTCTCAGAACAAGAATAGACTGCCGAGTTTCAGAAGAAAGTTCTTTGTTTCTGGCCATTTTGAGCCTGTAATCGAACCCACAATTGCTGATGCTCCAGATACTCAACTAGTCTCAAGAAGGCCAGTTTTATTGCTTCTTCAAATCAGCACAACAGTTTTCAGCTGTGCTAACATAATTGCAAAAGGGTTTTCTAATGATCAATTAGCCTTTTAAAATTATAAACTTGGATTAGCAAACAAAACGTGCCATTGGAACACAGGACTGATGGTTGCTGATAATGGGCCTCTGTACCCCTATGTAGATATTCCATAAAAAATCAGCCGTTTCCAGCTACAATAGCCATTTACAACATTAACAATGTCTACACTGTATTTCTGATCAATTTGATGTTATTTTAATGGACAAAGAAATTGCTTTTCTTTCGAAAACAAGGACATTTCTAAGTGACCCCAAACTTTTGAACGGTAGTGTATATAGTTAGAACTTAATATGAGTATGTTTATAGTGTTAAAGAGCTGAACTGTCACATGGGCTTTTGGAGCAGAGGGACTGCTTCCTGCAGAGAAATGTTCCTCCCACCTCACGCTCTCCATCTGCACCGTGCTGCTGAACACTCCCTGCCTGCCAAACCTAGCCATGGACTCAAATATACACACACGCACGCCCACACACACAAACAAGTGTGCAGGCGTACACACAGGCACAAACGCAGCACACACACACACACACACACCCACAGCTTTACTCTATAGGTACCATCTACTCTAAAATGCAGCCCTGGTGATCTCCTGTATACAATATAGTGACAGAGATAGATCCACCTTGTGGTAGAGACCTTACGATTCCTTCCTAGTCTTCTTTACTCTGCCGATCACATTGGCTCGGCAAGGCATACTCCAGGCATATTGTAGGCCTACTCAGAAACTGAGAAACAGGGATCTCTGCCCTGAGTCGTCTTTACTAGTGTCTCTCTCTGCCTCACTCTCTAGTTTTCAGCACAATTAAAATAACTTTACAGGATTGATTCTACAAACAACTCAGTAGCTATTCTGTAACACAATCCAAACATCCCGATGATGAAAAACATATCTCCAAATGTTAAGTGTCTATTATGGCTGCAATCAAACTGTAGTTTTCCATATGTACAAAATGTACATAAAACCTCTGACACTTTTGTTTGTGTAATGTGGTTCCATTACACTATGAGGTGGCTCGCAGAATCATTATGATTGGATGACAACCCTCATCTCATGGTCCATTCTCTGTTCAACAATGATTGTCATAAGGACTACTGAAATGCCACTGTCCATAGAGCAGCTATTAAACTGGGCGGTCAAAGACAGCAGTACAATACTACTACAGCCATCTGATAACATAGGTCAGGATAATATTCAGGATAGCAATATTATCATAGTGATACAATTGTTGAATATCAGTGATTATACCATTGTAACAATCACCTCCGGTCCTATATGGAAATGGAAGCTGCGGGTGGCATTAATAGTTAACACACACCCATCTTATCAAGTGTTGTGTTGAAGCACAAAGACATAGTAAAGGATATCTTCTTACCTTTGCCAAGTGGGAATTGATCCATTTTGTAAAGGTCCTCTTCTGTACGGCCTCTTGTTCATCTGGAATTGAAGTGGTACAGTACATGGTCAATACATGATGTCGCACAAGAAACAAACATCATTATGTTGTTCTCCACAGTCACATGTATTTATTTTCCAAGCTTTAGCACAGAATATTTAATATGTTTTCATTTTTGCCATGGAAAAAATATTGCAATACTGGTATCCTCCGGGCCCTACTAAAGATGCACACAAAACACCGTTAAAAACCATATATTTATAATACAATCACATACAGTGCATTCGGAAAGTATTCAGACCCCTTGACTTTTTCCACATTTTGTTACGTTACAGCCTTATTAAAATGGATTTAAAAAATATATATCCTCATCAGTCTATACACAATACCCCATAATGACTAAGCAAAAACTGGTTTTTAGACAGTTTTGCAAAAAAAAAAAGAAACAGAAATATGACATTTACATTAGTTTTCAGACCCTTTACTCAGTACTTTTGGCACCTTTGGCAGTGATTACAGCTTAGAGTCTTCTTGGGTATGACGCTACAACCTTGGCACACCTGTATTTGGGGAGTTTCTCCCATTCTTCTCTGCAGATCCTCTCAAGCTCTGTCAGGTTGGATTTGGGGTGTCGCTGCACAGCTATTTTCAGGTCTCTCTATAGAGATGTTTGATCGTCCGGGCCACTCAAGGACATTCAGAGACTTGTCCCGAAGCCATTCCTGCATTGTCTTGGCTGTGTGCTTAGGGTCGTTGTCCTGTTGGAAGGTGAACCTTCACCCCAGTCTGAGGTCCTGAGTGCTCTGGAGCAGGTTTTCATCAAGGATCTCTCTGTACTTTGCTCCATTCATCTTTCCCTCGATCCTGACTAGTCTCCCAGTCCCTGCCGCTGAAAAACATCCCCACAGCATGATGCTGCCACCACCATGCTTCACCGTAGAGATGGTGCCAGGTTTCCTCCAGACGTGATGCTTGGCATTCAGGCCAAAGAGTTCAATCTTGGTTTCATCAGACCAGGGAATCTTGTTTCTCATGGTCTGAGAGTCCTTTAGGTGAGCTGTCATGTGCCTTTTACTGAGGAGTGGCTTTCGTCTGGCCACTCTACCATAAAGGCCTGATTGGTGGAGTGCTGCAGAGATGGTTGTCCTTCTGGAACGTTCTCCCATCTCCACAGAGGAACTCTGTAGCTCTGTCAGAGTGACTATCGGGTTCTTGGTCACCTCCCTGACCAAGGCCCTTCTCCCCCGATTGCTCAGTTTGGCCGGGCGGCCAGCTCTAGGAAGAGTCTTGGTGCTTCCAAACTTTTTCCATTTAAGAATGATGGAGGCCACTGTGTTCTTGGGGACCTTCAATGCTAGCAAAACGGTCTGAATACTTATGTAAATAAGGTATTCGTTTTATTTTTTATACATTTGCTAACATTTCTACAAACCAGTTTTTGATTTGTCATTATGGGATATTGTGTGTAGATTGTTGAGGAAAAACATTTATTTAATCAATTTTAGAATAAGGTTGTAACGTAACAAAATATGGAAAAAGTCAAAGGGTCTTAATACTTTCCGAATGCACTGTATAATGATTAGATATTGACAGATAAAAGTCCCATCAAAGTAAGAGTCCTAAGTAGATCAGAGTATAAGCAGAGGAGATATCTGTTCACAGCTTCACACGTCTTGCAGACTCACTGCTCAGAGCCCAACCCACCAATAACAGCATGCATACTCTTTCAGGTCACCCCCAGCCTGCGCCTTTGTGGAGGGGTGGATAATATATGCAGACAGACTCTGTGCCTCATGCATAATGCATTTCTGCTTTCACACTACACAAAACATCTGTCGCTATCATAGAAGAAAAGGGTGACTTGCATTGCACAGTGTTTGTAGTGCACTGAACACATACAGTGACATGTGCATTTGTGTCAGTAGGTTGAGGAATACTGCACACACACAGTGGCCATTTTTAAACATCCGCACTTAAAGTATACTCTCTGGTCTCGTGATGCTGGAGAACAGGGCTATGCTAACACTAGATAGCCTCCACCGAGAGCAAAGAACCCATATTAACCCAAAGGCATATAGTATAATCTAAAGGAGCATCAGTGATGCACATGCAGGGATGCCCAGTGAAGCATACAACAAACATAGTGCTTCATCTGGTTTACCTAGCTACACCAAAGCCTCAGTAAACTCCTTGTTATTTCTGCACTAACTAAATCCTCCTCCATATGCCTTACATCCATAGTGCCGCTGTGTCAGTATATTTCTGGTTCATGCATCTGGTTCACCTCCATATAAACCACAATCCAAGCTTGGTTCCTTGTTATTTTCCATATGCATTAACTAAATCATCCACTAAGGATGAGAGGGTGGGATGCAGTGAGAGATGATGATCTATAGAAATCACTGCTGCTGGCCTACTTACCGCGGAGATACTGAAAGAATCCCGTCACCAGGTTGAGAGAAGAGGTCTTTTTGACAGCTACATCCTTATAGTGAGCCATTATCCACACACTCTCCGTTGCCCCTATGCCCTTCACATTGTACGCTTGTTGTGAGCCTCTGTATGTCTGTCTGTCTGTGGGAGTAGAAGATGACAGTCCATCCACAGTGGAAAAAGAAACAGAGGAAAGAGGGAAAAAACAGAGCTGTTCCTTTCCCTTTTATTTCAGGCGGCAGGAAGCAAAACAGGTCTGGGCTGCCTCAGCCTGGTTGGTCGCTTGTTTCCCCGGTGACAACACAGAGCTGAGCTGATGGGGGCTGCCTGACTGCTGCAGGGACACAGCCTCAATCCCTTCCTCCCCCGACACCCCGACACACACCCCTCACACACACACACACCGACCAAACACACAGAGACCAGTGGAAACCCCTCTAATAGAGACAGATATGTACAATCTTTCCCATCCTTCCCTCCTCTTCCTGTTATTCTCCCAAAATCCAGAAGAGCTATGCTTGTGTTGTGTGGATGTGATATGTGGTGTGTGTGATGTGTGCACAGACCAGCCCCCGCTGCATTGTCTGCCTCCCTGCCTCCCAGTAGCCCTACCTCCCTCCCGCAGCAGCATCCGTCTGAGACAGGAGCAGGGGGGGATCAGCCTGGAGTTCTGCTCAACCAATCAGCACAAGGGAAGGCAGTGATGTCACAGGCTGCCATGGCTGCATTATCTCCTATTCAAGCAGGGTGTGTGTGTATGTGGGTGGGTGTGTGTGTATGTGTGTGTGTAGTGGGAGGGTGTGTGTGTGGGGGGGGATGTGTATGTGTGCGTGTGTGTGTGTGTGTGTGTGTGTGTGTGTGTGTGTGTGTGTGTGTGTGTGTGTGTGTGTGTGTGTGTGTGTGTGTGTGTGTGTGTGTGTGTGTGTGTGTGTGTGCGTGCGTGCGTGCGTGCGTGCGTGCGTGCGTGCGTGCGTGCGTGTGTGTGTTTTCATGTTTTCTGGATACAAGATTTAGATCTAATCTGCTGTAACTGTAACTATAATTATGTGGGACACTCAAACAAAGGAGTACTGTGTTTTATGCACTATTAATAATAACAATAAATGTGTGGCCAGCACAATGTTAGCAGTTCAGTTTGATCAAATTATATACAGTATTACACTAAAGTCTTCTAAGATTGAATTATATCAATGATATATATATTACATTAGCTTCCCTCCCACAAAGACCAGAATAGTATTAAGACTATGCTACAATAGCCCAGCATGGGACAACAGTTCTAAATAATTGATTTCATAGCTGGTAGATGGCATCAGCCACCTGCTCTCTGACTGTCAGGGCTATTGTTGTGAGACCAAACTAGATACAGTACCATAGGACTCCCCTAGGGCTTCCCCCACAGGCAATCAAGTAAATGAATGCTCTCTGTTGAATAACAGTACCTCAAAACGAGCCTACGATTGTCATTCTACAATGTGAAGGCAATAGTTATTAACTATTTTTATCTGTAACTTGTTTTATTCGAGTTCAGACTATTATTTCTTATTTTAGGTTCAAATGTTCTCTTGAACTCTTCAATTCTCGTTTACCCTTCGTACATTGTGCAGTACTCATGCCTGCAGAATGAATTTTCATGTGGGGACAATAAAATTGGAATTGATTGAATTGTAGGGGTATTTGATAGCTCCTGCCTGAATTTATGTGAATACAGTTATTGTCTCCCTCTCCCAGACGCCCACTTTATGACATAGCTGGAGAAGTCTCAATAAGCCTATTGTCTGACTGACTGTGGAGAGAAACATTGGACAAGAAACCAGTGACAGGACAACACACATCTGAGTCCCTTTAATAATGGATACCATTTTTATGTCTCTGTGTCCAGTACGAAGGAAGTAAGAGGTAGTTTCGCAAGCTAGTAGATACCCATAGACTTCCAGTTATTGCGCTAACGCTAGTTAGCATTGGCTCGCGAAACTACATCTAACTTCCTTCATACTGAAAACAGAGACATTCATTGCCAAAATCCCAAAGTATCTCTTTAAAAAACCCTCAACAATGTTAAAAATACTTACAGTAATCTATCCTAAAGAGTTAGCAGCAATTCACTTTTGTTTGGGGAAAAAAGTCTAAATCGACTACCATAACTTGTCCATCCTATGAGTCGTCACTAATGTCAGGCACTAATGTTGGGCGATTAGGCCTGGCTCACAGTCGGCATTCCAATTCATCCCAAAGGTGTTCGATGGGATGAGGTCAGGGATCTTTGCAGGTCAGTCAAGTTCTTCCACACCGATCTCGACAAATCATTTCTGTATGGACCTCGCTTTGTGCACGGGGGCATTGTCATGCTGCAACAGGAAAGGGCCTTCCCCAAACTGTTGCCACAAAGTTGGAAGCACAGAATCGTCTAGAATGTCATTGTATGCTGTGGCGTTAAGATTTCCCTTCACTGGAACTAAGGGGCCTAGCCCGAACCATGAAAAACAGCCACAGACCATTATTCCTCATCTACCAAACTTTACAGTTGGCAGTATGCATTGGGCCAGGTAGCGTTCTCCTGGCAACCGCCAAACCCAGATTCGTCCGTCGGACTGCCAGATGGTGAAGCGTGATTAATGACTCGTTTCCACTGCTCCAGAGTCCAATGGCGGCGAGCTTTACAACCCTCTAACCGACGCTTGGCATTGCGCATGGTGATCTTTGGCTTGTGTGCGGCTGCTCGGTCATGGAAACCCATTTCATGAAGTTCCCGACGAACAGTTCTGGTGCTGACGTTGCTTCCAGAGGCAGTTTGGAACTCGGTAGTGAGTGTTACAACCGAGGACAGCTAATTTTTACGCGCTTCAGCACTCTGCAGTCCCGTTCTGTGAGCTTATGTGGCCTACCACTTCGCAGCTGAGCCATTGTTGTTCCTAGACGTTTCCACTTCACAATAACAGCACTTACAGTTGACCGGGCCAGCTCTAGCAGATCAGAAATTTGACAAACTGACTTGTTGGAAAGGTTGCATCCTATGACGGTGCCACGTTGAATGTCACTGAGCTCTTCAGTAAGGCCATTCCACTGCCAATGTTTGTCTATGGAGATTTCATGGCTGTGTGCTCGATTTTATACACCTGTAAGCAACGGGTGTGGCTGAAATAGCCGAATCCACTAATTTGAAGGGGTGTCCACATACTTTTGTATATATAGTGTATTATTGAGCCTATATGGTTCATCCTTCAGCTAGTACACTATGTTGTTAGACACTAAAAAGAGAGCATAAAGACCAAGGGGAAACTCAGTGACATTAGGGCAAAATGGTGTGTCCAAAGTCTACTTTTGTATATAAAATGTATCTGGGACCAGGCTATTACAGCCCCACCTTCCTGAATAAAACAACACAATAGAATGAATATAGTTTAGTACATGGTAGCTTGTCATATGCAGCACAGAAAGGCCTTTATTCTTTCAGGACCACAGCAGCTATTCTTCTAAAAGCTTTTTTCTGACAGACTATATATACACTAAACTAGTTCTCGTCACACCGTTTCAGTACTACAGTACAGGACCCTGTTAGTCAGGCAGTCCTGACTGAAAAAGCTTTTAAAGTAAAAATAGAACAAAAAAGTACATGCATTGCATGTTTCAGGTATTGTGGGCGGAAAACTCATACGGTTTCTCTGAATAAACTGTACCATAATCTAGTGTATGAAGGAGCTGTCCAGTCCTGAACTCAGAGGAGGGAGTTATTGTGCTATTTTTGTTTAGGGGAATCAGTAGGCTTATGCTGTACAGGACTATTCTAAACCATGACAATATCTACTGGGTATGTATGAAAAAAAGTATGAAAAATGTATGCACTCACTAACTGTAAGTCGCTCCGGATAAGAGCGTCTGCTAAATGACAAAAATGTAACTGTTATCAGTTCACTTATAGCCGGTCTCGTTTTTTCCAGTATTATATATTAGACGATTCATTCAATTTAGTTTGCCGTACGGTAGGTAAGCCCTACAATAGGGATGTAACCTAAATAGCATTGAAGGGGATAGACCCAGGAGCAAACACAAATACCATCAACCCCAGAGTAGAAGTCATTTACATGAGTGATGTAGCACTTAAAGCAATCTTAGGACATGATGATACCTTTGGCAAGAAGCACGCTGTAGTGTAGTTCGGCTCCAGAGGTTTCTGCAGGTCACCAGGGACCACTGTAAAACCCCACTCACTCTGTTGCTCCATTTAGCTGAGAGCAACAGTAATTTGTAGTCCTGACAAGCATAGAATAATGATATAGGGCTATAGGGCTTGGAATGATTCTGCACTTGGACCTCAACCAGTCAAGTTTGATAAGACAACGTCTGAATTTGCACACGAAACAGTGACATCTGGTGCTTGGCTTTACAATGACAGAAAATAAGTAAATACATGTATTGCAATGATTTATGTGTGTGGGGGTGAGAGGGAGAGAGAGAGAGGGGGTGGGGGGGGGGGGGGGGGGGGGTGTGGTCAGCTGTAAGAGCTGCCTCCTCCTCTATCTCCCAGACAGTGTCAGCAGCAGCTGCCAGGTACTCTCAGGGCAGAGCTCACAGGCTCAATGATCTACAGCTTACGGTTTACAGCTTACAGATTGATATGATCTCATGTATGGAGACAGAGAGAATAATCACCACTCTCTCACATCTATAGAGGAGATGTGAGCCTATCAGTGGAGGCTGGTGGGAGGAGCTATAGGAGGACGGGCTCATTGTAAGGGCTGGAATGTAATAAATGGAACAGAGTCAAACGTGGTTTCCATATGTTTGATACCGTTCCATTTATTACATTCCAGCCATTACAATGAGCCTGTCCTACTATAGCTACTCCCACCAGCCTCCTATGGAGCCTATATATCCTGCCTATAGCCTGCAAATGTATTAATGAATGAAAATGAATGAAACACAAGACATGTCTAGTCAGAAAGGGCAACTGAGCTCTATATAGAGCCATTTAACATACAAATGTCACAAATCCTCAGAGCAAACTGCATCCGACGTGTTTGTGCTATGCTGATTGTGAGAGGCCAGAATGAAGTCTGGTGGGTGGGTTCTCTCTCTATGCTTTATCACTGTGGTTCCTGTAAGGGAGGGTAGTGATCACACGCGACATCCCCACCACAAACCCTTCACTGGCAGTGTTTCATCACATCCACCTTAGACCACCATCCCCAGACATAAAAGGGGAAACCACCATGGCTCAGTCAGTCATGTCATTCTGAACGCAAGAGCATCTGGGGTGGGCTGGGCCAGTCATGCACACCACTCTACTCTCTGGTCTCTCCTGGCAGTAAAAGACACATCAGTGGTAACCTGAGAGTCACCATCCATCCGAATGAGGCGAGGATCTGTTGGCCTGGGTGGATTCCATGGTGCTCTAGTCTAATGTTATGCAATGGTTCTGCTAAATGTTTGGATTATATGACATGGACAGCACTGTCTATGAATGTTCAATTTCAATACTTAGTCATTAACCATGCGCAAACTTGTTTCGGCCAAAGGCAGGCAGCCTCTCTCAGTGTGTAAATGGTATACAGAGTCCCAATGTCTGAGGCCAAATGTTTCCCAAGGGCAAGTGACAGAGAATTTATGTTGACTCTCAGGAAGCACTAATTAATTACCAAGCCTGCAGTTGGGCAGACTACAGGATAAATCTGGGTATAATTTCACATGGTGCTGTAGCATAGCGTACTAGACTTGCTTCCAGTCGAAGAGCCCAGTGGCCAACCAAAAAACGTCTGTCAGGGAGAGAATTACGTAAATCATCATCAAGATGAGACCATTCAATCCGTCAGTACCCCAACAGCCTGACAGAAGGTGGTAACTTTCTTCACAGGATATCTCCTTTTTGTGACAGGTCGTTGTGTTCCCTGTAAGTTCTGGGTTGTGTTCATAAGGCACCAAACGAAAGAAAACAGACAAACAGAGAAGGAGTACCTGGACGTTTTCTGTTGCATGACCTAATGAACTAGCTACATCTCCTTTGGTCTCCACAATGCACAACACCAACCTGAAGACTACCATTATGTTGATCTGTTACAGATGTGACCTACCTACCTACAGAATACCTCTTTCTTTCAGCCACAAGCTATGGAAACTCAGTAACCTCACCTACTGGTAGAGCTGGGTACTTTCTGTACAGTCATCGAATGGGGGCCCTTTCCAGCTTTAGAATGCATCCCAAATGGCACCCTATTACCTACGTGGTGCACTACATTTGACCAAGGCCCATAAGGCTCTGACCAAAAGTAGTGCACTATATAGGATATAGACTGCCATTTGGGACACAGCCTTGGTTGTGATTGAGGGAAGAAGAATGTCAGCAATGCAGTAGCTTATTAGGAAGTAGCCAATTAGGTGTTTAAAACAAATATTAGGGGTAAATATTATGAATGGAAATTTCAGGGAAAGAGGAAGGATAGAGAACTGCCTCTTGTGTCACTTCTGTAAATGTAGCCTACATTAATAGGCTTTTCTTCACTGTTGAGTTTACCTGTCAAGCACTCAAACATGCAGCTGGATGTCAAACATACAGTATAGCCATACACACTAGATTGTCATTGACTAAGCGTAGGAAGCTTTGCCTTGCACTGACATTGAGCCAGGTTAGCACATGCCCACTTCAAGCCTGGACATGCCTAAGCAAAAGGTTTGAGAGTAAGGTTTCAAACACAAACACAAACACACAGGCATACACTGGCACTCAAACATGCACGCTCACACACACACGCACAGAGAAAAGTTTTACAACTATAGATAGCCTTTATTATTCCCATGTTCAGTCAACATCACATCTTTCTCAAAGACTATACTTTATTCACTAAAATTAATTAATAAAAATACCAAACTTTGCACTTTACATCTCACGACCTATACAATTCAGACACTGTTCTGCTATGTATAGTTTAAGAGAGCATCTCCACCTCAAAAATGTCATGATGATTAACTCTTGAACGTTGTGGCAAAATTTAGATTTCCGCCTAAATAGACATGCCCAAAAGTAATTATTTTTCACGAGATGACCATAAACAACTAGTAATGCTGCATAGTTCTAGAAAGGTCTGGAACTCACCTTTCTGGTAAAATTATTTATAAATTGCTGAGGTGTACTCACGTTTGAGGACACAAGCTCAAGTACATAGTACAAATATTATGAACATTTAAAAAATCATATATATTTTTCCTATTCAACAAAAGTGGGAGAATGATAACTGAACTTTAAATATATGAACAATCAAATTATAAATGACTTACTATAAGATTTCACCTTTCTTATAACTGTAAAATAAATATGATAATATTTAGTGACAGTACAAATTTGGCCCCATTTCATTTAACTGACGACAGAGTATTTTCTGCCAAGCCTCCTCTGAGCAACGCAGAGACACCATTCGAATGTCTGCAGACTCGTTACAACTTCAGCTTTATGCACAAAGTGATTTAGTCCCTCTGTGTTTCAATTCTATAAAATTATTTTGTATTTTGTCATGTTGAGAGCTCTAAATACGGCTGAAAATATCACAGCGAGATGAAACCATGACTGCTGGAGGAAGAGGAATCCTCACTCAGAGGAAGAGGAAATCTTTGACTGGATAGGCCAGAAACCTGTGAAACCTGACACTTCAAGTCAGCTCCGCTGACAGTGTGGTAGCGGAAATCAGACAGATGTGGCTTTCTGGCATTATAAGGCACTGGACCCTGCGAAGTTCACAGAGTGCTTGGTACACCAACATGTCCAGAACCGCTCAAAGTCCCCTAAATCGTGCACTTAACCTCTAAGAGAAGATACAGTCCACTAAAATGGCAGGTGTTCTGGACTATTGGCACTCATTGTTTCTCACAATTAAAGGGATACTTCAAGATTTTGGCAATGAGCATGCTAGCAGATACCCATAGACTTCCAGTCATTGCTTTAATGCTAGTTAGCATTGGCTCGCAAAACTACTAACTTCCTTCATACTGGACACAGAGACATATAAATGATATCCACTAGTTCATCTGACTCTGGGGAAGAAAATTCCGAAGTATCCCTTTAAATCCACACTCACTGTTCAAATTTGACATAGATTAGAAAAAGCTCAAGTTTAACGAACAGGAAAACATCCTCCCAAAGAGCAGAAAGTTAGTTATCGGGCAGCAGTGGCACAACCACACACGTCTCATAACAGAGTAACTATGGTAAAGCACTACACACACACACAATAAATAGACATAGACATGGGCAGAAGTGGTACAACCACACACAGATATTTTATAACACAGTAACTATGGTAATGAGCTACACACACACACACACACACACACACACACACACACCCTGCTGAATCTATCAGTGACAAAACAAACACAAGTGAAGGTGCAGGTTACAAGCTCAAATTCGTTCCCAATTTGCTCCCAAACCCCTTTCCCTTGACCCTAACCCCTTTGATGTTTGCAGACCTGTCAGTTCCAACATTACACTGCTTTTCACCCTTCGGATCTGCAAACATGGACAGGTTGGGCCCAAGTAGAAGGGGTAGAGAGAGAATTGGGACTACAGAGACTAGACTCTCAATTCAAGGATGGATTTAGAATTTCTATGGGCAAACGTCCCACAGGTGAAGGTTCAAGTTACAAGCTAAAAACGTAGACTCTCAATTCAGGGATGGCCCCTATCAGGGGATGGTGGTGATGACCTGATGCCCTTGCAACAGGAGGGTAACACCAACAGAGAGACTTCCTGTATTGATCTGACCCCTTTCCAAGGACAGACAGGAATGGTATCAGGTTTTACCCATGTCCAGCACACTGACAGTGGATTTGTTACAGTCTTTGGGTTGGGCCACTGACTTCCATTTCAGGGAACATATAAATTAATCATTTTAGGACTGGCTATGATACAGGGAGTACACCAATGGTACCGTATGCACCATCCGACACAGTGGGGATGAGTCGAGAGAGTGACACCAATGCCTGGATTCCAGACACAGATCAAGCCTGTTCTTAGACTAAATTTGACTTTAAAGCAAGAATGCTTGTGCCCATTTGGTTGTAAATCCTCATTTATAATTTTTACAGTTGTCACGACTTCCGCCGAGGCTGCCTCCCCTCCTTGTTCGGGCAGGTTTTGGCGTTCGTCGTCACAGGCTTACTAGCTACTGCCGATCCCATTCTCATCACTCCACTTGTCATGTCTGGTCTTGTCAATCACACACACCTGGTGCTCATTTCCCTAATTAGTATTTGTATAAGTGTTCCCTCTGTTCCCCTTGTCTTTGTGAGTGATTGTTTCATTGTGAGAGCGAGTAGCTCGGTTGAGCTACTCATCCATTTGTTATTGCCATGGTGGAATATTTCCCTTGTGATAGTTTCGTTTTGACGCGGGGTGCGTTTTATTTATGTAAACGGAATAAACTCTGGACTTCTGTGTTTTACCTCCTGTGCCTGACTCCTTCATTCACACCTCGTCACAGAATCACTCACCCGCTGAATGGAGTCAGTAGGAGAAGACCGCATGCCTGGAGTTGTGGCAAGTGTCCAGGAGCATTTCTCAATGCTGGCCAGCTTGGGGGAAGCTATGGATCGGGTTCTTCAGGTAGTACAATGCCTGGAGAGGAGAGGACCCGATCTATCGAGACCAGCTGGTCAACCGGATCCAGCCACCTACACCCCAGCCCCTGGAGGGATCCAGATATCCCGGCCACCGCCGTTTGATGGGACGGCAGCGCGATGTAAGGGATTTCTGCTCCAACTAGAGCTGTATTTCTCCAGCATCAGGCTGGCGCCACTGGAGCGGGAGAAGGTATAATGCTCGTTTCCTGACTTTGTGGGAGAGCCCTGGAGTGGGCCAACGCGGTGTGGAACGAGGGAGGTGCCGCGTTGGAGGACTACGGGGAGTTTGCTCGCCTCTTTCAGGCCGTTTTCGATCACCCGCCTGAGGGTCGAAAGGCGGGCGAATGACTGGTCCATCTGAGGCAGGGGACGAGGACCGCACAGGACTACGCGCTGGAGTTCCGGACGCTGGCAGCGGGGTCCGGGTGGAACGAGCGGGCCCTGATCGACCATTTCCGGTGCCACCTAAGGGAGGACGTCCGATGGGAGCTAGCCTGCCGTGATGCCATGCTATCGTTCTCCCAACTGGTGGACATGGCCATCTGGCTGGACAATCTGCTAGCAGCCAGAGGACGTCCTGGTAGGGGTCTGCCGTTCTCACTCCGGACGACTCTGACCCCGAGCAGATTGAGCTGGGGGGAGCCGCCGGTCGAGAGAGCGCAGGAGGACAGTGACAGTGCCACTCTGGTGGCACGAAGGGACAATCAACCTCACGTCGCAGTCAACGTTCCTTTGGGTCTGGAGGCGGTAGGCAGGGTACTCACGCATCACCCCAGGTAACAAACAACCAAACTTGTTCAGAGCCCTTTGCAGCGCACTGTACCTTATCTATCTCCTTTCCCGATCACCTGGTAGTTTCCCAGTGTAAGGCGCTAGTTGATTCAGGCACAGCTGGGAACTTTATGGACAGGGCATTTCGCACGCCGTCAAGGCATTTCATTGGTTCCCCTTTCCATTCCACTCCCCATCAGAGCACTTGATAGTCAACCATTAGGGTCTGGGTTGGTTAAGGAGGTTGCTGTACCAGTCACCATGATTACACAGGAGACGCATGTTGAGCAGATCACTTTTTTGATTATTGAGTCTCCTGCTTACCCTGTAGTCTTAGGTATTCCATGGTTAGCCCTTCACAACCCCAATTTTTTATGGCCGCAGAGGGTTCTTATGGGGTGGTCGCGTGAGTGTCCAGGTAGGTGTCTAGGTGTTTCCGTTGGTGCGACCACGGTGGAAAGTCCAGACGGTACTCCCACCGTGCGCATTCCCCCCAAATACCATGATCTGGCATTCGCGTTTTCCAAGATGCAAGCGACTAAATTACAACCTCATCGGGAGGGGGATTGCGCGATAAACCTTCGGGTAGACGCTGTACCTCCCAGGAGTCATGTGTATCCCCTGTCGCAGACTGAAACGGAGGCTATGGAAACATACGTCCCTGAGTCCCTGCGCCAGGGGTACATACGTCCCTCCACTTCACCTGCTTCCTCGAGTTTCTTCTTTGTGAAGAAGAAAGATGGCGGTTTACGCCCGTGCATTGATTATCGACCACTGAATAAGGTGACGGTACGATTTAGTTATCCTCTTCCCCTCATTCCTTCAGTGATTGAGTCAATGCATGGGGCCCATTTTTTCACCAAATTAGACCTCAGGAGTGCCTACAACCTGGTGCGTATTCGGGAAGGGAATGAGTGGAAAAACAGCATTCAGCACAACCTCGGGGCATTATGAATACCTGGTGATGCCCTACGGTTTGATGAATGCTCCATCCGTTTTCCAGTCCTTTGTGAACAAGGTGTTTCGGGACATGCTTGGTCGCGGTGTGGTGGTCTACATCGATGACATCCTGGTGTATTCCGCTACGCGTGCCGAGCATGTGTCCCTGGTTCGCAAGGTACTGGTCCGACTGCTGGAGAATGATCTTTATGCCAAGGCAGAGAAGTGTGAGTTTTTCCAGCAGTCAATCTCCTTCCTCGGATAACCCATTACTACCACAGGTGTGGAGATGGAGGGAGATGGCATTTCAGCCGTGCGTAATTGGCCGACTCCAACCACGGTGAAGGAGGTGCAGCGCTTCCTTGGCTTTGCCAACTACTATCTGAGGTTTATTCGGGGCTTTGGCAAGGTCGCAGCTCCCATTACATCTGCTCACCTCAGCCCCGGTACTGGCTCACCCCGATTCATCACTACCGTTCGTAGTGGAGGTGGATGCGTCTGAGGTAGGGATAGGCGCTGTCTTATCCCAACGCTCGGGCACACCACCCAAGTTCCGCCCCTGTGCCTTCTTTTCGAAGAAGCTCAGCTCGGCGGAGCAGAACTACGGCGTTGGTGATCGGGAGCTGCTGGCTGTTGTCCGAGCTTTGACGTGTGGAGGCATTGGCTCGAAGGGGCGAAACACCCTTTCCTCGTCTGGACAGACCACCGTAACCTGGAGTACATTCGGGCAGCGAGGAGGCTGAATCCTCACCAGGCCAGGTGGGCCCTCTTCTTCACCCGGTTTAATTTCACACTCTCATACATTCCGGGTACGAAGAACGTGAAGGCAGACGCACTGTCTCGGCTGTATGACACAGAGGAGAGGCCCAGAGACAACACCCCCATACTCCCGGCCTCATGCATTGTGGCGCCGGTAGTATGGGCAATGGACGCAGATATAGCGCAGGCATTACGCACAGATCCATCTCCACCGCAGTGTCCAGCTGGGCTGCAGTACGTGCCTGCGCTTATCTGTGATCGTCTGATCTACTGGGCACACACAACACCTTCCTCTGGTCATCCAGGTATCGATCGTACAATGCGCTGCCTGACCGAGAAATACTGGTGGCCTACCTTGGCTAAGGACGTGAGGGTGTATGTTTCCTCCTGCTCAGTGTGCGCCCAGAGTAAGGCATCTAGGCACCTCCCAGCGGGTAAGCTACAACCTTTACCAGTTCCACAACGACCATGGTCTCACCTTAGTATTGATTTTCTTACTGATTTTCCCCTCTCCCAAGCTAACACCACTATCCTGGTCGTTGTGGATCGCTTTTCGAAGTCCTGCCGCCTCCTTCCTCTGCCCGGTCTCCCCACGGCCCTACAAACTGCAGAGGCTCTGTTTACTCACGTCTTCCTGCACTACGGGGTACCAGAGGATATAGTGTCCGACCGAGGTCCCCAGTTCATGTCTAGAGTCTGGAAGGCGTTCATGGAACGTCTGGGGGTCTCGGTCAGCCTGACCTCTGGATTTCACCCCGAGGGTAATGGGCAGGTGGAAAGGGTGAATCAAGATGTGGGTAGGTTCCTGCGGACCAACTGTCAGGACCGGCCGGGGGAGTGGTCGGTGTTCCTGCCATGGGCAGAATACGCTCAGAACACTCTCCGCCACTCCTCCACTAACCTAACACCCTTCCAATGTGTTTTGGGTTACCAACCGGTCCTGGCACTGTGGCACCAGAGCCAGACTGAGGCTCATACGGTGGATGACTGGTTTCGGCGCGGAGGAGACTTGGAACGCTGCCCACGTTCGCCTCCAGCGCGCTGTGCGTCGTCAGAAGGCGAACTGCCCTGCCGGAAGCTGAGCCCGTGGTTTGTGGGGCCGTTTAAAGTCCTGAGGAGGATAAACAAGGTTACATACAGGTTGTTACTCCCCCCTGATTACCATATTAACCCCTCGTTTCATGTGTCTCTCCTCAGGCCGGTGGTAGCTGGTCCGCTCCAGGAGTCTGAGGTGCGGGAGGTTCCTCCACCTCCTCTGGACATCGAGGGGGCCCCGGCGTACTCGGTCCGTTCCATACTGGATTCGAGGCGTCAGGTGGGGGGCCTTCAGTATCTCGTGGAGTGGGAGGGGTACGGTCCGGAGGAACGGTGCTGGGTCCCAAGGAGGGACATCCTCGATCCCTCCCTGTTGAGGGATTTCCACCGTCGCCATCCGACTCGCCCTGCTCTGTGTCCTCCTGGCCGGGGTCGGCGCACTGCTGGAGCCCTCCTTGTTCGGGCAGGTTTCGGCATTCGTCGTCACCGGCTTACTAGCTACTGTCGATCCCATTCTCATCACTCCACTTGTCATGTCTGGTCTTGTCAATCACACACACCTGGTGCTCATTTCCCTAATTAGTATGTGTATAAGTGTTCCCTCTGTTCCCCTTGTCTTTGTGAGTGATTGTTTCATTGTGAGAGCAAGTAGCTCGTACTCTTCCATTTGTTAGTGCGTTTTATTTATGTAAACGGAATAAACTCTGGACTTAGGTGTTTTACCTCCTGCGCCTGACTCCTTCATTCACACCTCGTCACAACAGTACTAGACTCTGCGGTACAGAAATAGCTCATCCCATTTCTGTGTTTGTGGAATCACACTTTCAGTCCTTTTCTAAAACTGAATTGGGTCGTTCCACCAAATGAGTACCTTTTGCGTCCCTTTGATATTTTAAGTAGAAATTGTGCACCAATATTGCATTTTAAAAGCCTGTTCTATTGAATGAAGTGCCCTTTAATATAGACCACATGGAGCATTCAATACATCTTTTTAATATTAATAAAGACTTGCTAAAGTGCCAAAATTCAGTATTTGTGACTTCTATTTGTGAATTCAGTATCTGTGACTTCTAGGAAGATTTTAACCCACTTAACCCTAACATTTCTCCAAGTTTTTAACATCATGTTTAATCCATGTTTTAATAATGAAAATGTAAAAAAGTATTATAATAATAATAATTGAACCTCTTGAGATGGGAAAACATGTTTTTTATTAAGTTGAACAGCTGCTATTTATGTCAGAATTATAAAAAATATATACATATATATATATGAAGTTACAATACCCAAAAGGTACTAATTTGGTGGAATAACCCAATTAGGCCTACTCTTGAGTCATGTCATACCTGACCTAAAAGAACTAGCACCCAAGCATATGCCAACCACAAAGTAACAACAAAGCAAAGTCCTGAAAACTGTGTTTAATGCTGATCATTAAGTTCAGATAGTAAAGACAAATAGATAGCTATGAAGCTTCATTGCAGCAAGCATTGGACTCCATGGCAACCAAAGTGTGAAATGCCTGAGGACCTTATCTCTGACACTTCTCCAAATAGCATTGCTCTACTTCTAGAAAACAAGACAGTGACTAAGAAGAACATATTTTTATACATACTGAGGTAGTGTCATTAACATTTTGTTTGGTTTAGAGCAAACAGGAAATTGTGTTTTATATCAATGGCACCAACCAGAGCTGTGTAGTATATGGCTCTGGCACAAACAGACACATTTACTGTATGAGAATTAATTCTTATTACACTATATTAAAATCAAAATGTTTACCCTTGATACACATTTATCTAGGGACAGCTTACAACAATGCAGCTCTTTGTAGCTCGGTGACCACTCCTATTATAGGAATTCTCTAAATGAATCTCATCAGTTACCTTAATTAAATTAGCAATTGCTTTAGTTAAAGAAAGACTTCAACAACAAGACAACAAAAGAGGTGCCTTATTCCCTGTTATAGGATGAATGGGTAGGCAATCCTAAGAAGAGGGAGTAATTCTCTCCATACCCTATCCCTCAGGCAGCACTGCAGTGGCAGTGCACACAAGGCTATTACAAACAAGACCTTGTATTCAGAATCATGCATATCTTCTCTCTGACAGTATTTCACCTAAACGTAATACCTCACCATGCACAAGTGAGGCATCTGAAATACTAACAGTACTTCCCACATACTGCGTGTCGCTACGCACAACTTCTGATCAATGGAAAACGTTGATTTCCGCACAAGTCAGCGCAGCATACCCTCCATAGGGTTTGTACATATCATCATCATGGTGACAGAATGCCAGGTATACCTTAAGCCCTCACACATTGTGTGAGTTGTGTCAGAATAGAATAGAAAATAACAGAATAGAAAAACTTGGTCTGTATATGTGTGTCTGGGAAAGTCTGCATTGTGCATTCTATCATGCAGGGGTACCTGGCAAACTCCAGACATGCAGGCACATGGCCAAGGTATTGAATCAGCATAATAGCACAGCAGCACAGAATGGATATTAACAGAAAGGTTTGTCTAAAATGGCATCCTATATCCTATATAGTAGGCTATATAGGCCAGGGAAAAGGGTGCCATTTTGTACGCATCCAAAGTACCAGTACCTCCATAGCACCCAAATGAATGAGACCTACCTTGCAGTTTTTGCATCAGGTTGGCAATGTTCTTGGAGGTTCTTCCGGACTGCCATGGTGAGGCCATATCGTTTTTCTGCTACTGTTTGGACCACAGCAGGTGATACACTGATGCAGACGAGACGACAAGAGATCATCCCATGTTACTTTTCTGAGGAAGGCATCCCCTCACGCCCCTCCTCTCCCCTCCTTTCTCTGACTCTCTCTCTGTTTCCCTCTCCCTCTGTCTCTCTGTCTGTCTCTCTCTATCTATGTCTCCTCCTCTCTCACGTTCTATCTCTGTCTCTCTCTCTCAAGCCGATTTTAGAGGCTTGATTTGGGCTACTGCAGCAGAGGGTCCAATCGAATCTCAGATTTCAGATAGGGGGATCAGCAGTTTTGCTACCCAATGGCAGCCGTCCTTCCATTCATTGTCTAGAGAGGAGAGAGATGATAAGTGTGCCAGTCAAGTGTGTTTCCTTGAAAGTGACAGCTATCACTGTCACACATGTATTAATATATGAATATGAACTAAATAAAAGCATTATTCATAGCTCATAAGGCATTATAATGTGCTTATAATGCATTATGAAGAGGGAAGGTAGGCTATTCATAGGAAGTGTTATCAAAACCCCTAGTATCTATAAATGAAATAGGAATGTGAAATCATGAGTCAACAGAAAATTCTCTATGAAAGTGACATGAAGTTTACAGTACGCCTACAGTGCATGCATCATCTGGATAAACAAAAAATGAAGGAGCTGTCAAAATTTTTTAATTTTGAGTCACACTGCAAACAACAAGTCATTGCATATTAATTCGCTATAATGTAGGCTCCATTAGGAGTTCTTGTCTCGAGCTATTGCATCAATTGGCTAGGCGAGAAATGTGCCTCCCCACATGAGGTGAAATAACTTAAAAAAAAAGGCAGTAGTAGTACTAGTAACACATTAGTAAAACAAATTGACACAAATTGATTAATCTAGTAAAAGAAATGTAACTAAGAAAAGTTGCACTAAATAGAGCGCTCAAACGTTTCTTACCACAACTGTCAATCCTGCAGCAAGCGCATGAAGCATCAACTTCAGGGAGGAAGTGTATGTGTGTGTTACTATGTTGCCAATGGTAACACTCAAACTCTGTAGCAGTCGCCGTATTTTTAGGTATAATTTTTTATGTGAAACATTGTAGCAATATTAAATAATATTTCAGTTCCTTGTAGTTTCTTGCTATAAAAAAATTAGAATATGGTCCTCGCGCTAAAGTTATCACGTAGTTATTCGCGCCATGTCAAATTGAAACGTCCCTTTCCTTACACTTTAGTTTTTTATGTGCATCTGTCTATAATTTGACTTCACTGCCATCTTCTGGTTTCTTGAAGTAATGTAGGCTATCTAGTTTGTCTGCCTTTCTGTATGGGCCTACAGTACACACTACACAGTGCTGCTTAGTAGTCCTAGTAATTAGCTACTACAATATACTTTAATTCAGAAAATTGTGGGAAACTGTCTATTTATCTAGGCAACCACTTTATACCAGCAATTCAGTGACAGCGGCCATAGATTATTGTAGCCTACATGGGAACCACTGCAGTTAAGGAAGGCTTAGAGTTTAGGGGGGGTGGTAGGGAGTAGCACAACAATTGAAGGAAATCCCAGCAGAGGCTGTATACTAGATAGTGTTCACTGCAGACTTTCTATTGGACAGTGACATTTTGTTGGGTTTTCTTATCATACATAACCCTGGTGAAACAGTTGCAAGACACTTGGAAACAATTAGATTATTGTGGGCCACAGAGGGTTGTGTTCATATTGATGTACACTATATCCTTACTGCCCCTATACCTTACACAATATACCCTTGTAACACTCTATATAACATGAAAAAGGCTCCTGATCTAAAAGTCACAAAGTTGCCATTCAAATACAAGTAAATCACAATATTTAATAATGGAGCCAAAGGGCCATTGTTCAAGAGGAACATTGATTGTCAGAGGAAGCAGCCTTGTTTCCCAGAGTTCTGCCCAACGCAGATAAGCAAAGCACAAGCTAATTTTAAAAAGTAGAGAGAGAGGCAGGAAGCATGACAGCAACGTTTCCACTATTGCAAACAAACTAAACAGGAAGAAATGGACCAAGCAGGCAGCCTGTCTGGGAAAGAGTTCAGTTCAATGTGCCACAGGGTTCTCACTCTATCAGCTTGGATGTGAACTACTTTTCTTTTCGGTATTATAATGGCGTTCAATGGAACAAATCCATTTCTGGATATACTAAAATCATTTAACATTGGTAAGAATTTTAAGCCTGCCTTATTAATATATATATATATTTTTTTGTATATATATATATATATATATATATATATATATATATATATATATATATATATATATGTGGATTCTATCTGAAAATGATTGCATTAGTCTTAAATAATAATAATAATAACAATAACAATAACAATAATAATAGTAAATAATAATATATGCCATTAAGCAGACGCTTTTATCCAAAGCGACTTACAGTCATGCGTGCATACATTTTACATATATATGGGTGGTCGCGGGAATCAAACAAACTACCCTGGCGTTACAAGCGACATGCTCTACCAACTGAGTTACAAAGGACCACTCAACTTCTGTGCAGGATGCATTTTACAGTACATGTGTTATTAAAGTTATTGTCTGAATTATACCTACAGTGCATTAAGTGATGTGAGACCATCTTTGAGTATTCGATTTACTACTGTCGGTTTTTCATTTGTGAAAATGTAAATTGTGGACCATAGAAGCAAGAATTTGCCATTTGAATATGAAAACTCAATTATCCAACAAGTGAGTTCCTTGCCACTCCATTTTGATCAAGCCCAACAGGCAAAACTGGTTGCAATGATGTCATTACAACCAAATACAGTGAGGGAAAAAAGTATTTGATCCCCTGCTGATTTTGTATGTTTGCCCACTGACAAAGAAATGATCAGTCTATCATTTTAATGGTAGATTTATTTGAACAGTGAGAGACAGAATAACAACAAAAAAATCCAGAAAAACGCATGTCACAAATGTTATAAATTGATTTGCATTTTAATGAGGGAAATAAGTATTTGACCCCCTCTAAATCAGAAAGATTTCTGGCTCCCAGGTGACTTTTATACAGGTAACGAGCTGAAGGGGCGTGCTCCTAATCTCAGCTTGTTACCTGTATAAAAGGCACCTGTCCACAGAAGCAATCAATCAATCAGATTCCAAACTCTCCACCATGGCCAAGACCAAAGAGCTCTCCAAGGATGTCAGGGACAAGATTGTAGACCTACACAAGGCTGGAATGGGCTACAAGACCATCGCCAAGCAGCTTGGTGAGAAAGTGACAACAGTTGGTGCGATTATTCACAAATGGAAGAAACACAAAAGAACTGTCAATCTCCCTCGGCCTGGGGCTCCATGCAAGATCTCACCACGTGGAGTTGCAATGATCATGAGAACGGTGAGGAATCAGCCCAGAACTACACGGGAGGATCTTGTCAATGATCTCAAGGCAGCTGGGACCATAGTCACCAAGAAAACAATTGGTAACACACTACGCCGTGAAGGACTGAAATCCTGCAGCGCCCGCAAGGTCCCCCTGCTCAAGAAAGCACATATACAGGGCCGTCTGAAGTTTGCCAATGAACATCTGAATGATTCAGAAGGAGAACTGGGTGAAAGTGTTGTGGTCAGATGAGACCAAAATCGAGCTCTTTGGCATCAACTCAACTCGCCGTGTTTGGAGGAGGAGGAATGCTGCCTATGACCCCAAGAACACCATCCCCACCGTCAAACATGGAGGTGGAAACATTATGCTTTGGGAGTGTTTTTCTGCTAAGGGGACAGGACAACTTTACCGCATCAAAGGGACGATGGACGGTGCCATGTACCGTCAAATCTTGGGTGAGAACCTCCTTCCCTCAGCCAGGGCATTGAAAATGGGTCGTGGATGGGTATTCCAGCATGACAATGACCCAAAACACACGGCCAAGGCAACAAAGGAGTGGCTCAAGAAGAAGCACATTAAGGTCCTGGAGTGGCCTAGCCAGTCTCCAGACCTTAATCCCATAGAAAATCTGTGGAGGGAGCTGAAGGTTCGAGTTGCCAAACGTCAGCATCGAAACCTTAATGACTTGGAAAAGATCTGCAAAGAGGAGTGGAACAAAATCCCTCCTGAGATGTGTGCAAACCTGGTGGCCAACTACAAGAAACGTCTGACCTCTGTGATTGCCAACAAGGGTTTTGCCACCAAGTACTAAGTCATGTTTTGCAGTGGGGTCAAATACTTATTTCCCTCATTAAAATGCAAATCAATTTATAACATTTTTGACATGCGTTTTTCTGGATTTTTTTGTTGTTATTCTGTCTCTCACTGTTCAAATAAACCTACCATTAAAATTATAGACTGATCATGTCTTTGTCAGTGGGAAAACGTACAAAATCAGCAGGGGATCAAATACTTTTTTCTCTCACTGTGTATCAACTTGATTGCTCCCTGCTTGTAATTACCTATTTTTTAAAAACCAGCTTTCCCGACTAGGACAGCATTGAACATTCAGTAACAGTTCACCTCAAATATGTTAACTTTAAATTTGGGAAAATCTTAAAAAGTTGTCTGATATCTTCCTCCTTTTCCTCCAGGGAACCTAGTCCTAGCCTTCTGTTTGTCCATGCTGATGGGCCTACTGTTTGGAGCGTTGATCTACATCCTCCTAACATGGCTGTCGAGACGCAGAGCCTCCACCCGGATTACCAGGCGCCCCAAACAGCAGCACCGCTCAGCCACCTCCCAGCACTTATACAACCCAATGGCCAACCGCCTAGGCCTCTACCGGAGCACCGTGTTCGACCGGCGCAGTGACAACAGCCTTGGAGGAGGAGGTATTCTAAGTCTCTATAGACAGCCATCGGTGGAGCCGGTTGGGCCACTGGGGAAGAAGACCAGCTCAGGAGCATCCACCTTCCGACCAGTGCCCAAGGGCAGCAGGATGGGTCAAGGTGACGGGGCTGAGGGTGACACTAACAACCAGGATACCTTGCCCCTTCATGACACTACTGCCACCAATTCATCAGCAGTAGATACTGCCTCCCTCATGCCAGCTCAACCCCAACGGAACTCTTTCTGGTTGGGCAACAGCAGTCTTAAAGGGTTCCTGCCCACACAGACTCCTCCTCCCACATATGACAGTGTCATCAACGCCTTTCAAGAGACATGCACCTGATAATGTCACCATATGCTGCCTGGGATACATAGGTTGACTGGTTATTACAGTATAGGCTTTACTGCAGGGGGCCTTTGGAAGAGATAGGTGCCCTGTGTTATAGAGAACTGTTCAGTTTTGAGTAAGGTGACCTTTGGTCCTTTGGTCCACCCTGCCTTCTATTCAGTCTGCTATCTAAGAAAACTAAATAAATAGATTGTGCTCTGACTGACCATAGGCTATGTTTATGTTGAAAAAGTGTGTGTATCCCAATGGAATCTATGTGCAAAAAGATGAAGGGTCGGGAGGATTGTCTATTATGGCCCACGTTTCTGTGATATGTTGATAAAGTTGTTAATAAAGTTTAATTATTATCAAATCAAATCAAATTTTATTGGCCACATGCGCCGAATACAACAGGTGCAGACATTACAGTGAAATGCTTACTTACAGCCCTTAACCAACAGTGCATTTATTTTTAATAAAAAAGTAAAATAAAACAAAAAAAAGTGTTGAGAAAAAAAGAGCAGAAGTAAAATAAAAGAACAGTAGGGAGGCTATATATACAGGGGGGTACCGGTGCAGAGTCAATGTGCGGGGGCACCGGCTAGTTGAAGTAATATGTACATGTGGGGGGTGGGGGTGGGGGTGGGGGTGGGGGTGGGGGGGCAGTGCAAATAGTCCGGGTAGCCATGATTAGCTGTTCAGGAGTCTTATGGCTTGGGGGTAGAAGCTGTTGAGAAGCCTTTTGGACCTAGACTTGGCACTCCGGTACCGCTTGCCGTGCGGTAGCAGAGAGAACAGTCTATGACTAGGGTGGCTGGAGTCTTTGACAATTTTGAGGGCCTTCCTCTGACACCGCCTGGTATAGAGGTCTTATGTCTTATGCAGTCTTATGTGATCTGTCTACATCTACATGTACATCTGAACGTTTCTGTGATATGTCTGTAGAGCAGAGGGATGATTTTCCATAAAAGCAACATTACTTTAAAAAATATATATTTCCGATTATTGCTAGAGAAATATCTTAATCTGTTCACCCACTGAGATCACCATTGATATTTTATTTTCTAATCAACTGATTTATCTCTGCAAATAGCATGTCTTTGGTTGCGATCCAGGTCATCATTATGGTATTTACACTGCGGGTCTCAGAAGATTGCTATATCATACTGATATGTTCCCTGAGATTTTCAACACTTCTCCTGGATTTGTGAGATCTGATGATCTGCGCAGCTTGACTACAATAAAGACAAACTGGAACGCACCCAATGAAGCTTACAGGACAATGAAAAACTACATGGCAACCGGCATTAAAGGCGCACTGAGCGTCAGCTGAAAGCAGCTTGCCAACGCGACTGCACTTTATCATAAATCTATGGTGGACAGCACAGATCAAGGATAGGCCAGCGACCTTATATTTGATCAAGTGAGTTCTGCATCTTGTTTGTGTAGGTGTCCTGCATATTTTGTCAGAATTTGAATTGGTCAGATAAAGGCAAACGAGCCAGGGTCATCATCCTTTTTATACTGGTTCCTCTCCTCTGATTCAATCTAAACGAATAGCGGTGGATGGGGGTGATGGATTCAGTCTAAATGCATTATCTTCATTCACTATGACAGGGCGATTTGATTGATTCATTGATTATCCATCTTATTGTAAATATGGGAAAGATAGCCGGTGGATACTGGACATATGTTGGGGTGGTGGATTATTCCTTTCGCGTAATGCCATTTAAGGGCTGATTCTTATTCCGTGTATTCATTGAAATCTACACGTTTTATTGAATCAGTATCGTGTTAATGACGTAACAGACTGATGTTCTCCGTATCTATGGAGACACGAACGCAAGAGTGTTCGGTTCAGAATGTTCAACGCAGTGTTGCATAGAGACCAGGATTCTAGACATTCCCATGTCATAGCCGAGAGCAATATTCATTTCAAGGTTGATGCACTGAATGGACAAGGCAGTGCTTTTCCTGTTTAAAGGATGCACCCTTTCGATTGAATCTAAATAGGCTATGGATAACTTGGAATAAAAAAGCTGTTAAACAGGAAAAGCCACATGTATTCTTTAGCTTTTTATTTTTCCTTGACACAGAATAGGATGTCTCCATGTAGTAAACTGAATGCTGTGTGATGCCCTGAAATTTTTCATTGATAGATTTTCTCTATCTGGGCATTAGGAATTATCTCACTCTTTAGTGCACCATCCGAATGGAAACATGGACACCACCTACAAAGGAGGAATTGTAGTCAACAATGTCCAGGAACTATGAGGTGAGTAACATGTAGGCTATTATAATTCTATTCTATTCTATGTTACAGTACCTGGTCATACATTGCCTAGTAATGTTGAGTTATGACCTGACTGTATTGGATGGTTTGCTAGGCCTACCTCTTGGAGAAACAACCTAAGCACTGTAGCCTACCTAATAAGTTAGAATAAAGCGTGGTATAAAAACACAAACAAAAAACAAACAAATAATCAAGTCAGTCAATGATACCCTTGAAGAAAGACACCAACCACTATATTCTCCTCCTCTGCTTACCTCCAAGCCTAGTCACTCAGTAGGGATGTTGGCTGCTGTGGAACATGGTCCCATCCTCTGCAGCGACTCCAACATCCTCTGCCTCTCCTGGAAGGGCCGGGTCCCCAAGAGCGAGAAGGACAAGCCTGTGTGCCAGCGGCGCTACTATGAGGAGGGCTGGTTGGCCACAGGGAACTGTAGAGGGGTGGTGGGCGTGACGTTCACATCCAGCCACTGCAGGAGAGACAGGAACACCCCTCAGAGAATCAACTTCAACCTGCGAGGACACAACAGTGAGGTGGGTCTTGTTCTTTTCCGAAACTGCGTTTATCTGCAGAATGAATCAAAAACACCTTCATATAAACACCCATATTTAAGCTGACAATCATCACAAAATAGCATTTTGTGTTAGTATGAAATAGACTATGTAGAGTAGGTGGAGGAAGTGGACTGTTTTGTATTTTCTCTCTTTCAGTGTGTGTATCCCATGTTGAATATGAATTGTATTCCACTTTCACATTTCTAGAGAGCCCCCTGTGTTTGTGGAGTGTAATAGCAGTTGCATACTTCCCTTTGCAGGTTGTGTTGGTTCGTTGGAATGAGCCCTTTCAGAAGTTGGCCACGTGTGACATGGAGGGAGGCATCTTCGTCTGGATTCAGTATGAGGGACGGTGGTCTGTAGAGTTAGTGAATGACCGTGGTGCCCAGGTAGGTATAAGATGCCCAGGTAGGATATTTTGTATTTATTTTTATTGGGAAAGATAACGTATTGGTGAAAACATTATGTAATGCTGGAAAGATAATATAATGGATGCATTTCTACTCTCTCCATCAGGTGAGTGATTTCACGTGGTCCCATGATGGCACTCAGGCCTTGATCGCCTACAGGGATGGGTTTGTCCTGGTGGGGTCGGTCAGCGGACAGAGACACTGGTCCTCAGAGATCAACCTGGAGAGCCAGATCACCTGTGGCATCTGGACACCTGACGACCAACAGGTAGGTACACCTGAACAAACCTGGTTTCTGGCTGAACCTAAACAAAACATTTAGCATTTATTGCCCTTTTACAAACAAATAAGATACATTTTATAGTATTGACCTTTTTGTCACAGGCAAACAATATATGAAATCATCTGTTGGTTTCGGGGACACAGATTTAGCCTAGTCCTGGACTAAAAAGCATGTTCATTTGAGATTCTTGCATACTTGTTTGTCTATTGCCTGTCCAGGAGATGTACTTGTACATCAAGCTGCCTCATGCTGCAGAGAAATTTGATAGGCTCCTGCCCCTATGGGTCGTTCTGGCTCGGACAAGGCTTTCTTACTCTTGTCCTGGACTAGACTCAATCTTTGTCCAGGAAACCAGCTCCATGTATGCTTTCTCTCAGAAAATAATGATTCCTGCCCACTTTACTTCAGGTGTTGTTTGGTACAGCCGACGGTCAGGTGATAGTGATGGACTGTCATGGTCGCATGCTGGCCCATCTCCTGCTACACGAGTCAGATGGCATCGTCGGCATGTCCTGGAACTGCCCCTGCTTCCTAGTGGAGGACAGCACAGAAAGCGACACTGACTCTGATGACAATAACCCACCTCAAGGTAACACATTGTTTTAACGCTAGAACAAAGATCAAATGAGAAAGAGAACATCCATGTCTTGTACCTCTATCAAACGTAAAAAAGGAGATGTGATAATATTTTTTACCTCTACTGTGAACACTATGATCGTGCACATTGGCCAGGAGGCTAATGTGTTTATTTCTCTCTCCCAAGTGCGTATCCTGAAGCCCCTTCTGACAGTTAGCTTCATATCAGGAGACATCAGTTTGATGAACAACTATGATGACCTCGCTCCTACCGTCATCCGCTCAGGACTCAAAGGTAATTACTTTTTCAATCTTCTATATGTGGGACCAAATGTGTCGTGACTGAGTCTCTCCTGTTCAGATGTGGAGGTCCAGTGGTGTTCTCAGGGGGACCTCCTGGCGGTAGCTGGAATGGAGAGACATGGGCTCCCTGGAGTCCCCTCTGACTCTATCATGAGGAACGCCCTGGTCAAATTCTACAACATCCAAGGAGAACATATCTACACGTTAGAAACACCTGCCCAGGTGAGCTCCCCTCTTTGATTCACTTTTCTGAAATGTTATAGTATGATATTTTCAAACTGGTTATAATCTGTTTGTGATGGCATAATTTCAACCAGTTTTGCCTTCTGGGTAGGTCCTCTGACACGTATTAGTCAAAGTCTATAAGTCATCTGAAATCTTCAATGAATAACTACAATATTAACAGAAATTATACTTAAGATGAAATGTACTGTTGCCACACTTCCAAGTCTTGTTCAGTGGGCTATGGAGAAAGCCATAGAATGTGAATACAACAGAACAGGGCTGACTGGAGACCTGCCTTGTCAACCTTTGCCTTGCAGTGTCCCATCACCACCATCTGCTGGGGCCACAGAGACTCTCGTCTGTTCCTGGCGTGTGGCCCGGTGCTGTACGTGGTGCGTGTGGAGCACCGGGTGGCCAGCCTGCAGCTGCTGTGCCAACAGGGCATCGCCAGCGCCCTGCGGGAGGAGAGGGACGTGGGCAAACTCAACATGCCCTCCATACTCTGCTCCTACGTCACAACCGCCTTCATACCCACCATCAAGGTAAAATGAGCTTTATTCAGTTGGCTACTGTAGGTTATTATCTGATCTCAAAGCCATCTGGACTTGTTCATTTCAAAATCACAGCACCCCTTGGTCGTAACCCTTCAATGTTTCTAGATCTGAAAGGTACAGGGGATATGCTGGAAGCTCCATCACTACCCTGAGTGTACCTATCCAGATCCTAACGATCTAAAGGGGTAAGGGCCAAGGGGAAAGGGTAGGGATAGTGAGCGGAAAACAACCAACTGTTCATGCTTTTCTCTTGTTTCTCTAGCCTCCTATTCCTGATCCCAACAACATCCGGGACTTTGTCAGCTACCCCACTGCTGGCAACGAGAGGCTGCACTGCACCATGAAGCGAGCGGAGGACAACCCCGAGGCAGGGGGACCCTGTTACACCCTCTACCTGGAACACCTAGGGGGGCTGGTGCCCATCCTCAAAGGCAGACGCATCAGCAAGCTACGGCCAGAGTTCATCATCATAGACCCTAAAACAGACAGCAAAGCAGGTGGGATTGGCACAGTAAAATGTATTATAATGTGCTTTCAAAAATAGATAGTATGTTACGCACAAACAGCACATTTTAGACCGGTCGATCACGATTGATGAGTTGGGCAACCTTACTATTGTGTGTTCAGATGTATATTGCAATTTTTTCCAGAAGTTCTACAGTTCTGACCTGTTCATAGAGGTTGAGTCAAAGATTATTTTTAATTTGTTGTTTGTTTGTTTGTTTGTTTATTTGTTTGTTTGCTTGTTTTGTTTTTCAGATGAGGTGTGTGTGAATGCTATGATCTCCTACATGACTGACAGCTGTAACTGTTCCGACTCCAGCGACATTGAGTTGAGTGATGAGTGGGTCGGGAAGAAGTCACCTAAACTATCCAGAGGAAACAGATCACCCAAGCTTTCCAGGTATCTTTCATTACAATGGTCTGGACTCTGGAAGAATGACATTATAAGACTAATGTTTACCATATTCAACCCTAATCCTAACCATTACCTTTAGTAGCTGATGTTATACAAAAGTTCAAACTTCTTCAATATGTCATACTGATAATTATATTTGTTTTAAATGTTATTTGTTAATCATTTTAAATTGGTCTATTTTGCCTTTATTTGCTGTTTGTTTTGGTTGTTATTTGGCGTAGAAGGAACATGGAATCTAGAAAATCTCCCAAAATGTCCCGGGCTAGTCAGGAAGGCCCACGATCACCACGGTTACCAACAAAGAAGCCTCCAATTCGATCTCCCAGTCTGACGCGTCGAGAGATGTCCATGGATGGAATCTCTGAGGTATTGTCTGAATATGTGTCGTGTGGAAAGTAGGTATAGTGGTTCTTTAGTGGTTAGGGGCTGAAACTGTGGTTTCCGCATGTTTAGATTTAGCCACGTCTGGCTAGTGCATGCAATATCTACATCATTAAAAAAAAAATCTATTTGCTTGATTTCACAGCATAATTATCTTGCTCAAGTCACGTCCAATATATGGGGGACAAAGTTCAAAATCGTTGGACTTGCTTCTTTCCTACCTGCTAATCTTGGTGCAGGTAAGATCTCAAAAATGTGTAGAGAAGAAAATGTACTGAAATCAAACACGGCCATATTTACAGAATGTATCTTTTATTTTTAAACATTCCTTTACATTGACTGCTCCATTTCAGATTTCATTCCAATTTGATTTTAGAAATGTTTACCTCTGTTTTAGTTATCTATAAGACCAGTTTGCTCCATCTACAACCAAGGCAGATGACAATCTACCTTCCGGAGGTGCGGAAAATATCACTTGACTTCATGAGCCTGCCTGTCTTTAACCCAAATGTCTTCAGTGAGGATGAGGATGACTTGCCAGGTAAGTCATGAATGAATGAACAATTAAACAAACTACCAAATAATTGATACTGGAATTAAGTATCACGTGCAAGTTTACATGAATTTCGGTTGGATGTTGACTTCTGTTTAGTAATGAATGTAATTCATAACAATACCTAAAGTTATTGGAATATTCTTTGACTTGTCTTTCAGTGATGGGACCATCTGGAGTGACAAGTGACAACCCTCCCTGTACGGTCAACATCCCCATCGCACCCATCCACAGCCCTGCCCAAGCTATGTCCCCCACTCAGAGTATTGGTCTGGTCCAGTCCCTGCTGGCCAATCAGAACATCCAGCTGGATGTCTTGACCAATTCCACGGCTATGGCTTCAGCAGCAGCGGCGGCGGCCGCTGCAGCTGCATCAGCCTCTATTGCAGGGTCTGATCACAGTCAGAATGCAGTAGCAGCGCAGTACAGTGGGACTCTGGGAAGGTACTCCAACCCAGGACAGGTGACCTTTAACGGGCTAGAGATGGGTCCCCTCCTAGCTGGAACGCTACCTCCACCTCTGCCTCCACATCACCTCCCTCAACAACCTCAACAACAACGTCCTCAGTCACAACAGACACACCAACAACAGCAGTCCAAAACAACACAGCAGATACAAACCCAACAGCAGCAGCAGCAACAACAACAGAGAATTCAACAGCATCAACAACTACAGCACCAACAACAGCAGATTCAACAACAACAACTACAACAGCATCATATACAGCAGATCCAACAGCAGCAGCAGCAACAGACTCAGCAGCACCAAGCACTGCAACAACAGCACCAACAACAACAGGCGGCACTGCAACAGCAACAACAGCAGATCCAACAGCAGCACCAACACTTGCAACAGCAGCAAATCGCTCAGCAGCACCAACAGATGCAACTACAACACGAGCAAATGCATCAGCAGCAGCAACAAATGCAGCAGCAACAACAGCAGATCCGACAGCAGATTATAGAGATGAGGCAGCAACAACAGCAGCTGCAGCAGCAGCATCACCAGATACAACAGCAACACCAACAGATGCAGAGGCAGCACCAACAAATGCAGCAGCAAATGAAGCTGCAGATCACCTTGCCCCCTCCGCCTACTGGCTATCCCACCATCTCTCTGCAGCAGTTCCAGGTACTGCAACAGATACCCCACCCCAGTGCAGAGTTGGGACCAGAAAGAGGAGAGCAGGGGCATAGTCAGAGCCATACTCTGGGCAGGCCAAGTCTACCGCGGTCAAGGCCTCCATCATTCATTGACGTAGACAGCTTACGGTCTAGGCCTCCTTCCTTCATCGAAGCGGACACATCAAGATCTAGACCGCCGTCATTCATCGACATAGACACAATACGGACTAGACCTCCTTCTTTCATTGATGCAGATACAGGTACATTGCGGTCTAGACCCCCGTCTTTCCTCGATGCGGACTCCTCCCGATCCAGACCTCCTTCATTCATAGACACAGACACACTACGGTCCAGACCTCCTTCCTTCCTCGATGCAGAGACTTCCCTTGAGATCCAGATGAGAAAGGTGAACCCTCCACCACCCTACCCAGGCACCGTAGTGTCTGCAGCCACCGCCACAACCTCCACCACTCCTCAGACCCTCATCACCAACTGTGACAACCCTAGCATACTGGTCACAGCAGACCCGTGTCTGAAGAAAGACGAGTTCTCACTCCACCCAGTTGGTCTCCAGTATCAGATGGGATACGAGAGGATCACAACCTTTGACAGCAGTGGGAATGTAGAGGAGGTGTGTCGCCCTCGCAGAAGACTCATACGCAACCAGAACACCTACGCTGCTCAAGGCATGGGAGGTTCGGCCACACTTAAAGTCACCTCATCGTCTGACAGTAAGAAAGTCCAGCTTCCTTACAGCTCAGCAACTCTAAGCCGCCTCTCGGTGCCACGATACTCCATACCCAGCGGAGACCCGCCCCCCTACCCAGATCCAGCCAATCAGGTTAACATTAACACGACGACACTTCCTCCTCCCCAACGCATGGACAGTAGTCACATGATTCACGCCACCTTGCGACCTGACCGGCGAGACGTGGAATCCCGCCTGAAGGTGTCCCAGATGGTTGACGCTTCAAGGACTCTACCAACCAAGTCTAAGATCAACAGTGCTGCCCTAGCGCTCTCTTACCAGCAGAGGGTGCCCACGGCTCTGTATACCTGCACTCAGTGCAGCAGCAACAGCAGCAGCACCAGTGTCAGTGTTAGCGGTGGTGGTAGTAGCAGCAGTGGCATCGCAGGAGGCACTGTAGTGCGACAGGATTTCCCACCAGGAAAAGTTGCACATCACAGCACCATCATTGTTCACTCTAAAAGCACTTCCCCTCAAGCTTCTCAGTCGTCTTACAATCTGCTGAGTCCTATTGATAACAGCAGGGATAGGACTGTGTATGTGAACTCTGCCTTTACCGAAGACGAGACATTAAGTCAGCAGTGTCGTCACTTGACACTTGGGGAGGTTAGTTTGACTCTGAAACGTCCCCCACCATACCAGTGGGACCCCAACACCTCAGAGGAGTTCTGGATACCCCCAGAACAGACTATCTTAGCTCCCCCTCCACCACCAACGCACAAACCACCACCCCCGCTCATCTTCAGCAATGCTCAGCATCTGGACATGACACGGCTGCCTTTCGTACTCTCAACAAAACCTCCCAGCAGCCCAAGTACTGTTACTTTCCCATCGGGCTACCAGATCTCTCTGTCACCTTTCCCTGCAGGGGTAGGTCAGGGTGGATCCCCACTCCAGTCCATGCAGAGCCTTCCACCACCCTGCCCTCCCAACGAAGTAGTTGCCCCAGTCCCCCAGTTTGCCCAGCAGGACCCCAACCTGGTCTTGCCACCTGGATACCCTCCCAACCATGCCAACCTAGCTTGCTGCCCACTGCCCCCAATGTACCCAGGGGCCACATCCTGTGCCGGGCTTCAGCAGCACCCTGTTAGCCTGCACCCCTGGAACCCATATAGCCTACCCATGCAGGACCCGTCAGGCTCTGCCACCCTCCCCAGCAAGTCTCATCAGGTGTTAGAGAAGCCAGTCCTCTCCCCACCTCCTCCTACTGCTCCTCCTCCCCCACCTCCTTCACTTCCTCCTCCTCCTCCACCAACCGAGCTGCCGAAACCCAAAAGCCCTACAGAGGAGCTAGCAGAATCTGCCAGTAGCTTCCAGGAGCCGTCTTCTCTAAACCAAAGCCCTGTTCCAGACCGACAGGGGTCCGACAGGTTCAGCAAGAAAAGTCGTAAACGTCTGGACAGCCGAGCCGAGGAGGCAAACATGACCCCCGTCTCAGAGGGAAAATCCAAAAAGGAAGGGCGCGCCCTCTCCGACTTCAACTCCCTAATCTCCAGCCCCAGGCTTGGCTGCAGGGAGAATAAGAAACCCAAAGGCCAGAGGGAGCAGCTGAACAAAACCAAGAAGCTCAACAGGACCAGTACCACCAGCGAGTTCCAGGACAGTTCGGAGAGCGAGCCTGAGCTCTTCATCAGCGGAGACGAACTGATGAACCAGAGCCAGAGCTCCAAGAAGGGTTGGAAGAGTAAGAGGAGCCTGAGGATGGCCAGTGAACTGGAGGAGATTAAGTGCAGGAAGGCCAATGAGAGAGAGGACCGCGGGCTGGGCAGCCAGGGATTCGTCTACGTCATGGCCAATAAGCAGCCACTCTGGAACGAGGCCACACAGGTCTACCAGTTGGACTTCGGAGGACGGGTCACTCAGGAGTCTGCTAAGAACTTTCAGATCGAGCTGGACGGGAGACAGGTACAATTTTGCTTCCATTATTTACTGAACCCTAGATACATTGTAAAAAAAGAACCACCTATATATCATTTAGAATATGAAATCTGTTTGTGGTTGCTTTAAATATAAGTTTAGCCTCCAGTCTCTCTGGAGGCCTGGTTTCAGATCCCACCGCTGCCACTAACTGTCACATTGACCTGTTTATGGCAGAGATGTGTCAGGACTCAAATTGAGCTCCAGGCAGCAGTGGCGTAGCCAGAAATTCATTGGTGGGTGGGCCTACAGAAATTTGGGTGGGCCAATTTTATTTTTTTTTGGGGGGGGGGGGGGGGGGGGGGGTTGGGGAAAACTTCCTTATTTCTGTTTTCCTGTCTCTTTTCCCCCCGTCTTTCTACAGGTGATGCAGTTTGGCAGAATCGATGGGAACGCATATATCCTGGATTTCCAGTATCCTTTCTCAGCAGTGCAGGCCTTTGCTGTTGCCTTAGCCAATGTTACTCAAAGGCTGAAGTAAGAGACTGCTCTAACCAGTGGTGTAGTGGAGGATATTTTGCGCAAGCGTTTACCCACCTTTTGCAGAAAAATGCATTGAAAGTATAGGGAGCGTTACATTACTCACCGCAAATGGCGATCAGTGTTTACCCACCTATGTTTTTTACCACTACATCACTGGCTCTAACCCAATGCTACATATGTGTCATATACAGCATACAGTTACAACGGACTCTGGTGCAAAGTGACAGAATAATCATAGATGATTTTCCTGGGTCCTGTAACATGGGACTGTCAATGTAGTGCTGTGCTGGACAAGACGGTTAATGGGGCTATGAAATACACTTTAGTAAGCCTCACAACAAAGCTTCTTAGTAGGTAAGTTGTTCTTACTTACCGTACATATGCATTGGATTTAAAAACTGCCCTGTGGAGACGTGCCATTTTAAAAGACGTGACTAACATTGCAGGTTATAATGGTCATAAGAAAAGTAAGTACAATGTTGGATAATGTTGAAATAATGTATTGTGAGAGAGGAGACCATGTTGATTGTGGAAAGACAACATGATGAGTTTGAAAGTAAAATAGTTTATTTAGATGTTAATTCGAAGATCACTTCTATGAAGTGATCCTAGGAATATCCACATTTACGTAAATTATGCCATAATTTACATGCCATTATGTAAATGTTATTGTAGGACCACATACCCTCATACGAGATAAATTGTAAAACATTTATAACTAAATTGTAACATGTATAATCAATATTAGACCTAACTTTCTGCCCATCATTTCATTTGGTTGAACCTATGAAAAATAAAAATTAATGCATGTGTAAATCATTCACCAAAATCATCAAATGCATGGATCATGTATCTGGGGAAAAGTTTATACATCTGCTGCTAGATCGGTCAACTCATGTTAAATCCTGCAAAAAAATGAAAAGCTATCCTTAATTTAATGCTATGGTGTATAAGCTTGGTTGGCTCTGTGTTTTAGTCACTGGGTGTGGTTATGATGCTACTTGAACATTGCATTTGAATGTGAAGTGCTTTGCCTCCTTGGAGTTTCTGCTGCTGCTTTTGATAGATAGAGATTGTCTGCATTATTGCTAATAGTGTGTCACTTGGTACTGAAGACATTGAAGTTATCATTTTTTATATTTTCAGATTATAATAGGATTTTATTGACTCATTTGTGAACATGTTATTCAGTAATTAACATTTGTCTTGGGCTGCTTTATCTGAAAGTACGGTAACTGCCGAAATAAAGGAAACACTTGAGTAAATGATGGATACAAAGTATATTGAAAGCAGGTGCTTCCACATAGGTGTGGTTCCTGAGTTAATTAAGTAATTAACATCCCATCATGCATAGGGTCATGCATACAAATGCTGGGCAGGCCATTATTTTGGCTACCATGGCCATGCCCCCATAGGATGACAATACCCCCATCCACAGGGCACGAGTGGTCACTGAATGGTTTGATAAGCATGAAAACTATGTAAACCATATGCCATGGCTGTGTCAGTTACCAGATCTCAACCCAATTGAACACTTATGGGAGATTCTGGAACGGCGCCTCCCTCCAGCAGTTGGCAGAGTTTTTGTATGGAGGTCAATGAGAGTGTCGAATTTGGTCAACAAAAAAATGAATGGCTTATTTGCTACTTGAGGTTTATTTGATCGAATAGAAGTCTCGTAATGCTTAAGTTCTTATGAGTGTACTGATATAAGTAGGACACGTAACATCCCAGCAACTTTGAGAAAAAACACTTTATATCGGAGTTGTCTCGAGTTGGCTATGGATATTCATGGCATGAGGCTAGTAGCATAGCATCTCTCACCATTGAATACAGGAGGTTGACGTCAACGACCCTCATCAAATATTTAAAAAAGGATTACAATAATAAGATTTATCCACCAATCCAAAGAAAGGATAGGCGGGTGCTAGACAGCCTGCCATGCCGCTTTGTGGACATCGACTCCCATTGTTATCGCGGCGCTTGAGACAGCGTTTTCCAACACCATCAACAAAACACCAAATTATGGAATTTCTCTCAGAAGAATGGTGCCGCATCCCTCCAATAGAGTTCCAGACACTTGTAGAATCTATGCCAAGGTGCATTAAAGCTGTTCTGGCTCGTGGTGGCCCAACGCCCTATAAAGACACTTTATGTTGGGGTTTCCTTTATTTTGACAGTTACCTGTATATCTGCAGGATTATTTGAAAAAGTATTGTAGAAAAGTTATGTGATGATTCAAATATTCAATGCTTAGCATTGTTACTCTACTGTATAATACAGCAATATTTCAATGCTTATTATTATCAATACAGATAGTGTGTGGTCATTGTGAATCAGCGTCACCACCTAAATGAATATTATTTTGTTGCCTAGATAGATTTTTATTTTATTTTAAGTCTTATACAATTATTTAAACCAGAATATATATCAGAAGATATATTATACATTAAAAGATAGGTCTACCACCCGATGTCCGAAAACGTAATAAAATGTATAACACTTATGTCTATTCATTGTGTGTGTGTGTGTGTGTGTGTGTGTGTGTGTGTGTGTGTGTGTGTATGTGTGTGTGTGTGTGTGTGTGTGTGTGTGTGTGTGTGTGAGAGAGAGTGTGTGCAGGCAGGTCACCCATGATACAAGTCAGTATTCGACGTCCATCCATGTCTGAGGACGTCGGGAGATGACGTGAAAACTAGCATCTAGGGGCAACAGTGATAGAAAGTCGTTAAAAAATTAAATAATTATGCCTATCCCAAACCTTAACCCTTACCTTAACCATTCGGAGTTAATACCTAACCTTAACATTTGGTAGTTCATGCCTAAATGTAAACCTAACCATACAAATTCTGAGTTAATGCCTAAACTGTGAGACGTGAGACTGTGAGAGCCTCAGCCAGTGTGTGTGTGCACTCCCGGGGGCGGGACTTATCGAACATCACCAAGACACCCTTCTCACTCAATAAGTTAGTTCACATTCACAACTCTAGATGTCACAGGGCAACTCTCTAGACACACACGCTTTGGGGAATACAGTGCCCATTCTACAGACAGGAGCCACGCTGTTTTTGACATGAGCGCCAGCACCGAAATTTCATTCGTAGATTTAACCAGCCAAGTTGTGAAACATTTGGTTTCCCTATGTTGTTAACACGTTATGATATCTATTCGTCTATTCGTGTAACAGGAATTTGTGACTTGAATAACAATCTGGATCAGCAGTATAATTTAATATGAATGACAACAATATGGATTCTGATCAAGTTCAACAAACAGGTTGGTGACATTACATAGAAGTTGCTGTTTTTCTAATAATAAAACATTGTTTCTGAGAGTTTATCTCTTTAAATGTCTAGTTTCAAATATCATTAAACCGTTTGTAATTCATCTAATGTAATTCCTACCACTACATATATTGGAAATGAGCTGTATTTCTCATAGAATGCACTTGTTGGTTGCAACAAAAAAAAAAACAGTTGTTACATTGTTAATATGTTCTGTTTTCAGTCGGACTCTGACTGCAATTATGTACTCTAATATGGCTTTATGTTATGTTCTAATTAAAGGATTCATTTATTTCATAATGCCCACATATTGTGTTTACTGTGTGATTGATTGATTGACTGATTCACTCATTTATTCATTATTTGATCAATTCATTCTTTCTGTAGATGGCATGACGTTAGAAGAATCAACAAGTGGTCCTAATCAAAGGATAACAAGATATCAGATCCTCACATTGATATCAATGGCATCTGTCAACTTCAGCTCAATGATCTGCTACTCTATACTGGGGCCATTCTTCCCCAACGAGGTAATGTTCAATACCAACCATTTTATTTATTCATTGCTTGTGAAATAGGCTAAGCTGTCTGAGCAGTAATGCAGAATTATTATGCAGAATCATGATTTCTTTATTCAGATTACAGAATAATATAGCCTACAAAACAGAAATGACAAATGTTTAGGAGGGCCATAGTAAAAGTTCACTCTTAATTTTCTTGGTTGGATGTAGGACATCACTATATGACTGTTCAAGTGGTTGTCTGTGTATCATGTGTTGGACATGAGCAAAGCCCCTAAGGGCAATGATGTACCATACAATGGACACTCACACATCAACACAGGTCAGATGATAGGCTGTCCAGTGGACATATGCATTTCAGTGACCAGAGAGTAGTCTCTAGTGACTGACTGAAATCCCTGTTATAAGGCCTAGGCAATTTAATGGTGTCAAAATAATGACATAACCAATCTAATGAAGTCATGACCACTGATATGATAGCCTATGGCAAGTGTCATAACTCAAGTAATGGCACAAACTTTCATGGGTGAGTTTTCCAATAACATCAGATCATCTTTGGCATTAAGATCATTGTTTGTCTATTGCCTACCAATTGACTGAAGGTGATCGAATTGCTAAAGCTGATCTATATGCTTTTGGGAAACTCACCCCAGATTATTAAACTTAGGCTAGTGATAAACTGACCTAAACAACACTTTGAGTCATGACTGTTTTATAGTCAGCTGTTGTGACTGTTGTCCAATTTTGTTAAGCACAGGCCCTCGTCTTCCAAAAGGAAAACAACTTATTGTGCACAACGGAAGCTTTTCAGCAAGCTTTTTGGTGTTTTGCAGTATTTGTATGTTTGATTATTGTAATGTATTGATAGTACAGGAGTATTATGTATCTATTGTTTCTGTACAGGCCATGAAAAAAGGAGCCAGTCAGACAGTCATCGGACTTATATTTGGCTGTTATGCTCTGTGCAATCTCATGGGCTCTTTAGTACTGGGTAAATATGTAAGTATTTGGAATTTCTAGGCTATGTACCAAATGACACCCTATTCCCTATGTAGTGCACTACTTTTGACCAGGCTCATAGGGCTCATAGAGAATATGGTGCCATTTGGGACGCACACATCCTACGTCTAGTCATCAGACTACTCTGCTTGCAACATGACTTGTCACACACAAAACACATGCCTCCTCTCTGTCCTTTCAGATTGTCCAGATCGGGGCAAAGGTCATGCTAATTTCTGGCTTATTTGTGTCATCGGGGTGCACCATTCTCTTTGGGTGAGTGAGTTATCCATCAACAGACACCAGCTAAAGTGCCAAAGCACATTTCTAAGTGCCCTCCTCAACATTTTACTCAACTTGGACAAATACATATTTTAGTCTAAAACTTTTCCTCTTCTTGTTTTGCAGCTTACTCGACAGAGTTCCTGAGGGAGCTACTTTTATTACTCTGTGCTTTATCGTAAGGTCTGTTGATGCTGTGGGCTTCAGTGCTGCAATGACGTCTTCTTTTGCAATTTCAGCAAAAGTTTTCCCAAACAACATAGCAACTGTTTTGGTGAGTTTAGTCAACCAACCCTTGTGTAAGGGTCTGCCTGGTATGTTATGTGTAGGCATTAGACACCATGCTCAAACAAAAAAGCATTATGGTTTAGGTTGTTTAAATGTTTTGTATCCAAAGAGTTTTGCCCAATTCGTGTTGTGGCTGTCTGAAAGCCTCCTTAGCAACAGGCATCGTGACTAGTTCCTCTATTTGGTCATAATGATATGATGATGATACAATTGGATTCTGTGTGGAATTGTAAACAGAAGCCTGTTGGTACGAGGTAAAACTGCATGTGCACATTTACTATGTTGAATATTAATGTGTTGTGTTTGTCTTTTCAGGGTAGTTTGGAGATTTTTACAGGGCTGGGTATGATACTGGGACCACCAATAGGTGGTTGGTTGTATCAGTCATTTGGATATGAAGTCCCTTTCATCGCTCTGGGATGCTTCCTATTTCTCATGGTCCCCTTCAACATGTACATCTTACCAAGCTTTGGTAACTGCTTATTCATGATTTATGAACTTTTAACTAATAATGACCTGTCTATAAACTAGTTACATCCTTTACGTTCCCCCATTGAAGAATAAAGTGTGTAAATTGTTAACTGAATGTTCACGTTTTCTGATTCGAAAAGAGACCGACATTTTGAGACCACATTGTTTGTATTTGTCATTATGACAATATTTTGTATTTTTGGGGGGATTCAATTATTCATGTGATGATATTTCGTGCTTAATTATATTAATCTGTTTGTTCCACTGTTCAGCTGCTGATCCTACCAAGGACTCCTTCTTCAGGCTGTTCACGCATCTGAAGATAGTCCTTATTTGCTTTGCAATATTCACCCTGAGCTCTGGACTCGGCCTTCTGGATGCAACCTTGTCTATATATGCCATTGATAAGGTAAAGCCAGGCATATACCACGGTTGCGGTGAATTCCATTTCAATTCCGTTTACTTACTGAATTGACTGAACTGGCATTTTCCAAACCCTGGTATAACTGAAAGCCTCATATCTGAAAATATATTTATGTCACATTTCAAAATGCGATTGTTATGTCCAGTAGGATGGACCTCGATACCTTAATATGTTTCTCCTTTGTTTCTACATGTAGTTTGACCTCTCTCCAGGTTATGTGGGTCTTCTCTTGCTTGGCCTGTCATTGCCTTACTGTCTGGCCTCACCTCTGCTTGGTATCGTTAGTGACAGGTTTCCTGTGAGTATAGTTAACCCAACACTATACTATACCAACCAATACCAGTGGTGTATCGTAGTCACAACTTCTCTTTTACACACATAGACAATAATGTGATTTTTACCTTCTGGTTGTGTTTCCAGTCCACGAGGCCGTGGTTGATGGTGCTAGGAGGCTTGTCTACAGCAACTGGTTTCTGGTTCTTAGGTCCTGTCCCCATTCTGCAGATACAGAGGTCCGAATCTGTTATTATCAGTGTGAAATGTCTTATTATTACTATAATTGTACTACTATTATACTAACAAGAAGAATTATACTTATTTTGTCTCTGTAGTCAGCTGTGGCTGTTGGTCTTCATGCTGGTTGTCATAGGATTCTCTCTAGGCATGATTGCCATCCCCACCTTCCCTGAAATACTCAACTGTGCATAGTGAGTTCACCAGTCACATACACACCAGGGCACGTACACACACACACACTATATTTGCAATGTCCACTTTCACTTAGAAAAACAGGTGTCATCATAATGCATGAGGTGCAGAATACGGAATAATATTTAAAACATTTCCGATGGCAGTGAAAATGGATTTGAGGAGGGGCTGAGCACTCTTGGACTGGTGTCTGGGTTGTTTGGAGCAGTGTGGTCCATTGGGTATGTGCTTAATATATTTGTCATATTAACTCTCTGAGGCATGATTTGAGAGTTGGAGTTTGGAGATATGAATCCTAAACAAAGGTGTGTTTTATTTGTTCAGAATGTTTTGTGGTCCAACGCTCGGTGGCTTCACCACACAGCAGCTGAGCTTTGAGTGGGCTGCTTCTGTTCAAGGAGGCCTGGCCTTTTTAGCCGTAAGTACGGACATTTACGTATCCTATTATACACAGTTCCATACTGTCAGTCCTGCCTCGACACTAATGACCCAATGGATGGGTAACTCAAATGTCTGTGCTAAATTGCTTACTTTGACATCAACACATTATTTATGCTAGTTAGTAAGAGTAATTGAGGTCACATGGAATTTTTTTATGTTTTCCACATGGATCTTAGCCCTGGGCCAAGTAAAAAACGGGGAAATCTGAATAAGACTAATGCTTCCTCCTCTCCTCAGGCTTTCTTTCTTGGTATATATTTTATCTGTAAAGGAACACAACAAACAAGGTAATGATTCCATAATATATTTTGTTTATTGACATAAACAAGTAGAAAATAAATGTTGAGAAAGCCATTTGAAAAGAGTAACTGGTTCGGAGAAATGTTTATTTGTCCCTGAATTTGCTTTTATTTGTTTGGATGTAAAGGGCTCCTCAGATTGAGAGGAAAAGACCTTCAGATGAACGTACCCGTCTTCTGTCCTGAACAACAATCATCCACCAGGAACATGTACAGTGTGAGATGGGTACCAAACACTAAACACCATTCTTAATACATTATGTGAATGTATTGCTAGAGACTGTGATAACACAGATAGAACAATGAGAAGATATTTCACCAGATGTACACTACCATTCAAAAGTTTGGGGTCACTTAGAAATGTCCTTGTTTTCGAAAGAAAAGCAATTTTTTGGTCCATTAAAATAACATCAACTTGATCAGAAATACAGTGTAGACATTGTTAATGTTGTAAATGGCTATTGTAGCTGGAAACAGCTGATTTTTAATGGAATATCTACATAGGCGTACAGAGGCCCATTATCAGCAACCATCAGTCCTGTGTTCCAATGGCACGTTGGGTTTGCTAATCCATGTTTATCATTTTAAAAGGCTAATTGATCATTAGAAAACCCTTTTGCAATTATGTTAGCACAGCTGAAAACTGTTGTCCTGATTAAAGAAGCAATACAACTGGCCTTCTTGAGACTAGTTGAGTATCTGGAGCATCAGCAATTGTGGGTTCGAGTACAGGCTCAAAATGGCCAGAAACAAATAACTTTCTTCTGAAACTCGGCAGTCTATTCTTGTTCTGAGAAATGAAGGCTGTTCCATGCGAGAAATTGTCAAGAAACTGAAGATCTCGTACAACACTGTGTACTACTCCCTTCACAGAACAGCACAAACTGGCTCTAACCAGAATAGAAAGAGGAGTGGGAGGCCCTCTATTCTCTGTGTATATCAATGATGTCGCTCTTGCTGCTGGTGACTCTCAGATCCACCTCTACGCAGACGACACAATTTTGTATACATCTGGCCCTTCATTGGACACTGTGTTAACAAACCTCCAAACGAGCTTCAATGCCATACAACACTCCTTCCGTGGCCTCCAACTGCTCTTAAAACGCTAGTAAAACTAAATGCATGCTCTTCAATCGAACGCTGCTTGCACCCGCCCGCCCGACTAGAATCACTAATCTCGGCGGGTCTGACTTAGAATATGTGGACAACCACAAATACCTAGGTGTCTGGTTAGATCGTAAACTCTCCTAAACTCACATTAAGCATCTCCAATCCAAAGTTAAATCTAGAATCGGCTTCCTATTTCGCAACAAAGCCTCCTAACTTTAAGCATCAGTTGTCAGAGCAGCTTACCGGTCACTGCACCTGTACACAGCCCATCTGTAATTAGCCCACCCAACTACCTCATCCCCATATTGTTATTTACATTGTTGTTTATTTTGCTCATTTGCACCCCAGTATCTCTATTTGCACATCATCTTCTGCACATCTATCACTCCAGTGTTAATACTAAATTGTAATTATTTTGCACTATGGCCTATTTATTGCCTTACCTCCATAACTTACATTTGCACACACTGTATATAGATTTTCTATTGTGTTATTGACTGTACGTTTAGTTTATTCCATATGTAACTCTACCTCTGTATGCCTAGGTAGATATTCCTTTAAAAATCAGCCGGTTCCAGCTACAATAGCCATTTACAACATTAACAATGTCTACACTGTATTTCTGATCAATTTTATGTTATTTTAATGGACCAAAAAATTGCTTTTCTTTAAAGAACAAGGACATTTCTAAGTGACCCCGAACTTTTGAACGGTAGTGTATAAATGTGAAGCATCCGGTTGGCGTTTCCACTCACTACCAAATATGGTGGTGAGAGGAAGCCCAGTGGCTGGCAGTGGGAGAAGATGGAGCGAGATGGATTTTGGCCGACATTCTGCAAATTTTCTCATCAATGAACATTTGATCTCAATACAGTTTTCTGTTTCCAAAACTAGAATATGTTACGAACTGAGTGGACTAAGTTTAGTAGACTTTACCCTTTGCCAAAGTTTCAAAAAATTGCATTGTTTAGGAGTGCAAGGGCGAATTTCACAGAGTAAGCAAATACATGCTAGTACGCACCGATAGGCTCTTGCTAGCTTGTGATTGGCTCTGCGCTGCCCACCTCCTTGCATGTTCTGCCCACTATGATTCATTTGCTTCCATTGGAAACGACAGGCTGTGATCGATCTTGGGTTAGTTATAAGAAACCTTTGGTGATAATGTATTTAAGCAGCCAGACAGTGAATAATATATCTATATACAGTACATAGAGATGCTAAACGTGGACTGTAACTTGTATTAAAATGTAAAACTAAGAGGATGATGCTACACAAGTTTGACTTCTCATTTGTTGTCGTAGAGTAGCATTAGCAATCAAAACAAAAGCAGTTCAGTTTGCAGTTTGCATTATGCCAATATCAAAATAGGACCTGTGTATACTTAAACTGTCAAGGACCTCAACAAGCTGTGGTAAAGCTTGGGAACATTTTGAATGAGCTTTTAGCAAACTAATTCAAAACACAATTTTCTTTGGAATAGGTGAATGTTTCACAAAATAATGTTTACTTAATGACAATCAAAGGGCATTTATCAGTTGGCTATGTAAATATGTACCCATTGAAATGCAGTACTATGTAAATGCCTCTCATTTCCAATCAATAACTTCCAACACCACATTACTTGGATTATATGTCCAAACAGTGGGGTCAGAACACAATGTGCCTAGCTATTGACCTCCTTCATGGTTATGTAGATTGACCATTGACCAAAATGACCGTATGATCATAAATGTGGTTCATTCAAGGACACCAAACTATTTGAAAATATGTAACTAATGTAAGCTTAGACCTTTGTTACAGTATTGTAGTTACTTCTGTTGTAGTTACATGCCTTTGGTGTTATTCCAATGTGTGCTTCTGCTCTCTTAAACTAATATTTACAATAATGGCATTAGGAGAACAATGGGTACCTTTTTCCTCACTGACTGCAGAGTTCCAGATTGTACAAAAGTTTCTAACTAATTAAATTTGTCTGGTCAAATAAAATAGGGAATTCATAATAAAAGAGAACAGATTTTGTCTACTATCTATGTTTGAGATGATTTTGTTTTACATCACATTCAAAGATATCATTATTTTTTATATGTATTTAGCTACATTTTCTTCACTCATAACACATTTCAAAGTTGTTATATTACACAATCACTGCTGACATATTTAAGATATGACTAGCAACTTGTAATTACAGAAATACATATACAAACAATTAACTTGGCAACTATTTTTAAATGTATTGGTGACACTTTCCTCAACCCTTTAAGCTATAAAAAATAAAACTATTATTAATAAGTATAGGCCTTTCTTATAGCTCATGACAAATAGGTTACAGAAGTCAATGAATGCATTACTCCAATAAATAGGACAAAAACATGAAATAGCAAAACATACAAAATCTCTCCTGGACTCAATCTCTCCAGGACTGATACTATTATGTCCTACAATGTAGTAAGCTTTTTAAAATTCAGATGTTATAAAAATAAATACAAAAATAATAGTAATTCGGACAATCATTTAAAAAATATTTGAAAAAAACACGCCAAAAAAAACAATATGCGTACACTTTACAGGATGGTTTCATTATAAACATATTTCTTATCTTCTGTTCAAAGGGGAATTTAGTGTTCAAAAACAGCTCCTACGGTACTCTTAACCAAAGATCCATGGGTCTAGGTATCAGGCTCCAAGGTGCTGTTGGACTGTCCTGTCCTGGGGCTGGGGGGCAGTGGTCTGCTGCCTGCAGCCTTGGCCTTCCTCCTGGTAGATGACGTTCCTGGGGCATCAGGGTCGGAGACACTGGCTGGTGACGACGGAGCTTCCAACTTCTTCACCAACTTCTTTTTCTTTTTCTTCACTCTTTTGAGAAACATGGGGGAAAAACACATTGGCCTGACATTTATTTATATATTTTTTTAAAATACTTTGGGAAGGGGACCTGGCAAGAGGTCAGCAGGAAGTAGTCAGCGTGACCATAAAATACAAGAGCACATACAAGGACAATACATTTAAAACAATTACAGCGGTCAACAACATTTCAGTCAGAGTTTTAAACTCAGTCAGAGATACCCACTCGCCCAGTTCTAAGTATTTCGTAGCTCACTACAAGACCAAAGAACGTTATGGGAAAATATGCTGTCTAAAACTTAGTTCAAATGCATACATACTATTTCAAATCAGTCAATCATCATCAATCAATCATCATTTACAGTTCAAATCTGCAAGTGACTCCATTTGTTGAGAAAGTTGTTTGTGAATGTCATCAAATGCTAGTTGTAAATCCAGAAAAGCCTTCTCAATTTTAGAGGCACAAGAGTAAACGATTGTGTCGTCAGCATATGGATGGAGTTCTGCAGACTTTCAATTTCTCCCTATTTCATACAGTGTAATAAGAGCCGGCCCTAAAATGGAACCTTAAGGGACTCTTTTTGTAAGCTGTCAAAAGTCTGATTTCATGCCCTCCAGAGCCACACACTGTGTTCTGTCAGAGAGTTCGTTTTGGAACCAATCTAACACTTCAGCACTTAAACCAATTTGATGTAATCGAATAAAGTATCTAGTATAAATTATAAGCTATATAACATATCTAGTAAGTTCATTTTCTCTCCATGTGGTTAGAAGACGAGTGTACACAAACTATCGGGATGATATCAGAGCCACTGCTGTGACTTATGAGGACTGTCGCTGTGAGGAAGAGGACTTACTTGGTGGCAGCAGGCTGCTCAGGGTCTGTGTCCAGCTCAGAGATGAACTTGAGTTCCCCAGAGACAACGGCAGCTGACACCTGTGAGTGGAGGGAGAGTTCAAAAAAAGAAGGGACAAGGAAATGACCAGTAATTCATATAACCTTGGTTCCCTGAAGAAGGAGAACGAGATGACCTCTAGGTTGAAGATGACAAAGGTTAAGACAACAGGATTCTAATATCCCATAACTCTTTGCAACAATGGGACTAACTATGCAAGTTAGCAACGGCGTAGGTAGTTAGCAACAACGCTGGTCCCAGATTTGTGACGACGTTGTCTTAACCTGTTGATTTTCGAACTAGGATGAGCTGAGGACTGTATTGGTGGAGGGGATGTCTGGGTAAATTCTAAAATAAATCATCAATCAATGATTTTACTTTAAGTACCCTGCTCCATCAGAACCAAGAGACACTTCAGCTACATCACACAACGATCACTGAAACAGAACCCACTCTCTCCTTACCTTGGTAGGTGTCAACCTCTCATCTGATTGGTCAGTCCGTTCAGACGGAGGGACTGATAGGTCGGTCCGCGGTTCAGACAGAGGAGCTGATTGGTCGGTCTGTTCAGACAGGGCAGACTGTGCCTTTAGGGCCTGAGACAGCTCCTCGTTGTAATCCCCTGGGACAGACGAGGGAAATAGCTCAGCAACAACACCACATCCATACAGACTTGACTTTATAGGCTGTATATCCACATGGGGTTCTTTTTCATGTAGAAAAGTGGTCCTGTGTGGCTTAGTTGGTAAGAGTATGCTGCTAACAACACCAAGGTGGGTTTGTGGGTTTCCCATAGGGATCAAGCTCTCAATAAAATGTATGCAATCACTGTAATGTAAGTTGCTTTGGAGAAAAGAGTCTGCTAAGTGCATATATTATATTAATGTGGAAAATATATAAAACTCTACTTACGCTCTTCCGCAACATAGGTAGCTGGGAAGTATCCCTGCTGTCCGTTAGCCAGCCGGCCAAACCACCAGTTGTCGTTGTCTTTGTAGAGCACATGGATGACATCACCACGCTGTACCGTTAACTCATCTGACCGCGTAGCACTGTAGTCATACAAAGAGACAACCTGACAGAGAGGAAGAGAAATTAAAAGTATTTAAGAATGGTTGACCATGGTGTTAAAATAACTGCTTATGTTAAATTGTCATATTTGATTGTTGGGTATAGTATGTTCTTATAATGCATACAGTTGTCAATGTTAGAATAAAAACATGAACTTACTGTTTGCTGAACTGGTACCAAGGAATCTGCTTCCACTCTAATGGCTGTAGACAGATGATCAGGGAAGCTCTGAGGGAAGAAAGGGAACGTTCCTAAACTTCAATTCCATATTCAACTTCATGCGTTACGTCGGTCTCTTTCAAATAGATAAAGAAAATATTCAGTCCACAAGACTAAAATAAAGTTACTGTTTAAAACCCAATAAAATACATATAAAAGGAAGCAATGAGAAAAGCATAAAGAGCTTCCAGATATAACATTATAATAGTGACTTACTGTCTGTAGCCTGAGAGATGGCGTTCTTCCTAGATGCTGACCCACTGGGCTGAAACCACCTGCAAACAGAGAAGAAAAGGAGAGAAAGGAAATACTAGATGAATATATTAAATCGAAGATAAACCATAATCGTAGAGGTGTGAACACCTACGGCTACGGACAGCGCTGAAGACAAGGAGAGGCTCGTCTTGGTCCTTATGTACAGTGAACATGCTGCTCTGTAAGATCCTTAACAGGTCTCGTGAGTCTGGGAATGTTGCGTTTTGTCCAAACCTTCCCTTGCAATGTTGTTGAAATGTCTGGCCAAAGCTCTCATTCTGCATGAATGGGTCTTAAGCTCATTTGGGTAAACGGACATCAATTCTTACAAATGATTGATGACACAGTGGTTCACAGAGCTGCTTAGATTCATAGACCTGTGGCAGTACAATCTGTCTCCTTCCCTTCATCTGCACTGATAGGGAAACACTTGACAGTTGAAAACATTATGGTGGAAGCTCATCTTTAGGCTGGCCTTCACCTGGTCAGTTCTTTTAGATTAAGGATCAGTGCAATGAAGGCCGGGAGGCGAGGAGTGGACCAATTCTTTCAAAGAAAGGGCCTGGTTAGAGCCACTCACGGTTCTGGGAGGTGAGGGGTGCCTGGGGGATGAACTGAGCTCCCAGGGAACCAGACAGCTGCAGTTTGGAGTGTGGTGACAGGAGGGACGGAGGAAGGCAGGGACGAGTTCAAGCTCATCTGAAAACAGTAGAAGAAGAATACAGGGTAACTTAAATGTGTTCTGCTTTATCCCAACCCCTCCAGGCTACACACATACACACAGAGGTCGGAGCAAAGGGGGCCTCTTTGTGGACAATAAAACGGTTAATATGAAGTGTTTACAGAGTTAATACGTGTACTACTTACTGGGCCAGCTTCCTGGGATAGGCTCCTCCCCATCTGATATATGCACCCTTTAAACCACAAAAACATGTCGAATAAATGTCAACATATTGTCGCATAAACATACCAATATCATTGTTAAAGCATACCTTGCTCATACAAGTGTTCCACAGCAGAGGAGTTCTGAGATGGTTCCTACAAAAATGTGTTTGAGAGGGTCATTATTAAATTCAAGCACATTTGCATAATGATTTACCGTCACAGTTTGGAGTCAAAATATAATTCGCGTTTTAAAACGAAATCAAAACAAGATTTATACTCACTAGAACAGAGTCCAGCTTATCTTTGACGCGCTGCATCTTCATAGACAGTCTGGCTGCTTTGGCGAAGCAGTCCATGGCTGCTCCGGAGGTGTCCTGGAACGTGACTGGGTCAGATGTGTTCCTGAACATCTTAGTGTCGGCTGATCCAGACCTGCTGTGGCCCTTCAAACTCTCCACTTCCAGCTGGGCCACTGAGGAGAAACAGAGAGAAAAATATTTTTTGTTTTGTCTTTATATTTTGTTTACATATCTTGCATTACTCATCTCATATGTATATACTGTATTCTATAATATTCTACTGTATCTTAGTCCATGCCGCTCTGTCATTGCTTATCCATATATGTATACAGTGGGGGAAAAAAGTATTTAGTCAGCCACCAATTGTGCAAGTTCTCCCACTTAAAAAGATGAGAGAGGCCTGTAATTTTCATCATAGGTACACGTCAACTATGACAGACAAATTGAGAAAAAAAAATCCAGAAAATCCCATTGTAGGATTTTTTATGAATTTATTTGCAAATTATGGTGGAAAATAAGTATTTGGTCACCTACAAACAAGCAAGATTTCTGGCTCTCACAGACCTGTAACTTCTTCTTTAAGAGGCTCCTCTGTCCTCCACTCGTTACCTGTATTAATGGCACCTGTTTGAACTTGTTATCAGTATAAAAGACACCTGTCCACAACCTCAAACAGTCACACTCCAAACTTCACAATGGCCAAGACCAAAGAGCTGTAAAAGGACACCAAAAACAAAATTGTAGACCTGCACCAGGCTGGGAAGACTGAATCTGCAATAGGTAAGCAGCTTGGTTTGAAGATATCAACACTGGGAGCAATTATTAGGAAATGGAAGACATACAAGACCACTGATAATCTCCCTCGATCTGGGGCTCCACGCAAGATCTCACCCCGTGGGGTCGAAATGATCACAAGAACGGTGAGCAAAAATCCCAGAACCACACAGGGGGACCTAGTAAATGACCTGCAGAGAGCTGGGACCAAAGTAACAAAGCCAACCATCAGTAACACACTACGCCGCCAGGGACTCAAATCCTGCAGTGCGAGACGTGTCCCCCTGCTTAAGCCAGTACATGTCCAGGCCCGTCTGAAGTGCATTTGGATGATCCAGAAGAGGATTGGGAGAATGTCATGTGGTCAGATGAATCCAAAATATAACTTTTTGGTAAAAACTCAACTCGTCATGTTTGGAGGACAAAGAATGCTGAGTTGCATCCAAAGAACACCATACCTACTGTGAAGCATGGGGTTGGAAACATCATGCTTTGGGGCTGTTTTTCTGCAAAGGGACCAGGACGACTGATCCGTGTAAAGGAAAGAATGAATGGGGCCATGTATCGTGAGATTTTGAGTGAAACCCTCCTTCCATCAGCAAGGGCATTGAAGATGAAACGTGGCTGGGTCTTTCAGCATGACAATGATCCCAAACACACCGCCCGGGCAACGAAGGTGTGGCTTCGTAAGAATCATTTCAAGGTCCTGGAGTGGCCTAGCCAGTCTCCAGATCTCAACCCCATAGAAAATCTTTGGAGGGAGATGAAAGTCTGTGTTGCCCAGCGACAGCCCCAAAACATCACTGCTCTAGAAGAGATCTGCATGGAGGAATGGGCCAAAATACCAGCAACAGTGTGTGAAAACCTTGTGAAGACTTACAGAAAACGTTTGACCTGTGTCTTGCCAACAAGGGTTATACAAGTTTTAGAACTTTTTTATGGCCAAATACTATTTCCACCCAATCCATAATTCATTAAAATCTACAATGTGATTTCTGGATTTTTTTTCCATTTTGTCTGTCAAGTTGACTACTATGATAAAATTCAGGCCTCTCATCTTTTAAGTGGGAGTGCAAATTGGGGATAAATATCCCACTGTCCTTACTTAGATTGTGTTGTATTGGGTATATGTTGTGAAATTGTTAGATATTACTTGTTAGATATTACTGCACTGTCGGAGCTAGAAGCACAAGCATTTCGCTACACCCGCTATAACATCTGCTAAACACGTGACAAATAAAATTTGATTTGATAGTGTGTATTCCATCAGGGACCACGTTGGAAACAAGTGGAATCACTTTAATGTGTTATCCAGTGTTGTACTCAGCGCATCTTTTTCCACTCAGTCCACAAAACAGCAAAGAATACTCACAGTCTACCCAATCTCAAGGCCTTATGCGAACCCGTTAGCTACCATTTTCAAACATCCCAAAACAGACTAAGTTTACACAAAATATTCAATAAGGTTATAAACCAGGGCTGTCAAACTCATTTTGCCCCGGGGCCGCATTCGGTCTTCAATGAGGTCCGGAGGGCAGCACAATTTAAAAAATATATATTTCCTCGCTGTCAAAATCACCAAAAAATAGTCCTCTATCCATTGTTTTTGGAATTTTCGATGCTCCCTGACTGTCTAGTTTTCATTTCGGTGATTATTAGCGAGCTGGACACAGTCCAGAAAGTGTATGAATGTAGGTCCATTATAATTTCTACACAGTTTCAATTAGGTTTTAGACATTTTAAAGTATATTGTGCTCGTTTCACCCCCCCCAAAAAAATACTTCTTATACTTTTTTTATTTTACTCAAACCACCCGTGGGCCAGACACCCCTGCTATAAACAGTCAAATGACTCCTACACTAATGACTCAAGTTGTGTGGAATCAAGACTTAGTAACGCCAGAGAAAGCAAGACATCCCACTCCCTAATTTCTTCTGATCGGGGCGGGGCCACTCTGGTCTACTTATGTCCTAGAGCAAGACATCTCACTGGCACATTTTTTCTAGGCAGGGCGGGTGGGACGAGCGGGGAGGGGACAATAAGTAGACCAGAGCCAGTTGTTCCCTCTCTCACTTGAGCATGCCAGATATTACGGAGGAACCGTGAGCTCACGTTGGAAAGCAATCTCACGCAAGAGAGGGAATGCCCACCTACACAGAAAGGAGCATTTAATATTTTTTACAATGGTAAATGGCTTGAGTGAACTATCTTCATTTATCCACCATCTTTGGTAACGCCACTGTCCTCTTAAAATACAATTATTTGAATGCTCTGAGCCAGGTACTCAGGCACAGCTGAGGCGTGTTCCTAAGATCTTCTCATTAAAGTGATCTATCTCAGTACAATAATGAGCTGCTCACCTCGGAGGTCGTACAAGTACACGTGCACAGGCTGGCTATGACCGAAGGCACAGAAGGCCACCATGTTCTCATGAGGGTGGAAGGCCACACCACGGAGGGCTGTGGGGTAACACAGCTCCGAGTACACCGCCACCTGGTCACCTGGTAGATGCAGGCACAAAACCAGCAGTTATTATTGATCATAACAAAACAAAAAAACTATGCATGCACTTAGCTAGGGCCAGTTTCCCCAGATACAGATTTAGATTAGTCCTGGAACAGAAAGCAATTTCAATGGAGATTATCCATTGAGCAGGCTTTTTAGTCCAGGACTATGCTTAATCTGGATTCTGGAAACTGGCCCTAAGTGCATGCATTGTTTGTTTTTTGTTTGTGTCTAAATTCATACTGGATGATCAGATGTGGCTGGCTTTTCCTCACCTGTTTCTGCATTCCACACGTAGGCCATCCCATCCTCGCTGCCTGAGAAGATGAAGCTCCCACAGGGTGTGAACGTGCTGTGGATCCTCTCCCTGTAGTTAGTGGCACCTGTGTATTTCTTCACAGCCAATCTGCAACAACACACACACAAATGACATTTTAGAAGTCTGTACATTAGATAAATAAAAGGAACATGGAAACTTACTTGAGTTATGGCAATACACAACTACACTCACCGGACACTGTCCTACAGACAGTGAGTCACGGGGCCGTGCCTTGCTATATAAAGCAGGCAGAGGCATTAAGTTACTGTTCGATTGAATGTTAGAATGGGAAAAACGAGTGACCTAAGCAACTTTGAGCGTGGTATGATCGTCGGTGCCAGGTGCACCGGATCCAGTATCTCAGAAATGGCCGCCCTCCCGGGATTTTCACTCACGACAGTGTCTAGGGTTTACCGAGAACGGTGCGACAAACAAAAAACATTCAGTCAGCGGCAGTCCTGTGGGCTAAAACAGCTCATTAATGAGAAAGGTCAAAGGAATTGGAAAGAATTGTTGTGCAAGCCAACAGGCGGGCCACAAACAGACAAATAATGGCGCAGTACAACAGTGGTGTGCAGAACGGCATCTCAGAACGCACAACTCATCGATCCTTGTCACTGATGGGCTATTGCAGCAAACGACCACACAGGGTTCCATTCCTATCAGCTAAAAACAAGTAGAAGCGTTTCCAGTGGGCACGCGATCACCAACACTGGATAATTGAGGAGTGGAAAGAAAAATCGCCTGGTCCGACCAATCCCGGTTCCCGTTGCGTCATGCTGATGGCAGGGTCAGGATTTGGCGTAAGCAGCATGTTACAGGCTGGTGGCGGTGGTTTGGGGAATGTTTTTCTGGCACACGTTAGGTCCCTTGAGCAACGAACGTTTCCAACACCTTGTAGAATCCATGCCCTGAAGAATTCATGCTGTTCTGGAGGCAAATGGGGGTCCGACCCGGTACCAGATTGGTATACCTAATAAACTCAGGGCACCAATGGAAATGAGACTCTGGTCTCAATTGGGGTTTAAAAAAAATATATATATATATTTACACTCTGAGATCCATCACCCTGACAACGCTGTCTTTGGCGTGGATCAGTAGACGACGACCATTAGGATGGACCTCTAATGTGTTGATGGGAAGGCCATTCAGGTCACACTCTTCTATCTCCTGCAGGGTAAAATAAAGTATTAATCCAGCTCTCTAATTTGAATGAATGAATACACTTTATTGATCCCCAGAGGGAACATTGTCACCAGCATAAGACACTTCATGCTAAAAAAATTGTTCTCAAACCTTCTCAATCTTCCAGTGACGACACGGTCTCTGATGCAGACTGTCATCAACCGACGTCCGCCACACAATGATGAACCCAACGTTGTCCGCAGAGAACATTCGGTTTCCTGAATAGACATACAGTAAACACATTACTTCCATATTTCAATCCTCATGCGATAAGGGCGGTAAGCCATCCACCAAATGCCATGAATATATACTCTAGTCAGGAACAAAAAACAGTTATTCTCCAATAGAAAGAGACTGCTGAAGTAAGAAGTGCTTTATAAATAAATGTGATTGATTGATTTACTGACTCCATACCTTCAGAGTTGAAACACAGAGCGTTGATGAAGCTCTTGTGACCATCAAACTCCTGGAGCAGCAGTCCGTTGATATCCTTGACGTCCACCCTCCAGACCCTCACCAGACAGTCGTACCCAGCCGTCACCACCATGCCCTGGGCCGTAGGGTGGTACTGAGCACAGTAGACAAATGATGGGTGGGGGAGCACCTTCTGGGCGATGGCCTGGAACCTCTGCACGTTCCACACTCTGCAAGAGAGAATTGAGAGGGATCATAGTGTTGTACAATTAGATCAGGATATCAGATATGTCGAAGAAGAGAATGCATGTGCTGATGATGTATGGAGTGCTAAGCTTGCTGAGTAAACTTCCCCTTACTTATACCCACCGTGTCCTCATGTTACTGAGCATGCTACACCACACATCATTTATACTGAACAAAAATATAAAACGCAGCATGCAACAATTTCAATGATTTTACTGAGTTACAGTTCATATAAGGAAATCAGTCAATTGAAATAAATTAATTAGGTCCTAATTAGGGGTGTAACGATCCATCTACTACATCGATGTATCGATTTATATTCATATGATCCAACTACATCGATCTGTGCTCGGCGAGTTGGCCTTTTGGACAACATATATCGATCTAACATCGTTTTAAAATGTAATAAATCGATTGTATCGATACTAGGAAATAACCCATTGGATTTAAGCACGTCAGACTTTATATGCAGGGGTGCACATAACTGGTACGCAGATACGCAAGCGCGACAAAAATCAGGAATGCGTAATGCCACCTGTGTTACTACGCGCCTTTGCGTACTTGACCGATCTTCTCATCTAACCTTACACATGACATGTTGCTTGTCAACTACTGTCAGGGATGTCCAAAAGCAACAGACATTAAGCAGCTTCTTTGGCGTTTCGCCACCTACAAAGAAACGCCAACTGGAGCCAGAGCCGAAGAAAATACTTTTTTCGGAAAAGTGGCTCCAAGATGTGCAGTGGCTTGAAGCTAACGATGAGCGCACTGAAATGTGGTGCAAGATTTGCCGCTCAAATCCACATCTAGCAGACAAAACAGGTGCATTTTATAAAGGCTCAAAGAATTTCAACCATCCTTTATTTGACAAACATGAAAAGAGCAAGGAGTACACGAATGTGGCGCAAGCCATTGCTAAAAGCTAGCCGAGAATAAATGTCCAGTCGCCCACTTGCCAGATGGCGAGACAAGCTGAATGAAGAACAGCGGCAAGCTCTGTTTAATATTTTTCTCTTTCCATAAAGCTAAACATCAGATCCATCAAAAAGCAGCCCCCAAAATTCAGCAGACTGCAACTTGGCTCGTAACTCCCCGCTGATGGTGTGAGCGATGCTAGAGCAAAAAAAACTGCTGCACTGAATAAAGCTATGTGAAGAAAATGGGATCTCCTTTGTGGAACTGGGTAAGTTTCATAATACCAGATGGTCTGCATGGAGGCATGAAACACTGTTAAAAATATAAAGACTATTGCCAGCCATTAAAATGCAACTGGTTACCAGGTATTTATTTCAGTCACACTGGTTGAATTTTTGGCTAAAAGGTTACTGAATCGATTTCAAGTCACTGAATCGTTTCGGATCGTATCGTTCTAAATGAACCAATATCGTCCTTGAATAGTATCGACAACCACGAATCGTGATACAAATCGAATCGTTGTTAAAACGAATCGTTACACCCCTAGTCCTAATCTATGGATTTCACATGACTGGTCAGGGGCGCAGCCATGGGTGGGCCTTGGAGGGCATAGGCCCACCCACTGGGGAGCCAGGCCCAGCCAATCAGAATACGTTTTTCCCCACAAAAGGGCTTTATTACAGACAGAAATACTCCTCAGTTTCATCAGCTGTCTGGGTGGCTGGTCTCAGGTGATCCCGCAGGTGAAGAAGCCGGAGGTGGAGGTCCTGGGCTGGCGTGACTACACGTGGTCTGCGGTTGTGAGGCCGGTTGGACGTACTGCCAAATTCTCCAAAACGACTTATGGTAGAGAAATTAACATTACATTCTCTGTCAACAGCTCTGTTGGACATTCCTGCAGTCAGCATGCCAATTGCACGCTCTCGCAAAACTTGTGGCATTGTGTTGTGTGACAAAACCTCACATTTCAGAGTGGCCTTTTATTGTCCCCAGCACAAGGTGCACCTGTGTAATGATCATGCTGTTTAATAAGCTTCTTGATGGATTATCTTGGCAAAGGAGAAATGCTCACTAACAGGGATGTAAAGAAATGTGTGCACAAAATTTGAGAGAAATAAGCTTTTTGTGCGTATGGAACATTTCTTTGATCTTTTATTTCAGCTAATGAAACATGGGACCAACACATTACATGTTGCGTTTATATTTTTGTTCAGTATATTATACAGTGCATTCGGAAAGTATTTAGATCCCGTCACTTTTTCCACATTGTTACATTACAGCCTTATTCTAAAACGTTTTACAGTATTTTTTTCCCCTCATCAATCTACACACAACACCCCATAACGACAAAGCGAAAACAGGACATGATTTGGAAAGGCACACACCTGTCTATATAAGGTACCACAATTGACAGTGCATGTCAGAGCAAAAACCAAGCCATGAGGTCGAAGGAATTGTCCGTAGAGCTCCGAGACAGGATTGTGTCGAGGCACAGATCTGGAGAAGGGTACCAATACATTTCTGCAACATTGAAGGTCCCCAAGAACATAGTGGCCTCCATCATTCTTCAATGGAAGAAGTTTGGAACCACCAAGACTCTTCCTAGAGCTGGCCACCTGGCCAAACTGAGCAATCAGGGGAGAAGGGCCTTGGTCAGGGAGGTCACTCTGACAGAGCTACAGAGTTCCTCTGTGGGGATGGGAGAACCTTCCAGAAGGACAACCATCTCTGCAGCACTCCACCAATTAGGCCTTTTTGGTAGAGTGGCCAGACAGAAGCCACTCCTCAGTAAAAGGCACATGACAGCCCGCTTGGAGTTTGCAAAAAGGAACCTAAAGGACTCTCAAATCATGAGAAACAAGATTCTCTGGTCTGATGAAACCAAGATTGAACTCCTTGGCCTGAATGCCAAGCGTCACGTCTGGAGGAAACCAGGCACCGCTCATCACCTGGCCAATACCATCCCTGCGGTGAAGCATGGTGGTGGTTGGATCATGCTGTGGGGATGTTTTTCAGAGGCAAGGACTGGGAGACTAGTCAGGATCAAGGGAAAGATGAACGGACCCTAAGTACACAGCCAAGACAACGCAAGAGTGGCTTCGGGACAAGTCTCTGAATGTCCTCGAGTGGCCCAGCCAGAGCCCAGACTTGAACCCGATCGAACATCTCTGGAGAGACCTGAAAATAGCAGTGCAGCAACGCTCCCCATCCAACCTGACAGAGCTTGAGAGGATCTGCAGAGAAGAATGGGAGAAACTCCCCAAATACAGGTGTGCCAAGCTTGTAGCATCATACCCCAGAAGACTTAAGGCTGTAATCACTGCCAAAGATGCTTCAACAAAGTACTGAGTAAAGGGTCTGAATACTTATGTAAATGTGATATTTATTTTTAATACATTTGCAAACATTTCTAAAAACCTGTTATTGCCTTTGTCATTATGGGGTATTGTGTGTAGATTGATGAGGGGGAAAAAACAATTTAATCAATTTTAAAATAAGGCTGTAAGGTAACAAAATGTGGAAAAAGTGAAGGGGTCTGAATACTTTCCGAATGCGCTGTATATTGTGCATGCACCATTAGAGAGAGAGGCATGGTGCCTAGTGCACACATGCCCCCTAGAGGAGATATGTGGGTATGACATCAATACATTATATTAGTGACAACACGTACACAAATATATCCTAAGCATCAGCGTAATCTAATCGAGGCTCCATGTTTCTCTTTCCCAGGCAGGGTATATTTGAGGTACAGGTAGACCATTTACCTGACAGTGCCATCAGAGGAGGCAGACAGGAGGCTCCGGTCGTCTCTGGACCAGCAGAGATCATACACGATACTGAGGTGGCCGTTGAAGGCAGCCAACACCTTGCCTGAAGGAATCTCATACACTGACAAAACAAAAACGATTAGATAACTAAAATAATAAATCAATAATTCATACTCGTTTGGGAGTAACACACAGAATTCATTACTCAAGTGAATCAATCTCCTTAGCTCAGTGTAACTAACGTTTTAGGGTGTTTTGGTCCTTTTCAGCCAATGTTTGTGAACTCAATGTGGATCACTTAAGCTTTTGTGCAGTGTGAACACTTCAAAGAAACTCAGACCCCTCAAAAGAACCCACGAAGCGAACTGAAACCATCTCGAGAGGTGGTCTGAGTTCGGTTCGCTTGAATTCCGTGGTCCGGTTCCCTTTTTCAGGGCAATGTGAAGACAAAGCTCCCCAGGTTCGCTTGTCATTATTCCCGCACTACACACACTAGACTACTGCAACACCGTTTCCCCTGACATAACCCCTCACATCATCAAGGACATCAACCACCCGAGCCACTGCCTGTTCACCCGCTATCATCCAGAAGGCGAGGTCAGTACAGGTGCATCAAAGCTGGGACCGAGAGAATGAAAAACAGCTTCTATCTCAAGGCCATCAGACTGTTAAATAGCCATCACCAGCACATTAGAGGCTGCTGTTGCCTATTGAAATCACTGGCCACTTTAAGAAATGGAACACTAGTCACTTTAATAATGTTTACATATCTTGCACTACTCATCTCATATCTATATACTGTATTCTATAATATTCTACTGTATCTTAGTCCATGCCGCTCTGTCATTGCTTGTCCATATACAGTGGGGGGAAAAAAGTATTTAGTCAGCCACCAATTGTGCAAGTTCTTCCACTTAAAAATATGAGAGAGGCCTGTAATTTTCATCATAGGTACAGGTCAACTATGCCAGACAAATTGAGAGAAAAAAAATCCAGAAATTCACATTGTAGGATTTTTAATGAATTTATATGCAAATTATGGTGGAAAATAAGTATTTGGTCACCTACAAACAAGCAAGATTTCTGGCTCTCACAGACCTGTAACTTCTTCTTTAAGAGGCTCCTCTGTCCTCCACTCGTTACCTGTATTAATGGCACCTGTTTGAACTTGTTATCAGTATAAAAGACACCTGTCCACAACCTCAAACAGTCACACTCCAAACTCCACTATGGCCAAGACCAAAGAGCTGTCAAAGGACACCAGAAACAAAATTGTAGACCTGCACCAGGCTGGGAAGACTGAATCTGCAATAGGTAAGCAGCTTGGTTTGAAGAAATCAACTGTGGGAGCAATTATTAGGAAATGGAAGACGTACAAGACCACTGATAATCTCCCTCGATCTGGGGCTCCACGCAAGATCTCACCCCGTGGGGTCAAAATGATCACAAGAACGGTGAGCAAAAATCCCAGAACCACACGGGGGGACCTAGTGAATGACCTGCAGAGAGCTGGGACCAAAGTAACAAAGCCTACCATCAGTAACACACTACGCCGCCAGGGACTCAAATCCTGCAGTGCCAGACGTGTCCCCCTGCTTAAGCCAGTACATGTCCAGGCCCTTCTGAAATTTGCTAGAGTGCATTTGGATGATCCAGAAGAGGATTGGGAGAATGTCATATGGTCAGATGAAACCAAAATATAACTTTTTGGTAAAAACTCAACTCGTCGTGTTTGGAGGACAAAGAATGCTGAGTTGCATCCAAAGAACACCATACCTACTGTGAAGCATGGGGGTGGAAACATCATGCTTTGGGGCTGTTTTTCTGCAAAGGGACCAGGACAACTGATCCGTGTAAAGGAAAGAATGAATGGGGCCATGTATCGTGAGATTGAGTGAAAACCTCCTTCCATCAGCAAGGGCATTGAAGATGAAACGTGGCTGGGTCTTTCAGCATGACAATGATCCCAAACACACAGCCCGGGCAACGAAGGAGTGGCTTCGTAAGAAGCATTTCAAGGTCCTGGAGTGGCCTAGCCAGTCTCCAGATCTCAACCCCATAGAAAATCTTTGGAGGGAGTTGAAAGTCCGTGTTGCCCAGCGACAGCCCCAAAACATCACTGCTCTAGAGGAGATCTGCATGGAGGAATGGGCCAAAATACCAGCAACAGTGTGTGAAAACCTTGTGAAGACTTACAGAAAATGTTTGACCTGTGTCATTGCCAACAAAGGGTATATAACAAAGTATTGAGAAACTTTTGTTATTGACCAAATACTTATTTTCCACCATAATTTTCAAATAAATTCATTTAAAAAATCGTACAATGTGATTTTCTGGATTTTTTTTCCTCATTTTGTCTGTCATAGTTGACGTGTACCTATGATGGAAATTACAGGCCTCTCATCTTTTTAAGTGGGAGAACTTGCACAATTGGTGGCTGACTAAATACATTTTTTCCCCACTGTATGTATATATTCTTAAATTCCATTCCTTGCTTAGATTTGTGTGTATTGGGTATATGTTCTGAAATTGTTAGATATTACTGCACTGTCGGAGCTAGAAGCACAAGCATTTCGCCTCACCCACAATAACATCTGCTAAACACGTGTATGTGACAAATAAAATTTGATTTGACATTGGTGCCACAAAAGACAGAAGATGGTGATGTGCAGGTTTTGCAGAAAGAAACATGTGCTGTTTTGGGATACTGATTAGCGATTGCCAAGGATGCACAGAAATTCCAAGATGTGTGTGGAATTTTTCCTTCAGATAATTTTTTTGCAATATGTAAGACTAAGAGAGCTCCATAAGCTGTTTATTGGATTGTGGGGTTTGAATAGTGTGAGACGGCAACATATTGGGTAAGAATCACAACATAGGGTACAAAACCAATTCTAGCTCTTAAAGGGGTAGTAGCCTACATTGGGTGTACAATTTTCAATTACAGCATTATTTAATCTGCAGTTATTCTTCTCCTATTTATTCTGTTACCAATAATATGTACATGTTAATAGTCTCTTCTGATTACTATTATGTCTCATCTTTGAACTAAATGCAATCTATTAGCTTCCAAAATGTAAGTAGGTATGTCTAGCTGTCCGATAACACGTTCTGATGAAATGGCTTGTCCTGCACTTTGTAAAGACCCAGAGTGCATCGAGTGAATGTTGGAAAAAGATCTTGGTTCCTTTTTAAGCATAGCAATGTGAATGCAAAGAGGACTCGGACAACAAAATAGGTGAAGTGAACTGGCAAAAGAGTTAAGTCCTCATTCAAAGGCAAGGGCAGTGTGAATTCAAAGAGAACTGCGTTATTTTGCTCTTTCTTTTTTACTCCAGAGTTCACTTTAAAGAGGACTGAGATCGGTTCTTTTAAAGACTATATGTGAAAACACATTACAACAGGAAGAACAACAGGCATGTTCCTTCAGAAAGTATTCACACCCCTTGACTTTTTCCTCATTTTGTTGTGTTACAGTCTGAATTTAAAATTGATTCAATTGAGATTGTGTGTCACTGGCCGAGACACAATACCCCATAAAGTCAAAGTGGAATTATGTTTCTCGAAATTTTACAAATTAATAAAAGTTCAGGAGTAAACATTTGCTTAACAAGTCACATAATAAGTTGCATGGACTTACAGTGTGCAATAATAGTGTTTAACATGACTTTTCAAATGACTACCTCATCTCTGTACCCCACACATACAATTATTTGTAAGGTCCCTCAGTCAAGCAGTGAAATTTCATTCACAGATTCAACCACAAAAAAAACAGGGAGGTTTTCCAATGTCTCGCAAAGAAGGGCACCTATTTTAAAAAGCAGACATTGAATATCCCTTTGAGCGTGGTGAAGTTATTAATTACACTTTGGATGCTGTATCAATACACCCAGTCACTACAAAGATAAAGGCGTCCTTCCTAACTCAGATGCCTGAGAGGAAGGAAACGCTCAGGGATTTCACCATGAGGCCAATGGGACTTTAAAACAGTTAGAGAGTTTAATGGCTGTGATAGGAGAAAACTGAGGATGGAACAACAACATTGTAGTTACTCCACAATACTAACCAAATTGACAGAGCGAAAAGAAGGAAGCCTGTCCAGAATAAAAATATTCTAAAACATGCATCTTGTTTGCAACAAGGCACTAAAGTAATACTGCCAAAAATGTGGCAAAGAAATTCAACTTTTTGTCCTGAATACAAAGTGTGATGTTTGGGGCAAATCCAATACGACACATTACTGAGTACCACCCTCCATATTTTCAAGCATATGTTATGGATATGCTTGTAATCATGAAGTACTGTGGAGTTTTTCAGGATAAAAAAGAAACGGAATGGAGCTAAGTACAGGCAAAATCCTAGAGGAAAACCTGGTTCAGTCTGCTTTCCACCAAAAACTGGGAGATGAATTCACCTTTCAGCAGGACAATAACCTAAAACACAAGGCCAAATCTACACTGGAGTTGCTTACCAAGAAGACAGTGAATGTTCCTGAGTGGCTGAGTTACAGTTTTGACTTAAATCTACGTCAAGACCTGAAAATTGTTGTCTAGCAATGATCAGCAACCAATTTGACAGCTTGAAGAATTTTGAAAAGAATAATGGACAAATGTTGCACAATCCAGGTGTGGAAAGCTCTTAAAGACTCACAGCTGTAATAGCTGCCAAAGGTGCTTCTATAAAGTATGGACTCAGGGGTGTGAATACTTAAGTAAATGAGAAATATTTCTGTATTTCATTTTCAATAAATTTGCTAAATTTTCTAAAAACATGTTTTCACTTTGTCATTATGGGGTATTGTGGGTAGATGGGTGAGAAAAATAATCTATATAATCAATTTTGTATTCAGGCTGTAACACAACATAATGTGGAATAAGTCAAGGGGTATAAATACTTTCTGAAGGCACTGAGCAATAAGAGAGATCTGAGCAGGGGTTTACAATTCTTACCTATGATGGGGAAAGCATCTCTGTCAGCACACGCAGCAGCCAGCCTCCTCCCGTTGTGGGAGAATCGTATCGTGAAACAACCCATCTGACCACCACGGAACGACAGCATGGGCTTATTAGGGATCCGGCACACCTGTAACATAAATTCAACTTAATCAAATAACACATCTGGGGACAATTGATGGCATTTCTGGATTTCCCAGCAAACACACAACCACCACAGAACATTGCGTAAATGTTGTCTCAAAGTTGTGTTTCTCAACATGCCTTCATGACTTTATAACAACATTTACATTTACATTTTAGTCATTTAGCAGACGCTCTTATCCAGAGCGACTTACAGTTAGTGAATACATACATATATATATATATATTTTTTTTTTTTATACTGGCCCCCCCGTGGGAAATGAACCCACAACCCTGGCGTTGCAAACGCCATGCTCTATCAACTGAGCTACATCCCTGCCGGCCATTCCCTCCCCTACCCTGGACGACGCTGGGCCAATTGTGCGCCGCCCATGAGTCTCCCGGTCGCGGCCGACTGCGACAGAGCCTGGATTCGAACCAGGATCTAGTGGCACAGCCTTAGACCACTGCGCCACTCGGGAGTACCAACAACGATTGGACAGCCCTTGAATTAGGTAGCAGTTAGATACTGTTAGAAGAGAGATTCGAGATTCTTAGAAAATAGATAATTTAGTAAACAGACCTGGCCAGGCATTCTGCTCCAACGGAGCTCAGGTTTGTTGCCTAGAGGTTGTGTTATGGTTCTCCTGGTGATCTCACTCTGCAGCTCGCTAAAGGAAGTGGAGCCTCTCTCCTGCTGCAGGGCCATCATGGAGCGGATACTAGGGTCCACCTACACAACAGACCAACACAGCATATGGTCAAACCACAACTCACCCCATGGGAAATAAAACAGCAACTCCTTATGGATGAAGATTTGATTTCTACTACTAAACTGCTACTACTAATAACGTACTAATACATTATTATTATACTATTGCTATTAGTATTATTTGCATTATCATCATAGTGGTGGTAGTGGTAGTTTTGCTAAAGCAGACATTTCAGTAACATGTAGTATGATTTCAAAGCAGTTTTGACTTACATGATCGGGTAGTTTGAGGCCTTTCACAGTGATGTAGAGGGTGGATGTGTATCTGCTACGGGGATATCTTCTCCACCAGTCCACCACCTCAATGGTCTTTTCTTGTCTCTTGCCCCGGGGAGGGGGACAGAAGAGCTGCAAACGCAGTTTACTGTCGATGTTCAGCACTCCGTTAGTGCCCACAAGCTGCAGGGAACAGAGATGTAGAAATAAAAATTGTTACAAATCGTTTTTTTTCTTCAATAATGGAAAAACTCATTGTTATTCATAACGACCTGACAAAAATATTTCTAAATGCATTACCTTTAGAAATGCCCAGGCGATCTTTCGAAACCCTCGTTCATGTCTGTCGACGTCAACATTGGCTCTGGCTTCCTCCATGGTCATGAAATCCAGGACCTGAAATATATTTAAGAGACAATCTTTTCAAAATGGCCTTTTGGAAAAAGTTTCTGGTTGATGCTTAATGTGTGTCAAGATTTTTTCCCCTACTGCTGCAAGAAAAAATACATTGAAAATTGCACAAGGAAGATATTGGTGTCACACACTCATCCTCTTTGCATTATTTTTACCTCAAAAAATAGCATAACTCTAGGGCCTTCATGGTTATCCTGGAGGAAATATCCAAAGCGCTCGTTGAAGATGATCTGCTCCTCCCACTCTGGAACGGTTGACTTGTTCTTCTTGAAGTCAAAAGGCTGGGTGATGATGGGAAGGATATGCTCCACACTCTCCTGCTCGTAGAACGACGAGACCGGACGATGACTGCAAAATACGGAGAGGGATACAAAAACGATTTGATCAAAATTCTCGTCACCACCAGTTTTTTAATTTGTTGTGACGGCAACATGTAACAACTAGCCTGGTCCCAGATTGGTTTGTGCTGCGAACTGCTATGGTCATAGTCAGATCGGTTTATGCTACGAACTGCTATGTTTATTGCCAAACAACAACCATAGGAGTTAAATGACAGCAGAAACAGATCTGGACCACCAAGCTAGTAACACCAAAAACCCACAATGAACAAAATCACAAACTAACAAAACCATTTCTCACCTGTCCTCTTTTTTCACGTATTGCCCAGTCATCTCATCAATAACATGGATCTTGACCATAGGGTGTGAGACCAACAGGTCAGTCTTCAGGCGGTCTGTCCTGTGGATGTAGACTCCCAGGACCAGGTTGTCATCAAAGACTGGTCCCTGAGGAGTTTCAGCAATCTCTGTATCACTCGCCTCCTTCACCACTACAACCAGGGAAAGAAGTGTTACTCAATGTTATTATGTTATTCACCTTCCAAGTAAAGCAGAGTATTTTGTGCTTCCCTATCTTCGTACAGTATCACACTAACTAATGTTATTGAAGATAGCAAAAAAACATCACACCAACTTTTCAAGAAGAGCTTAGCCACATAATTCCTAACTGTTCATAATGCAAGTTGTATGACCTGCGGAATGTTTTCTTAGCTTTTTCTACCCACCTTGCTTAATTTTTTTCTTCTTTTTGCCTTTAGATTTTAAAGATTCTAGTCTGTCCTCCTCGTCCTCCTCTTGGTGGCTCTCTTGGCTCTTCTCTTTGGACCGCTTCCTCTCAGTGACATCCTCAGACTGGCTATTCTGCAGATCTTCTATCATACTGTAAAACAAAATAGAATATATTATCATAATTATTTTCCATGGCATTAGTGGGTAGTTTAGGCCTATAGCCTGGTCCCAGATCTGTTTTTGCTTTATAGCCAACTTCTATGGACATTGTTATGCCAAGAATATGGCTATAAAGGTTGCCAAGATAGCACAAGCAGATCTGGCTAGGTCATTTACAGCTTCCTTCCAGGTTCATGCAAACCTTACTAGTTATGAAAGTTCATCCTGTAAGACTTCTACAAACCTCGCCTCCCTCTCCTCCAGATCCAATGACGACCTCAGCTTCTTCTTCTTCTTCTTTGCACCTTCATTGTTTAATGCTACTACTTCCTGAGCGGCAGCATTGGTCTTGTCTGTTGTTGACTTCTTGTGTACAGTCTTCTTCACAGTAGCCATTTCCTCTTCCTGTGCCATCTGCTGCTGGTACTCATGAAGCAACTCATCCTCAGCTTCCACCGCATCCCCACTCTGGGCCCCGGACACCTCCTCCTCTCCTTCTTTACTGTTCCCTTTCTTACTCTTTCTCCTCTGTATATTCCCAGGATCTTCCGACTCCAAGGAGGCCTTGGATTTAGGTGTTTTGGCATTTCCAGCAGTACTGTCAGTCTGGTCGATTTTAATGATATAACTGTTCTCCTGCTGCACTGGGGCTGGAGGCAGCTCCCTTGTACTTTTACCCTTCCTCTTCCCGTTGATTGGTTGCTCCTCCTCGTCCTGGTTCCCATTGTTGTTGTTGTTGACCTTCTCTGTTACCTCCCTCTCCCTACGCTTGTTCTTGGTGAAACGAGGGCTGCCCCGTTCAGCGTGGTAGATGTTCTGAAGAACAGTCTCATCGTCCTCTGTGTCTTTCACAAGGTCAAGGTTTTGTTTCAAAGTCTGGAGCTGAAAGAGAAGAGTGGGGATGCAAAGGTAAGAATAGGCATTTATGTGCATGGAAGTTAATTTTACAGAAACCATGCACAACAAATATTGTTAAAGTGATTTCAGCCCCAAACCTTCTTAATCTGACCTATTCGAACGTACCACAATACTCTCCTGCTCTGGCTGAGCTGGGCTCTTCTTCTTCACTTTTTTCTTCTCCGATGTAGCCGGGTCAGTGTATCTCTTGAAGACCTCGTCAAAACTGGCCCTGGTCTTAGCTCGAGCTTCACTCTCACCTAGAGAATAAATATAGTCTGTTACTCAGTTTCCTATATTCATAAGGCCAGGGCTTAATTTATTAACCAAGCTATGGTATGTGTGTACTCACCTGCTGGCATTCTCGAATGCTGAAGTGACACTCATTCTGCATGCAAAGGACCAAGGGAGATTTTCCTCCTGAAAAATGCAAGGCAGCAGACTAATCAGATAACTACATTCATGTGGTAGATAAATAAGCTAGCTAGTTAGCTAACGTTAGCTAGCTACAGTAACAGGGCACAATACAATGTTATGGGTCTGACTGCAAGCAATGGAAGTTTTCAAACTTGTATTTGAACAATCTGCAAGCAAGCCTGCCTAGCCAGTCCATTTTGACTACATAGGCTAGGCCTTCTCAACTGATGACAACACACATAGCTAGCTATAGTCTATAGCATAGAACTGTGGCTAGCTAGCTTGCCGTTTTAGCTAACTTGTTAGCGTTACTAACATTAGCTAATGCTAGCTAATCAAATCAGCTAATCTGGCTAGCTAGGGTCACCACAATGATGCCAAACGTAACGGTGTTTTACAATCGTGCTTATTTAAGTGGATGGACATGCAAACTAACATCGACAAACTGAAAAACATACAATTTACCACAATATTTGAGTAAACGATTGGGACCCCACCACCAGCTCCGTTGCGATGGTTTCCAAAACAACAACAGTGAGAGATTTTTTTTCTCCAGATTGTGGATGACGTTCCAGCCATGGTCTTTGATTTCACCAATGAGCATCGGGAAGCGAAGTATCCTCCGCCCATCTAACGTCCAGCTGAATCCTATTGATTTTTTTTTTAGCAATGTGTGTACAATATAACTTTTATCAATCGGTAATTTTTCCTTGGAGAATATATAGTTGAAAATGTATCCAAGACATTGCACATCAGCCATTATTTCTCAATATCTGAATCTACTCTGCAGAACTCTACTTTTGGATAGCAATTAATTCATAGCCAAACGTATATGCATTTATCTTTTATGTATTTAGCATTTTTTTATGAATGTTGAGTCATATTTCCTTGTATTTAATGAACATGCTAAGAATCTTTGGAATGACAAAGGAACATGCGTCCCCACGTGCTTACTGTTGCGAGTTCAGCCGGATGCAACGTTCAGATAGAAATAGCCTAAGTAGAACAAACATGCCTCTCTGACATGTAGAATCACATCAGCTCTAGCCATAGCATTTCTATATGCAACGTTCGAAAACGTTTGACAACTGAACTATTCCCTGGTAGAATGTATTTGAACAATATCAATGTTTTACTATAGTGAATGTTGTCACTTTACTTTGGAGATGGCCACTGAAATATGTGAAAAGTGTGCGCAACTGCTGAAGGACTTCGATGCTCATGTAAAGAGATTGTCAGCTGAATTTGTACTTAAGATAAAGGAGTGTATAAAGGCCCTGTCAAGATGTAACTGTCTGAGGAAGAAGAGAGCATCTTCTGAGTCCTATACTTCTGAGCAGCACCAGAGACAGGCTGCTCGTCTACTGCTGGACCACCTGGACACAGGTAATGTAAATGGATGTGTAGTACACTAGTCTAATAACAGGTTTAACCCCACTGCCCAACCCAGTATTGTCTACAAACATTAAATACATACGAGCATCAGGATATCATGGGGCAGTGTTAATTTATTACACAACTCAGTCTGTGTACTGTGTAAGTGTCATTTTGAGTAGGTGATTTCAGCATTTAGCCTACTGGAAGTGTCATGTTTATTTGAGACAGCTGGTTATTATAAGTTTGTAATATTCTAACTGCTTTGTCATGGCTGTGCAGTGCAGCGAGGTCTCCCATCAGCTTAGCTCTCAAACTCTAGGCGGCTTTCTGCCTTCTCCCTACAATTTTCAGCCAATAGCTTCGCCCAGGACTGACTCATGTGAACTACATTCCCGACGCTGTGTTTGAACGTTTAGAAACGTCAATCATCGCTTGCGATACAGCTTTCGAAACATATGGCCTTTATCTTTAATCAGTAATAAAGAATCCTTCAAATAAAAAAAAGCCTCTTAACAAAACTCCACCCGACAGAAGACGCCTTCGTCCAATGACTCTTATGTGTAATGTAATGGAACTGAGCGTCATGATCAAGGGCTACCATCAGTTTATCTTTTCTATTGTAGTGCTACAGTTGTGACCAGCATTATGAAAATGTCAGACCAAATGTTTTGCTTGAGGGCTGGGAGATAAGAATGTATTCCCCCTGTAACGTGGAGGCAGCCAATAGGTCTATAGTTGGAAAGCTATACTGTACAGCCTAGCGGTCTACAGAAAGATAAAAGTTGAAAATATAGGAATATGATTGGTGACATTGATTGTTTTTAATTCTGTCTTGTTGCAGTGGAGGCTCCTTTACCTGTTGCTATCCTGGAGCCATACACAGCCCTACTGCTATCCAATGACCTGGAGGTACAGAGGACCACCTCTCTGTCGCTGGTTCATTTGCTAGTGAAGAACAAAGGTATGTACACACAGACAGACACTCACACTGTCTTTGCCACATGTGTCAAGATTTAACACTGCACTATTGTTTTCCAGTGAGTTAGGAGAAGGTAATTGAGATGGGGATGCTGGTGCCCCTGCTAGAGATGCTCCAGTCTGTACAGTGTAACTCCTGTCAATGTGTTGCCTTACTGGCCTCAGGTCGGTGGACTAATGTTGTCACGTTTGATTTTGACTTCATTTGAACTTTGATTCCCAGAGGAAAATAATACGTCCCGGGCTTACAGAACAAGATCACTACACATGGCAATATACACATTACAAAATCAAGTGCTGGTGCTACTGTCAGTGCATTTCATGTTTACAATCAATCAGCCTGGTCTCATAGGCTAGACGTAACATAGTAAATGTAAATCTGGTACACTCAAATTAGTATGTTATGTTTGGTATGGTTACATAAGACAAATGTTTACTTAAGGCAAAAACAAAAGTAGGGTGGATGGTCGGGCGTATAATGCGATCGTCTAGCAACCCAAAGGTTGCGAGTTCGAAACTCATCACAGACAACTTTAGCATTTTAGCTAATTAGCAACTTTTCAACTACTTAGCATGTTAGCTAATAACCCATTCAGCTTCCCCTAACCTTAACCCTTTAACCTAACCTTTAACCTAACTCCTAAACTTAACCTTAACTTTAACCTGAAGGTTGCAAGTTTGAATCTCATCACGGACAATTTTAGCTAATTAGCAACTTTTCAACTACTTGCTACTTTTTAGCTACTTTGCAACTACTTAGCATGTTAGCTAATCCTTCCCCCAACTCTAACCCTTTAACCTAACTCCTAAACTTAACCGTAACCCTAACCCCAGCTGAAGTTAGCCAGCTAGCTAATGTTAGCCACCTAGTTAGAATTCATAACATATCATCATACGTTTGGAAATTCGTAACACATAGTATGTTAAGCAAATTTTTTACATATTGTACATTTTGCACATTTGTAACATATAATGCGAATTGTAATTTGTAACATATCATACAAAATAGGTGATGGACAACCACAAATTAATACCATACGAACTGTAACATATCATATTAAATGTAACGTCTCAAATTTACGTACAGACTACTCACATGGTTAGCATAGGTAGTTATCTACAGTACAACACATTATGTTAAACAGGAAACTGCTAAAATAATGGAAACACTTGAGTAAGTGAGGGATACAAATATATTGAAAGCAGGTTCTTCCACACAGGTTTGGTTCCTGAGGTAATTAAGCAATTAACATCCCAATATGCTTAGGGTCATGTAGAGAAATGCTGGGCAGCCCAGAATTTTTGCCATTATTTTGTCTACAATGGCTATGCCCCCATAGGATGACAATGCCTTCATCCACAGGGCAAGAGGATGTCTGAGACAGCGTTTGTCACACCCTGGCTCTGGGACTCTATATGTTGAGCCAGGGTGTGTTCATTCTATGTGTTATATTTCTATGTTGGGGGTTCTAGTTCTTCTGTTTCTTTGTTGGCCTGAGTGACTCCCAATCAGAGGCAACGAGTGTCAGCTGTGGCTGGTTGTCTCTGATTGGGAGCCATATTTAAACTGTCTGTTTTCCCTTGGTGTTTGTGGGTTTTTGTTCCAGTTGGTCATTGTTACCTAGGACGTTACGAGTCGTTTTGTTGTTTTGTATCGTGTGTGCACTTTAACTAATTAAAGTATGTTCGCTCAACACGCTGCGCCTTGGTCCTCCTCTATGTATGACGATCGTGACAGAAAAACCCACCATACAAGGACCAAGCAGCGTGTCCAGGAGCAGGCAGCCTGGACATGGAAGGAGATACAGGCCGGGATGGATCGGCGTCCGTGGGAAGAGACGGTGGAGGCGCGCCGGAGAGAGGAGCAGCGGCGCCAAACGGGTCAACGTCGGACAGGCGAGAGGCAACCCCAGAATTTTTAGGGGGGGGCACACGGCATGGACGACGGGGCTGACGGAGGCAGACAAGGGGCGTATTCAGAGGGCCACCAGGTTACGGGGGTCACTGGTAAAGGAAGGGAAGGAAGGTTTAGAGGCACGGCGAGAGGTACTGGGGTGTGTTACCAGTCCGGTCCGGCCCGTTCCAGATCCCGGTATAGAGCCAGTGGTGTGTGTCCCCAGTACGGTCCGGCCTGTCCCTGCTCCACGCACCAAGCCTACGGTGTGCGTCGCCAGCCCGGTCCGGCCTGTCCCTGCTCCACGCACCAAGCCTACGGTGTGCGTCGCCAGCCCGGTCCGGCCTGTCCCTGCTCCTCGCACCAAGCCTACGGTGTGCGTCGCCAGCCCGGTCCGGCCTGTCCCTGCTCCTCGCACCAAGCCTACGGTGTGCGTCGCCAGCCCGGTCCGGCCTGTCCCTGCTCCTCGCACCAAGCCTACGGTGTGCGTCGCCAGCCCGGTCCGGCCTGTCCCTGCTCCACGCACCAAGCCTACGGTGTGCGTCGCCAGCCCGGCCCGGCCTGTTCCTGCCCCTCGCACCAAGCCCACGGTGTGCGTCGCCAGCCCGGCCCGGCCTGTTCCTGCCACTCGCACCAAGCCTACGGTGTGCGTCGCCAGCCCGGCCCGGCCTGTTCCTGCCACTCGCACCAAGCCTACGGTGCGCGTCGCCAGCCCGGCCCTGCCTGTTCCTGCCACTCGCACCAAGCCTACGGTGCGCGTCGCCAGCCCGGCCCGGCCTGTTCCTGCCACTCGCACCAAGCCTACGGTGCGCGTCGCCAGCCCGGCCCGGCCTGTTCCTGCCACTCGCACCAAGCCTACGGTGCGCGTCGCCAGCCCGGCCCGGCCTGTTCCTGCTACTCGCACCAAGGCTGGGGTGCGAGTCGTCAGCCTGGTCCAGCCCGTTCCTGCCACTCGCACCAAGCCTACGGTGCGCGTCGCCAGCCCGGCCCGGCCTGTTCCTGCTACTCGCACCAAGCCTACGGTGCGCGTCGCCAGCCCGGCCCGGCCTGTTCCTGCTACTCGCACCAAGCCAGGGGTGCGAGTCGTCAGCCTGGTCCAGCCCGTTCCTGCTACTCGCACCAAGCCAGGGGTGCGAGTCGTCAGCCTGGTCCAGCCCGTTCCTGCTACTCGCACCAAGCCAGGGGTGCGAGTCGTCAGCCTGGTCCAGCCCGTTCCTGCTACTCGCACCAAGCCAGGGGTGCGAGTCGTCAGCCTGGTAAAGCCCGTTGCTGCTCCACGCACCAAGCCAGGGGTGCGAGTCGTCAGTCCGGTGAGGCCCGTTCCGGCTCCACGCACCAAGCCAGGGGTGCGCATCGTCAGCCCGGTCCGTCCCGTTGCTGCTCCACGCATCAAGCCAGGGGTGCGAGTCGTCAGCCTGGTAAGGCCCGTTCCCGCTCTACGCACCAAGCCAGGGGTGCGTATCGTCAGCCCGGTCCGGTCCGTCCCTGTCTCACGCACCAATCCAGGGGTGCGCGTCGTCAGTCCGGCACAACCCGTGCCTGGGTCACCGGTGCCTAATCAGGTACCGGTCAACTGCTCCACTACGGAGCTGAAGCTAACCGCTCCTGCTACGTCCAGTTCAGCTCCAGCCAGCGGGGCCAGACCGGACCAGGGGCGCTATGGGGGGTTTATTGGAGGGTGGTGGGCAAGGCCGGAGCCAGAACCGCCGCCGAGGAGGAATGCCCACCCAGCCCTCCCCTGTTTTGTTCTAGTGGAGGCGCGGTCGCAGTCCGCGCCTTTAGGGGGGGGTACTGTCACACCCTGGCTCTGGGACTCTATATGTTGAGCCAGGGTGTGTTCATTCTATGTGTTATATTTCTATGTTGGGGGTTCTAGTTCTTCTGTTTCTTTGTTGGCCTGAGTGACTCCCAATCAGAGGCAACGAGTGTCAGCTGTGGCTGGTTGTCTCTGATTGGGAGCCATATTTAAACTGTCTGTTTTCCCTTGGTGTTTGTGGGTTTTTGTTCCAGTTGGTCATTGTTACCTAGGACGTTACGAGTCGTTTTGTTTCGTGTGTGCACTTTAACTAATTAAAGTATGTTCGCTCAACACGCTGCGCCTTGGTCCTCCTCTATGTATGACGATCGTGACAGCGTTTTCCACCACCATTAACAAAATACCAAATTATGGAATTTCTGGTGGAAGAATGGTGTTGCATCCCGCTAATAGAGTTTCAGACACTTGTAGAATCTATGCCAAGGTGCATTGAAGCTGTTCTGGCTCATGGTGGCCCAACTCCCTATTAAGACACTTTATGTTGGTGTTTCCTTTATTTTGACAGTTACCTGTACATTCCAACATGTATGTGTTCCCTGCTGGAAGATGTATGTATGTATGTATGCCTTCATTCTTGCTGGTTAGTGAAAGGCATGGCACATATGTGGGACGTCCTGTTCCATGTGTTTTGTCAATATTTTATGCTAACCCAACATTCCATTCTAATCCAACATGACTCTCAGTTTTCCAAACTAGATGTAATCTCAATTTGCTTCAATTTTGTTGTAGACTCAAACAGAGAAGCTATCGTGTCAGCTGATTGGGTGATTCCACTACTGGTTTTAGCCAAGTGTTACGATCCTCAAGTCCAAAAGAATGCAGTTTGGGACCATTTAAACCTCAAACAGTCTGGTAGGTCTGCACAGGACTGTCCACCAGTAGATAATGTACATATCTCAGGTTGCCGCCACATTTTGGGTTGTTGCTGTGTTGATATGTTCAAAATGGGTGGAGTTCAAATTACACATTAGTTGGCTGTGTTCAGCTTGTTTGTTGACTTTTCAAAATAAGTGATGTGTGCCACTGTTAACCATAGAGATCAATCAAGAATAGATGGCTAGATTGTGGTCCCAAAATTAATTATGAACCCTCATAACTCATGCCTAGACATACACTCACTGGCCAGTTTATTAGGTACACACATCTAGGACTGGGTCGGAACCCCCTTTGTCTCCAGGACAGCCTGCATTCTATAAGGTGTCGGAAACATTCTACAGGGATGTTGGTCCATGCTGACGCGACGGCATCACACAGTGGCTCCAGATTGGACGGCGGTACATTCATGCTGCGAACAGCCCGCTCTAGCTCATCCCAAAGATGCTCTATTGGGTTGAGATCTGGGGGCTGCGCAGGCCACTCAAGTAAACTGAACAAATACAATTTGGTGAACTATTTGGTTTTTACAAATAACCATTCAAATACTCAAATAAAATTACTATGTTTTGGGCTGTGTATTTAAAGGACTCAAATACACAGAAAACTTTAAATAATAAATACTCAAATACACATGTATTTGAACCCAGGTCTGCTGTCATGTAATGTTTTCATACTCAACCTCAGCCAAAATGTTTTAATTTTATTTCCAGAATGCATCACAAGCTTGCAGATGCCTTCGAATCCTTTCAGGGAATGGTCATTCTAACGTATAACCACGGAACACACCCATTTAACGTTATGAGGCACATATTCAACACAGATTGTTGTCGTGGAGACAAGGTCAATCACCATTCAGGATATTACTTAATTCAAAACGTATTAATAAGGTCATAAGTGAGGCTGGTCGACCCAACACTCTTGACTGTTGGGTTGAAAAGCTCCGACATACAGACAATACAAATATATTTTATAGCACGATACACCCTCCCAGTCTATATGACAAACAATAGATGTGTGGAATGGGTCAAAAGGTGAGACTTGATATATGAGAAAGGAGTATCTCCCATCCAGATAGCATTTGCTATGAAGACTGTTCTTACTGTATGGAAACCAGAGTTTGGCCCCCAAAACAAGGTTCCTCTCATCATTATCCATACCCGAGCCATCTCTCCCTGGTACCTTACATTACACAAACCCCAACTCATTCTATGGAATGCATGCTGTAGGTTTTATCACCAAACCATCCATAAATCAATTGTCAGCTCCAGATACCCCTATCTCGAGTAAAACCCATGTCCTTGACCACACGCCTAGACTAGCTGCAGGGAGCTGGAGTAGAAACCACCCCTTTACAAAAACACAGCATTAGTAGAACAGTATATAATTGTTAACTATTAATATTAAACAAAGCAGGTAAACATGTTAGATGTTAATATTTCTCTCACATTGTGCAGAGCCTTGTGGATTGGATGCAGTGAGTTTGATTGTTATGCTTTTTTATTGTAGTTGTGACCCAGGAGCAGCTGATTCCTGGACTGTGTGTTGCCTCTGAAAGCTTTGCTGAGCTCCCCTGCTCTCCCTCTGGCTGCATCTGCTATAACACTACTGTCTGAGCTATCTACACACCAACCCAATAGAGTGAGACTTTTCATAATAGATAATGATGTTGATGGGGGCAACGGTAGCCTCAAAGTTAGAGGTAGCCAGTGAATCTCAGGGCCGACAAAAAAATCTGGAAGGATTCTATCTGTTATGATGGTGATTTACAATCAATGTTCTTTGTTCCAGTGTTAACAGTCAATATTCATTGTGTTTCCTTCAAGGAGAGCCTGGTGAATGAGAGCCCAGGACAGGTGATTAGGCAGCTGCTCCTCTGTCACAGATCTGTCACAGATCTAGCTCCATCATCATGAACCACAGTGTTGGTACCATCACCAACCTCAGCAGCACCAGCGAGGGACAGCAGGTAGTAACTGCTGCCATGTCGCTCACTCACTCACTCACTCACTCACTCACTAGAATATTAGGCTCTGTTCCAATGTCCACACTAGCATATTACGTAGAATACATGGCCATTACATTGCTTAATTCGAGCTGGTCTGCTTGTATGGACATTGGACTGTAGATGTGGTTTCCATCTAAATGTTCAGTCACATGTTCACTTTTTAAAAGGCTCACTTATTTATCAGTTTAGCATACCTATGGTCCTTCGAAACGGATATGGAGATACCGACCTGGTCATGTGATGTTATTATTGTAAAAAAGATTGACAATCATACGAATGCAGCTGATATTGGGAGCCATGCACTGTCATTAAAATGATTAACCTTTGTTGTGTTGTCTAGGCCTTGATGGACAGTGAGTGTGTAACAGGACTTCTCGAGGCCCTTGTGTCCAGTGTGACCTCAGAGGAGACTGTTCTGTGTTACTTCCTGTTTATATCAGCTGACCAGCTGGGGTGAAAGGATTGGGGTCAATATCATTTCAATTCAGCAAGTAAATTGAAATTCCAATTCCTCTTTTCTTTTCAGACTCACTTCGATCTCATTTGGCCACAAAAATGACCCCGGAACATGTTTCAAGTTTGTTTAAGTTTTCTGCACAAATGGAAAATGCAGAGCTGTAAAATCCATGTATTTTTCTTGTCGCTCATACAGACCATGTAATCCAACTACTGACACCACACTACGCTATATCTACTGATGTACCTCAAGAATCAGGAAGTGAGATTCCAGCAGCTGGGATTTGTTACTCTATGCAACCTCAAGAAAGGTTTGTCATGGTTTTGTAACAACCCGTTTGCCAGTCACGCTGTCTATGCCTAAAATAGCATATTTCTGTAGTTAATATCTCAGTCAATAACATTAATTTCTAGTCATTTGTCCTGAGCAAGTTAATACTAGCGGATTAACATAAGGGCAGGTACATGCAGTTATAGTCAAAAGGTGCGTTATGCTATGTCATGTTATTCTTCAGACGGAGAGTTGTCAGTGGTGATGAGTGGTAGTGTGCTCGACAAGCAGCTAAAGCGGGTGCATGCACAGACGGAGCAGACAAGACAGTTACTGCAGATGATTCAGAAGCCTCCATCCTCCTGACCAGTCCACTGGAGCCCTGCCTCAGGACACAGACTGAGACCTCTCTGCCTCAGGACACAGACTGAGACCTCTCTGCCTCAGGACACAGACTGAGATGTGGGACATGCGTATCACTGTTTGTACTGACTTGCCATTACCTTTAGAACATGACAATGATTGCTACTGCATGTCATGATTATGTTTTATGATGTTGATGAGGTGTTCTATTTTATGAGTGTTTACACTGGTGTGTTCTGAGGGTTTACATCCATATTGCACTGGTGAACAGGGGAAAAGGAACTGAATTGGGGTGTATTATATATATATATTCTACACAGATTCAAACAGATGTATCAGTGCATTGCTTTATTTGTTTTTACACTTTTGTACGTTTTAATAAACAGGCTTACATTTTACACTTCACTCTTTTTATAATTTGTTTTCTAAAATGATTGCACAATTTCCAAGAAGGGGACTGCCAAAATACTTTGCAAGTGGTCAACCACGAGTGAGTATATCTATAGTACTCTAAAACTATAAACCACACAAAGGTACTGAAACTATTCTGGAACTAAGTTCCATAGCAGCTTTGGATTATATTCCACAAAAATAGGGAATGTAACTAAGACAGAAAGTGTTCTTTATTTGAACTCAAAACTAAAGCTTTTATTCTGAAACTAGGATGCAAGTTCCTACTAACTGCAAGGCAAAGTGCTCAAATAGCAGCACAGTTAAAAAATGCTTAGGGAATAAGCTAAAGCACGTGGCTAAAAACATCAGTCGTGATTGTGAAACCTACAGTTAAAAATGTAGAGAGAATACATCTTTTCACAATTGATTGCTGTGTCTGACTCCCACCAAAGCGAACTCATTTTATCACAGTTTAAATCTACAGCTATGAGGCATGAGCTCTCATTTAGACTAGATAAGACATTGTCATTGCAGCAACACTGAACAAACAAGCTCCCCTGTCTAGTGTAGATACTGATACCACATGCAGCTCGTGCCACTTTGGATTAAAGAGAAATGTGACCAAATGGTGGTGATCGACTCCGAGATAGGAAAGTCTTCCAGGGAAAAGGAGTGTGTGTTGGTTTCACATCACATGCTCTCTCTCAAAGTGCAGGGCAGGAAAAAAAGCTGCAGTTATTCCTTTCTTTGTCGAAAAAAGGAAAAAACACCACAGCTGTGGAAAGATTCTTGGATGGGTTGTCTCCCCCCTCTGATCAGTACGATACTCAGATAACTTCTGAGGAGTATGTGATAGAAAAGGGTTAATAAGATCAAATCAGTTCATTCACTTCATATTTATCTTAGACTTAGAAGCACATACAACAAAAATGATTGAAAGGCCTTAACTATGCAATCAGCTTCATGGTTAGAATCACACATTGAATTTTAAGAGCGCATCATCTCTTGGGGCGCCCAAAGTATACTTTTTTTACAGTGTGTGAGGTGGTGATTTGCTATGGGGGTGCCCACTGCCCAGCCCACCCTTTCCCTTCTGAAATTAGAACCATGAGCTCATTCGTTCAGGACTCTAGTGTAATATCTACATAGCATAGAGCGTATAGATGAGCTGATGGAGGATCTGGTGATGAGCTCTCACCTGCTCGCTGATGGGATTGGATCTCCTCCATGCCTGTCAGAGTTCTCAGGGACCTGAATGAATGAACCAAAATGTGCTAGGCAACACATACAGTACATCACTTCTGATAACATGCATCACAGAACATGTTTCACAAGAAAAACATAAATATACTGTGGATATACCTGCGTTCTTTGAAGGCCACAACAGGAACCATGTCTTCCGTGTCACTCAGACCTAGCTTGGACGGTTTGGTCCCAGTCCCGACACCGACCCCTAGGTTGATGACCTCTTCTAAAGTGCCGTTGCCATTCTTAACAGGCTTAGTGTTCTCTTTTGGTTGGGCTTCCTCTGGAGAGGAGGAGTTACCGTTTGAGTTCCCATTCAGGGCAGGCTTCTGCATGAAAACAAAACAATAATGTCAATTTGGTCAAGTCAAGGGCAAGTTCTGTTTATTTTTTAAAGCAAAGTATGGTTAATAACATTGGTAATTGAGGCAGGAAATTACAAGTGCTTTGGTTTAGTTTTTTGCTAAAACCGTTGTACCTTTGGGATGGATTTCATTAAAGTGATCACATCAATGTGGTCAAGGGCAAGTTTGGTTTGGTTTTTAAATGGTTAACGACTATGGTACTTGTGGCAGGAAAATACAAGTTTTTTTGTTTCATTTTAAGCCAAAGATGGGTAACCATTGGTAGGTGTGGCAGAACCTGAGTGCTTTAGGGCAATGTTCTTACGTCTTTATCTTCAACTGAAGGTTTCCTAGTTCTCCTCATGATCAACTCCAGTCGCTGAAAACAAAAAGAGGTCTGTTAAAAGTCTTGAACGCTTTTATGATAAACTATCACCCTTACTTAAGAACAAATGTTTGTTTGTGAAACACAAAACAAGAATACCCCCTAACCTCCCTCCATCCCATGTATTGAAGTTCACCATAATTGAGCTCCACTGTATAGAGATCCTGGGTGCTGCTTGTAGTCAATTGTACACAATATGGATCCCCAGAATATCTTACAAGCATTTCAGTATGATAAGAACATTTGCCTCTGTCTCTTTCACCTTTTTTCTCTCCTGTCGTTGTTCCTCCTCCTTCTGGAAGTGTTTGTCTCTCTCCAGCCTCTGCTGCTCTGCCTTCTCCCTGGCCTGGGTCTCCTCCTCCTCTCTCTGGGACACAGAGAACGGAAAGATCAGAATGGGACAATGTATTACTTAGTGTTTCAGTTATATATCGTCTATATCATTTGAGGGTGCATAAATATCTGATGGCCATCTGACCAAAGCACTTTCTAGCACTGTACAGTATTCATAGACCACATCCCTCACCTGTTTCTGGAGGAAAGCAGCTTCCTGCATGGCTCTGAGGGCTTTCTCTTCCTCTGCATGGGCCCTCTCCTCCTCTGCATGTTTCTGCTCCTCTTTCTCCCTCCTCTTCCTCTCTTCTACCAGCCACTGGGCCTCAGCCTCTAGCCGTGCTCGCTGCTCTACTCTCCTGCGCTCCAGCTCCTCTCTGCCTCGCCTATGATCCCACATAACATAACATTTGCATAACACCACACCATACATCACATTACTATACAAATTAATCTGAACCTTTGAACACACGCTAAATGCCCTCTTAGACTTCCTAAGCTGACAAATAGGTGCACAAGACACAACTGCGTATTTGTATTTTACGCGAAAAGTTTACTCAACAGATTTAGTTCATACTGGGAAGATTAATGTTGGGTCATTCGAAGATGTAAGGTGGCCCTCCGTCCGTACCTCTCTAACCCCTCCCTGCACAGGCTTTCCTCCTCCTCTCTCTCTCTCTTCAGGCGGGCCTCTCTCCTCTTCTCGGCCAGGAGACGTGAGGCCTCCTCTGGGTCCATGGTGCCAGCAGAGGGCCTTGGGCTGGGAGTGGCTCTAGGAGGGAGGGCTGAGGAGGTGGACATGTCATAAGAGTCACTCTGAACCAAAACACACCGATCCAAATTTGTAGAACTGGATATCCTGCATTGGAATTCACTCCAACCTCACACCCAAGAATACAATATCTGAAATCTATCTAGAAAATAGATAGTAATTGATGGTGCAGTACCTTTCATTTTTAGATACTCACCCTCACCTGCACTGCCTTCAGTACTAAGTGTGGTTTCTCTCTGAGTCTGAGGTTCTGGGGAGTGTAGGAATGGTTGGACCTGGTCCCATGCTGCAGCTGGGGTCCTGATGGGCCGTGAGTTCCCAGGGGAGAGGGTATGGTTGGGGACTGGAAGAACGTCCTCCTCTGGTACAGGGTCCAGTTCCAGCTCTAACTGCTGTGATGGGGGCTGTCTGATCACAGATGTGTGTCTGATCACAGGTTTACTGGAAAAAAGGAAGAGGAGACTTTTGTTTAGATAAATAAGTAAACAACATCAAAAGGGGTCACTAAGATGGGGTTGGTTGCACAATATTCTCAACAGAGTGCTATCATTGTATGAAAGAAATTCGGTACAGTCGTTTTTGTGAAAACAACATCCAGACACAATAACAGACAGACGGACGGATGGACAGTCATACCGTTCTTGGGAGGGCACTGCTGCTCTGCACTGTGGGTTTGTGGGTAACGCTTTCACGCCAGCGTTGGGTAGTGGGTTTGTGGGTAATGCTTTCAAGGGAGCATTGGGTATGTGAGGCTGCTGAGTATTCCTCCTGGCCGTCCTCTCATTTTCCTTCTGCTGCGCTGCTTTTAGCTTCATAATAAATTAACAGGCAGGTTACAAGATCATCTTACTGCAGTCTTTTTAGGACTTCAGAAAGACATGAAAGTGATTGAGGCTTATTACCAATACATGGTATGACAATTAATATCATTTACCTATCAATATAGCAAATATATGATAGTAAAATGAGTCAGAAGGAATAGAATGGAATAGATTCAGTTTATTGTCTTCATCCAAGGAAATTATTTCCCACAAGTTCATACATTGCATGGAGACAGACCAACAACACCATCCCACCAACCCAGTCGACCCAGACATTTACAATCATAGAGATAAAACTATCTATGTTTACAATGACATTTCCAGCAGGTATTACCTGTGCCGCATTGATGGGTCTATGGCTTGTACGGCTGGGACCCGGGGAGGCGGCTACCTGGTAGTTTGCCTGGATGATAGACCGGTAGTCAGCCCGGTAGTCTTCCCGGAGGTCTGCCTGCGCCAGGTGGTGGTCAGGTGTGCCAGTGCGGTGTGGTGATTTGTGTGAGTTCGTGGCAGTGGCAGGCATGGAGTGGCATGAAACTGAACGGGGACAAATATGGACAACTGAACCAGTGCGTTTGTTTCATTGTTGTGGGGCAATGGGGTGAGGGTTAGCAAGTGATACAGTGAAAGAATGTAAGTGTGTCCAAAAATGGTTTAGAAAAGAAAAAGAAGCAAAGAGTTAGTAAACAATTCACTTGAGAAGCCTTACCATTTTTGTGGGAATTAAAATATTATGTCCAAATATCCATAGATTTTACCAAAATGTATTATATGTCATTTTTTCTTAGCTTTAGATCTGGTCTTTATAACTTTCTATACTGTATATAACTGTTATTCTACAGGCCTGTAGAGTACCTTCTTCTTCTCTTGACTGACAATTATGACTCCTGCTCCTGCTCCTGCTCCTGGCTAGGTAGGAGCAGGTAGGGGTGAGGAGGCGACTGACCAGAGCCCTCTCCCAGGCAGTCAGGGGGGAGCGGCGAGGAGCTACAGAGGTAAAGCCAAGCATAGTGGAGAAAAGCCAATTAACAGGGACAGCGATAAAGAGAAAATACAAGACAGAGATAGAAAATACAAGTAAGAATTGGTAGGAAATAGGAGGAAAGTGAAGAAGAATTAGGGTTAAAAGATGTTACAGGGTGAAAAATAAGCTCGGTAGCATAAGGGTTAAGAGGATGAAAGTCAAGAAGACACTAAAAGGTAGTTCACTATATAGGAATAGGGTGTCATTTGAGACGCAGCCTTTATTAATTTACCGCTCTTGTTGTCGGTCTTCCTTCCTCGAGAGCCCTGGCTGAGTCTCTGCTTAATCCTCTGGCTCTTCTCCAAGGTCTTCTTCACCACAGACTCATAGCGCTCCTTCAGACAACAACACGAGCCTCAATGTCAGTGATATAGTAGTCTCTTCCCACATCCACTGTAGGTGCTGAGTTTGAGCATTATGACTAGTGATACAGTAACTTGGTCACAAGCTCCATAACATCATATTGAGCCTTAAAATCGTTTAGCTTCAGATGTGTACACAAAATGTGGAAAACAGTATCTGTATATTTTCTTCTCTGTAGAAAAACGGTTCTTATTGGAAAAAGCTGTAAAGCAACACTGGTGCCCACAATAGACACCTAAACCGAAGTAACTGTTGATCCATGCTGACCCAACATGCCGACCTGGAACCAACAGGACCCTGAACAGCTTATATCACCAAGTCATAAGTCTGCTAAATATTTAGTTAATAGTTAACCAAATAGCTACCCGGACTATCTGCACTGACCCTTTTTGCACTAACTTTGACTCATCACAAATGCTGCTGCTACTGTTTACTATCTGTCACTTTATTCCTAGTTATATGTAGTGCATATCTACCTCAATTACCTCGTACCCCTGCACTTCGACTCGGTACTGGTACCCCGTGTATATAGCCAAGTTATCGTTACTCATTGTGTATTTATTATCACTTTTCTATTATTTGTCTATTTTCTTTCTCTCTGCGTTGTTGGGAAGGGCCCGTAAGTAAGCAGTTCACTGTTATTCTACACCGGTTGTTTACGAAGCATGTGACAAATAAAATTTGAACTCACTGACTCCTCCTTCATTCTCTGCCTCCTCTTCTCCTCCACAGCAGTGCGCCTCCTCGCCTCCTTCTCTCTCTGCTCCTGAAGCCTCTTCTTCCTCTCCTCCATCTGTTGCTCATAGTGACGCATGGCCCTCTCCTCTCGAGCCAACCGGCCCAGCTCTCTGGAAACTACAAACACATTTAGTTGAGTTTTGTTTTGTTTATTCAGTGGTTCTCAACCTCCTTTGGTTATCACATTTTGCTCTGCCCTGAAGTACCCCTTCATATTGTGTGTATTTCTCAGCACCAGTATACAGTATTTAACCCATTTTAGAATAAGGCTGTAACGTAACAAAATATGTAAAAACTCAAGGGGTCTGAATACTTTCCAAATGCATTGTATCTTACATGACTCTTTTCAATATTAGGAATTGTATTAGCATTTTATGCCTTGAGAATAACATATTACATTTTGAGTAAATTTGTATGTGTATGGGTGTGTGTGTGTGTGTGTGTGTGTGTGTGTGTGTGTGTGTGTGTGTGTGTGTGTGTGTGTGTGTGTGTGGATGTGTGACAGAGAAAATATGTGTGAGAGAGAGGCAATGAAGGGGGCTCTTTATAGCACAAGCACAAAATAGCTTGGGATTGATTTTATACTGGGAGTGACAATGTTGATAGTGACAACCAACCCCACATTCCATGTGACAACCATCCCCAACCCCGCCCCCCCCCATGCTAATTAAGATGCTAGTTACCACACTGGTTGGCATAGGAACTCGTTTGAAATATATTTCCTCTTTTCAACAAACATAATTGTTCCAGGATGCTTCCATAATTAAAACATTTAAATAGAAAATACCAAGAATGTATTTATTTACACTACCCTGTGAAAAACACAAAATAAATCCCCTCACCTCAATGTTTTGTGTCATGCTGACATGAATTGACCAGGTGGATGAGTTATTTTGAAGAATTCACACATTTTAACCTTAAAAATATTACACAGCGCCATTTAGATTGGGACTAATTAGCACTGTGACAACCACCCCGTGAGACAAACAACCCGGTATCCCCTACAACTGATCATTAGGCCTATGTTCTTATGAGTCTTCCCAAGTACCCAACCTCCCGAGTGGCGCAGTGCTAGCTGTGCCACTAGAGATCCTGGTTCGAATCCAGGCTCTGTCGTAGCCGGCCGCGACCGGGAGACCCATGGGGCGGCGCACAATTGGCCCAGCGTCGTCCAGGATAGGGGAGGGAATGGCCGGCAGGGATGTAGCTCAGTTGGTAGAGCATGGCGTTTGCAACGCCAGGGTTGTGGGTTCGATTCCCACGGGGGGCCAGTATAAAAAATTAATAATGTATGCACTCACTAACTGTAAGTCGCTCTGGATAAGAGCGTCTGCTAAATGACTAAAATGTAAAATGTAAGTACCCCCTGGGTATAAGGCCAGGTACTCCCAGTGGCTACATACCAAGCTGTTTCTTATGCTCCTCCCTCCGCTCCAGAGCAGTCCTCCTCTTCTCCTCCTTCTCTCTCTGCTCCTGCAGCTTCCTCTTCCTCTCCTCCAGCTGTTGTTCATAGAGACGCCTGGCCCTCTCCTCTCGAGCCAACCAGCCCAGCTCTCTGGACACTGCAAACACATTGTGAGACTTATTAGCCACAATAATACCAGTACCCTGGTCCCAGATATTTGTGCTGTATCGCTAACTTCTAATAAACTCATTTGGTATGACAGTTTCCATGGGAGCTGGCAAAAAGACAGCACAAATAGATATGGACCAGGCTACTAAAATACTTTCAAGAAATGACAAAAATAAGTGACAGAAAATTGAGCGATCTCATTGGTGTATTAGCTGTGCCATCATCATGTGTGGGTATACATACCAAGTTGTTTCTCATGTTCCTCCCTCCGCTCTTTCGCTAGTCTCAGTCTCTCATCAACCTTCAGTGCATGGGGTCCTGGAATATTAGAAAAGATGTCACATTCACTCCACATCAAGTACATACATTAAACAGTATGGGTTTGGTGACATTACTGATCATGACAGGGAGTTTAAGATGGTTCTACAGTAGCTGGAGCTTGGTTCATATGAAGGGACACTATTTCTTTCATTCAGACAATATTCAGTTTACAATGGGTGGATTTTTTTGACTTAAAGTTAAGACATGGGGGGAAAAAAGCACAATGTCAGGTTATACTCAAACCGTTCTGTGAGGACAAAGCATGAAATTGAAAATGTCTTGATAGCGGTAGCGCACGTCAGAGGAAGACCACTCATGACGGATAACCTGCAAAGAACAAGCAGTACCCCAGAGAGAGAGAGAGATAGATAGAGAGAGAGAGAGAGAATAGAGAGATAGATAGAGAGAGAGAGATAGAGATATACTGTAAGTAGAGAGATAAGCGATCCTCTCTTAGTCTCATCGCTCTCTATCTCTAGATCTCGCTACTCTCGCGGCTATCTATCATATATCATATCTCTATTCAGACCATAGACCCCCCTATATCCATAGAGTATATCTAGGTCTCTCTACTCGCTCCCCCCCCCCTGCTGTATACCCTGCTGGGTTTCCAAGGGCGGTTGTGTGTTGGTACTGATCACAGCTGATTTGATGGAGGCAGGGACACAGATGACTGCTCTCCTCTTCTCTGAATTATGGGGCTTCATGTCGTCATTGCCTTTTTCTGAAATGAAATAAAGAATAAAAGAGAACATCTTGTTTAGGTCTCTCTGACTTTTTCAGCTGACTCAAAATGACTGTTATTTAGTCAGGATCATTATGAGATGAGAATAAGAAATGATAAGGTGGTCATACAGTAAATGTTTATGACAAGTATAACTGCATCATCATGGTTTATACCTGCTGGCAAAGTCTGAGACACATGACTGCCTCAGAAAAAGAGAATCCTATAATCTTAGTGTAAGATGCTTAATTTCCTTATACAGTAGGTCATATCATTCCAGTTTCCAGAAAACTGACTGGTCATACTTAATACAGGCACTAAGCCTCTAGGCTGAACGTTAGCTGTTAATAAAAGAGCTATTATTATGTGCCTGTTCCTGTTGTGCCTTGCAGGGGTAAACAAATGCCAGCGCCTGACACAAGTCTTCATGGAGATGGCTAAAAGAAAACAAGCACATAGAGACAGAAGAGGATAAGAAGAAAGACTTGCTTCACAGGAGGTCGCTAAATAGTGATAAGTACCATCTCAGAATTTTGGTGCAAGTGACGTACACAATAAATTATCATTCTCGAGCAAGTGAGGGACACACAAAAAATTATCTTCCTTGACACTCGATGTTATAATAATGGGCATTCATTTATCTTACTGAATCAGGCCTATGATGAGTGTTGATGTTTACCACAGTAGAGATAGAGGGTGATTCAATAAGCTACATCATTACCTCACTGTTTACAAAAAAAAATGGCAGTAGAGAATAGGATGAACATCTATGTACAAGTACGAGGCAATATCAGATCATCTGATCCATAGACATTTCCAAATTCCCCTGCTGTACATGCTACAGAATAAAACTCAATTAAAATAATGACTTCATTATCTGGCCTAGATACATGATGGAACATCTCCCCACTGATGATGAACTAGAAGGGAGAGGCTGATTCTGGTTCAGATAGCCTGCCCTGTATATAAACACAGTAAACAGTAAAGCTACAATACCAACCTCCATGTCATTCTATAAACACAGTGAACACTCCACAGCAAAGCTATCATCCTCACCATAGCAAAGCTACAGCTACCCACCACCCTGTATCCCTGCTTTTCTAGAAACACAGTAAAAAAATATATATAATATCAAAGCCACAGTAATCACCTCCCTGTCTCCCGGCTCTGCTATCTTTCTTCTGGTTGTCTTGATTATCTCTGGTAGAAAGCCCCTTTCTGTCTTCTTGGGATACTGTCTTCTTGCTGGGGGTCTCCCTCTGTTTCTCCTGTATCACAGCCATGTTACTGCTAGGCGCTGAGCATGGCATACCACAGCTCTGCCACACAACACAGACTCTCCTCCTCCTATGTTTCTATTTTAAGATGCCTGTACTGTACTGAAGGTCCTCCTGGTCCCCTGTGCTCACTGTGCAGCTGACCGACTGCCTTGACTGCCTCTTGCTTCAGCTGCTTGCTCGCATTTCAAACAAATAGAAGAGAAAAATTGAGGGAAAAGCCCTTTGGGGTAAACCAGCTGACTTGCTGGATCCTGCATCCAGGTCCAGTGAAGTGGAAAGCACAGATATGCATAATCAAAATAACACTGAGAAAAATCTATGAGAATATAAAATATATTTCTCTCTCCCAGTTCCACTGAGGGTCCTTCACAAGCTAGAATAGAGATATGGATGTTATATAGCCTAGTGAAAAGCTTTATTCTCGTTTCTCAGGGGCTGACTACTGTACTGAAATGGTTACTTCCCTTTTGAAAATCTCTCAGCTCACAGACCCTGGAGTGCTACTCTGATCTCTTTAGCTACTGTCACGTACTGCAGTCCTGTCACTTTAATTCAACCCCATCCCACCACCCACTGCTGAATGCAAGCAGCCATAGTTTGCATCCCAAATGGTACCCTATTCCCCATGTAGTGCACTACAATTCACCAGGGCCCATGGTCAAAAGTAGTGCACTGCATAGGGAATAGGGTGCTATTTGGGACTGAACCAGAGCCAGCTAAATGGATAAGAAATATTCAGTGCAGAAGAAATAGGGAAAGGAGGGAGGGAGGCAAAGACAGTCACTGGCAGGCAAATTAATCCATCTGGCCTTGTTCTGTGAATGGTTGCCGTGACAACAGTGGTACTGTGCTGTACTATATCCCAAATGGCATCCTATTCCCTATATAGTGCACTACACAGGGAATAGGGCGCCATTTGGGACATGAACATTAACTCACCCTAATGCACTCCACTGTTCTCGTTATGAATCTGATATTTATACCTTGCAATCCCACAATGCTTCACTCTAGTCTGGGTGAGTCAGCATCCTCATCAACCACTAGATGGAAGTCTTTCCTTGTTGGCTGGAGGTGGGCTAGACTCGACCCTAAATCAAACCATTCGAGAGAAGAATACAGTGAGTGTACTGACTGGCAGCGAGGGACTAGAGAGCTGGGCCTCTAGGAGAGTAGCTTAGCTTTAAGCCTCCTTACATCCAGGGGGATGTCTCAATACTCTACATCGTTTTCCTTTCTTAGTCTCTGATGAAGGGACTGGATAAGATTCGTCTTCTCATGTTTACATTTACGTCATTTAGCAGACGCTCTTATCCAGAACGACTTACAAATTGGTGCATTCACCTTATAGCCAGTGGGATAACCACTTTACAATATGATCAGTCATGGAGGAAAGGACAGAGGGAAAGGAATCAATCTCAAACTATTGAGTTATCAATTTATCTTAGTCCATCTGGACACTTCACCTAATGACAATCTACAACTGATTATTCATACAAAGTGAGATGCTCATTACATTAAAAACAATCTTTATTGTACTTCAGTCTGGATCGAACATCTACAAATTCAGGATGCCACATTTTTGTAAACAGTTTTTCACAATAAATGGGAAATCATAATCAAGTTCAAAATGAAAGTATGCAGCACATGACAACTTGTTACACTTAAAACAAGTAAAAGTCTGACTTCGCCTTGTTGTTATCATAACACATCACACGTGCACAAACTGAGACAATGTACTCATTGAAAAATCTGTATGAATGTCTTTATCACTGAATATCATCACATTCAACAACTACTGGCGAACCTTTTCTCTACATGGGGCATACATAACATTTTATCAGTAACCTAGGCCAGTATTCTTGGGCATGATTTCTATCCATTGAAAGTTTAGTCCACGAATAGCCTTACTCTGGGTTGGGGAAACCGGCCATAAATATCTGAGACCCTACCCTGTAACATTCAACCCATTCTGGATATGGCATGAGCCCACAGTCCTGCCGCCTTTGCCAGACCTAGTCTGTGTCACTATCCTGTCCTCCTGGGGGTCCTGGTTTGAGTCTGTCTCTATAAAGTGTTGTGTGACAGAGGTATCACTACCTGTGGGGGAGTCTACAGTCTCATAGCCCTCGCTAAGCTGGTTCGTTATGGTCCTAAAGTGGCTAGAGAGCTTGGAGTCTGTGCCTGTGGTTGAGGGAGATAGAGACGGTAGGGACTCCTGATCATGCTCTGTATTGATGCCTGTCTCTGCCTCTGTGAAAGGGCCAGGAGCTGTTTCTGTCCTATCAAAGGGGCTGGTGTTGCCTGGTCCGTTGGCCTTGACCAATCCCGCCTCGCAGTCCTTGCTCCGGCCAGCTTCTGGCTCTGGGTGGTGGTCCAGGGGGGCCGAGCGGGGAGCCGACCCAGGAACAGAGCTCTCTCTCAGGGTTAGCTGCTGACGGGTCTCCCGGAGCTGCTGCTGGAGGACCAGGATGGTGCTCTGCATGCCTTCCACCTCCTCGTCCAGCTGGATGATGAAGTCGTTCAACTCTGTGTGGAGACCAGAGAGACAGACACATCAATATTACCGCAGGGCACACATACCCAATTACCCATATCAAAAATGTATGCACTCACTGACTGCACATCACTTTGGATAAAAGAGTCTGCTAAGTGGCTAAATTATATTAGCATAGAAGAATGACAGAGCCACAACATAAAGGCAGCTGTATAATGTACTGAATAACATATTAATCAAATATGTACCACCAGGGCTCTAAAGTGCGACCTGGAGTTATATTTTGGCCGCACCAGTGCGACTAAGTGAAAATCCTATAAATAATTCAATGCGTAACAATAATTTGCCGCAACACTGTTCTCTACACTGTTCAAACGAGACAGGCTGCCTGCTTCTAGTTCCCGGGCCACACACACCAAGCCCCGCCCTCTGTCACAGTTCCTCCATGCTGTTTATTCTCTCAGCATGCTGTCAATTCATGCACTCAATATATTCTTCCAAAACAAAAACGATGCTGCTTTCCACGTGGCTTCTAAATATGAATCCACATGTTTTCTCTATTATATTATTATTTTGTAAGTTAGTTACTAATTTTGATTTGCGAGTTAGTATAAGGACGCTGGCATGTGCCTACAATTATGCTAATCTAGGGTCAAAAACTGCGACCAAAACACTCGCATTTGCGACCCTTTAATTTTCACGTTAGTTATTTTTATTATTACAATTTATTCAAACAACAATGGGTATGCAAACCAGGTATTCATAAAGGTTGGCCCGAAGTCTTGGTTGAATCTTTGCGACGCGCAATTGAGTCAACATGCGCTGTTTAATGAACATTTCTAAAGGCTTTCCCAAAAACCTTCCCAATTAAATGTTGACTGCAAAGTAGGCCTACTGGCTGAACGATATCATGATGATTTGTATCAATCGCGGGGCATTCGTTTTGCGAACTCTGCCATCACATATACGCTACACTGTAAATTGTACAGTACAAAAACACTGCTAGCCAAACACAATGGTCTCTTGCTAGGCACACAATTTAATTAAAGGACAACTACACCCTTCAAATCTTTTTATTGTGTATTTATTGTTCCCAGACCTCAAAAGTGGTCTCCTGATGTGGTTTAAGCATTGTTGTGGCGTTAGAAAAACTACAAAAAATTGAGGTTCTATTACAAAGTGTGATTTTGAGAGTGAAAACATTGGGGAAAAACTGGGAAAACTCAGAAACCTTGAAAAATACATCAGGAAAAACTGAATTTACCAAAAGATCAAACTGATTTATAGGGCCCTACAACTGTAGAGTGACGGTTCAAAATCGTTAACAATAACACCCTCTGTGAGATTTTTCCTTCCAAACGATCAATATAAATATGATAGTCAAGTTAAAATGTAATTATTTGGGTATGGAGGATAGGTCATTATAGGCTACTTGCTCAGCCCGCCATTTAAAGATAACATTTAAATGATAAACGCGTCATCCTCTTTCCCAGGCCAGTACTCTTTTCATTGCCGGTTTGCCACTGGCAAATTAACCTGAATGTCAAGCCCTTCAAGGGGATGCTAATTTAAAAAATGGCTAGTCATTATTAGCCTGGTTCTGTAATTTAATTCAAGTACATTATTGGACTCAGGTCAATATCGCGCACCAAATCATGTGCTGGTGCCATCAACTGAAAAAGTTTGTAGCACCAGTGGAAAAAGTTAGTTTACAGCCGTGTGCCAATCGCTAACTAGCTAGCTAAATAGAATAAATCATTATATTTCTATGATTCCAACAGTTCACCCAGGTGTTTTGATCTGTATCGCAAGTCAAATCGCAATATTTGGTTGAATAATCACAATTATATATTTTTGCCCATATCGTGCAGCCCTACTAACAACCTGATATATTTACCAGTATATGCAAACATTTGGTGTCATAGAAAGAAAGGAAAAGTGATATTTTCTTCAGGAGATGTGCTTTAAAAGTAAGTAGGATTCACATAGGCCCAATATAGGCTATATCTCAATCAATTAAAACAATAAATGTTTCTGGTGCTCATAATCTGATGTGGTGGTGCGCCTAACTTCTTGAAGTTAGGAATACCAGTGCTACCAATGATTTATTTTAATTTAGAGCCCTGTGTACCACAGAAATAGTGAAATAGCTAAGGATATAGAGAGACTATAGTACTCACCATCCTGGCTGCTCTTGAGCTCCTCGCTATACTTCTTCTGCAGGGCCAGCTCTGCCTCCAGCTGGGCGATACGACCCTGAGAGATCTGTCTGCCCAACTCCTGGTTCTCCTGGATCAACATCCTGCACTTAGCCATCAGCTTCTTCCCAGTCTGGCTGCAGAGGAGACAGGGGTTAACGTCAACATGATGGACTATACACACACAACTATATATAACGTCAAAAGACAGTCCCAGCAGCCCCAATGCTCAGTCCCTCAAAGATATCAGTGTGGGTTTTTTAAGATACCAACTCACACAGCAAACAAGAACGATGGGCATTAGTTTGATGGCAACCAAGATTCAAGGCAATATGATCATATGTTGTCATATATATCATAATACAATATACATTTTGCCCATTTGACTTACCAAATGCTTACACTGCTACCTGAACCAGTTACAGTTGCTAAACAAGTTCAACATTTAGGTGAAATAATTTAAACACATACATCTGAACTAGACCTTGGTAACACAGGCCTGCTTTCAACAGTGCTGTCCAAAAATTGCACAATTCAACTGAACAGAAAAAGTTTGGATTATTGTGTGATTAATAAATGAAACAGTCATACCTGGGTATCGTTCATATTACTGAAAAAGGTGTTCAAGATGACTCCTTGAAGCAAGCCCAGGATCACTATAACAAATGTATTTAGTGTTTAACAGTCTCTGGACTGGGCCTTGTGCAAGTTCCTCCATTTCAACTATTTAACTTAACTCAATATCTATACTCTATGTGGAATGGGGTCAGTGACTTTTAAGTTAGTACATGTTTTCTCCAACAAATGCTAAGTAAGGAGACTACAAGTTGTGTGTTCTAGGCCTAAGCCATTCACACTGAAATGTTCCCATCAAACCAAACAAAGTATAGCAATGTTCCTAGCGGGGGAGGGTTTGGAGGTTGAGTGTCAGTGACCATCTCTTCTGAGCAGTCCCGATTCCTTCAAGCCCCTTAACAGGGTCACTCAGAGCTGAAACCAGTTCACCTGACAAAGAGTTTATGACATATGCAGGAGGAGTAGTGGGGCTGATCTGATCTGTCTCTCTTTCCTTTTTAAAAAGTCACAGTCATGTTTGAGCGCATTGCATTTTCCTGCCTTCCTTTCCCTCCATTTTGCATTCTTGCAGAAGAGAGTCAGTTGTCTGGCTGGCACAGTCTTTGGCTGGAGGATCGAGGGTTATTTTGGTTTGGTTTACCTATCAGGTGTAAATTTCCAGGCATTTAGTTCATTTTGGGCTTGCTCCAATTTGTCTTTGTTCTCTTCCAGTTCGCTCTTCATCTTGAGGAAAAACAAGTTGACCGCAGGGTCCACCATGGTAGATCTCAGCTGGGCCACATTGGGTTGCTGGGCTTGCTTCAGGTACTGGATCTGGGTCTGAAAATTGGTGAAAATAATACATTTATTAACCATGTGTAACCAGAACACTCAGGTCCCAAGAAAGAGCAACAGTAGGTACAGTAAATCAAGTTTCCCCATTACAATAAAGTGAGGGAAAAAAGTATTTGATCCCCTGCTGATTTTGTACGTTTGCCCACTGACAAAGACATGATCAGTCTATAATTTTAATGGTAGGTTTATTTGAACAGTGAGAGACAGAATAACAACAACAAAAATCCAGAAAAACGCATGTCAAATATGTTAAGTTGATTTACATTTTAATGAGGTAAATAAGTATTTGACCCCTCTGCAAAGCATGACTTAGTACTTGGTGGCAAAACCCTTGCTGGCAATCACAGAGGTCAGATGTTTCTTGTAGTTGGCCACCAGGTTTGCACACATCTCAGGAGGGATTTTGTCCCACTCCTCTTTGCAGATGTTCTCCAAGTCATTAAGGTTTCGAGGCTGACGTTTGGCAACTCGAACCTTCAGCTCCCTCCACAGATTTTGTATGGGATTAAGGTCTGGAGACTGGCTAGGCCACTCCAGGACCTTAATGTGCTTCTTCTTGAGCCACTCCTTTGTTGCCTTGGCCGTGTGTTTTGGGTCATTGTCATGCTGGAATACCCATCCACGACCCATTTTCAATGCCCTGGCTGAGGGAAGGAGGTTCTCACCCAAGATTTGACGGTACATGGCCCCGTCCATCGTCCCTTTGATGCAGTGAAGTTGTCCTGTCCCCTTAGCAGAAAAACACCCCCAAAGCATAATGTTTCCACCTCCATGTTTGACGGTGGGGATGGTGTTCTTGGGGTCATAGGCAGCATTCCTCCTCCTCCAAACACGGCGAGAATTGATGCCAAAGAGCTCGATTTCGGTCTCATCTGACCACAACACTTTCACCCAGTTCTCCACTGAATCATTCAGATGTTCATTGGCAAACTTCAGACGGGCCTGTATATGTGCTTTCTTGAGCAGGGGGACCTTGCGGGTGCTGCAGGATTTCAGTCCTTCACGGCGTAGAGTGTTACCAATTGTTTTCTTGGTGACTATGGTCCCAGCTGCCTTGAGATCATTGACAAGATCCTCCCGTGTAGTTCTGGGCTGATTCCTCACCGTTCTCATGATCATTGCAACTCCACGAGGTGAGATCTTGCATGGAGCCCCAGGCTGAGGGAGATTGACAGTTCTTTTGTGTTTCTTCCATTTGCGAATAATCACACCAACTGTTGTCACCTTCTCACCAAGCTGCTTGGCGATGGTCTTGTAGCCCATTCCAGCCTTGTGTAGGTCTACAATCTTGTCCCTGACATCCTTGGAGAGCTCTTTGGTCTTGGCCATGGTGGAGAGTTTGGAATCTGATTGATTGATTGCTTCTGTGGACAGGTGTCTTTTATACTCCCTTTAAGAGTGTGCTCTTAATCTCAGCTCGTTACCTGTATAAAAAAGACACATGGGAGCCAGAAATCTTTCTGATTGAGAGGGGGTCAAATACTTATTTCCCTCATTAAAATGCAAATACATTTATAACATTTTTGACATGCGTTTTTCTGGATTTTGTTGTTGTTATTCTGTCTCTCACTGTTTAAATAAACCTACCATTAAAATTATAGACTGATCATTTCTTTGTCAGTGGGCAAACGTACAAAATCAGCAGGGGATCAAATACTTTTTTCCCCTCACTGTATGTCACTAACACATGTTACTATCAACTGTCGTTCCCTTGATTTGTGATCATTTTAGCATTTTCATACAGGGTTGGAAAACTCAAACCAATGGACTTCAGACACAGAACAACAACAACATATCACCATACTCACAGTGCATTCTTGCATCTCCTGCTCCTTCGTGGCCAACCTCATAACAAGGATGTTCTCTCTCCTGGCAGCCTCTTGTTGCTGCTGCTTCAGCTTCTCCTCAGACTCCCTCAGGCCCGTCACATCATTTGCTGCAGAGTCAAAACAGGATAGATTTCAGTTGCTTGTGCAGATCTTTGAAGAGACTTATTTGTTCAATGGGCATTCATGCATGTTAACATTTAAGAGTTCAGCGTTACTTACAATTCAACTCTGAATATTTTGTCTCAAGTATCTGCACATAAGCATCCTCCTGCTTCCACCTGAAAGAATATTAAACTATTCATAATGGTGCATATGAAGAAAAGTAATCTTGCAGACTTGCACACTAGCAAAGTTAGCTAACTTATAGCAATACCTTTCACAGAGCTCCTCTCTGGTCAGAGTCTTCAGATCAGCTTCACTGAGGCGAACCTTCATAGACAAATGGGATAATAGATCAGTATTAGTACTGAGACTTTTGACTCTGGTCTTCACTAGGTAAAGTCACTTGAGGCAAAAGTCAGCTTGAGAAAGGTTAATGCAAGGTACTTCTTGAACTCACCTTTTTAGGTAAAGGTTCCTCAGTCATTCTGGCCTTAGGGATACCTTGAAATGATTTATAATCAAAGCTTGATCATTATATAGTTTAGTTAGCTAGCGTTATTTATAATTGTAAGTGTTTTAGCACTAGCAGCTGCTAGCTAGCGACCTAGTTAGGCCAGCTAGCAACACATTAGATAGCTAGCAGGCTGGTTAGGTAAGCATAAGTAACGTCCGTTAGCCCACAGCATAGTTAGTTACCATTAGTTAGCTAGCTAGCAGTTATTTATCAAATATACAGGGATATAATTTACAATATAGCTAGTTAACTACCTACACTATTGGTAAACAAGCTCATTTCACTTAGCAATATGGCTAGGCTCGGTAGCTTCTAGCTCTGGACCATGCGCATGCGTCTGGTCTGCACTACGACGCATGCGCATGAACTAGAGCAAATTTAGCGGTAAACAAAGTAGCTAGTTCGTGTTTTGGAGAAATTACAGCTTTACTCTGGCGAATAACGAGAGTGTATTCAGCGCGTTGAAGAAAGCGCAAGCCACACGTAAAGCCCTGTAACAGAGCTAGGTAGCTTCTGGCTAACTGTCTTAGCTAACGTTAGTTAACTAGCTAGCTGGCTGAGCAAGCTCAGCTACTGTACCTAATATCTGGTAATACACTGACCTGTAAGCTTGAACGGTGAACTTGGTCAGTTAGGCAAATTATGCATTAACAGTTAAGTCGTCTATCTTGGTATATTTTTACAGACTTAGGTTGCTTGCGCCATGTTGTCCTGCATCGCCGCCAAGTGTTGAAAGACAGGAAACATGCAGCCAGCCAGGAGGAACGCAAGTGCACGAGGAGCGAAAGCGTCACAACAACTTGTGGGATTGCGCGCGTGCCCGAGGCCAGGGACATCTTCTTTTTCTTCGAGGGTTAACGGCGGTTGGCATCCAATAAATGTTGCATTACCGCCACCTACTAGACTGGAGTATAACTCCCTTATACTTTGCTTTTTTTTTTTTTTATAAAAAAGGAAATAAATCAACAAATACCCTATCATCTTACACTACACTCATTAAAAACCCACCACCTTGCTCCACTATTTAAATATATATAGTCCTACCTCAGGCCAACAGCCTGAAAGGACGGGACACCACCACACAACACACCCTGTAATTATTCGGACATCAAGTCTCATACACCTAAGTACTTCTCTACAGCTGCCACCACAACCTCAATTTTTTGCGACTTACGTTCCATCCCTGCAGTACAGTTGATAACCATTGCTATAAACACTAAAACAGTTGATAGCCATTGCTATAAATGCTAAAAATCCAATCTTACTAAAGCATACACTCTCGTTATTGGCCCCGTGTAGCTCAGTTGGTAGAGCATGGTGCTTGCAACGCCAGGGTTGCGGGTTCGTTTCCCACGGGGGGCCAGTATGAGAAAATGTATGCACTCACTAACTGTAAGTCGCTCTGGATAAGAGCGTCTGCTAAATGACTAAAAATAAAAACAAATAAGGAAAAAAAAAACACTTGTTGGCCTATCCCTCTGTACTGGCACATATCTACTAGTCATCACACCACTCTTCTCAGGATCCCTCCCCCTTGACCCATCTTCTTCTACTTTCTTCACTGCCTCAGCATACAATAACTTCTGCACTACTCTAACCCTGTAAACCTCAACCTGCCTCTCTCACACTGGACATTTCTGATCCCCAGCCCCATGGACACCCCTACAATTAACACATACCACTTCTTTCCCCAATGTTACACATTCCTATGTCTCATGCCCTTCTGCACACTTCTCACACCTAGGAACCTCCCTCCTACACACTGCTGCCACATGCCCATAAACTTGACACCTGTAACAACATAATGTATTCAGCACAAAAGCTCAAATCAATCAAATCACATTTTATTTGTCACATGCGCCGAGTACAACAGGTGTAGACCTTACCGTGAAATGCTTACTTACAAGCCCTTAACCTACAATGGAGTTCAATAAATAGAGTTATGAAAATATTTACTAAATAAACACAATCAAATAACAATAACGAGGCTATATACAGGGGGTACCGAGTCAAGGTAATTTGAACATGTAGGTTAGGGTAAAGTGACTATGCATAGATAATAAACAGCGAGTAGCATCAGTGTAAAAACAAGGAGGGGGGGGGTCTTATGGTTTGAGGGTAGAAGCTGTTAAGGAGCCTTTTGGACCTAGACTTGGCGCTCCGGTACCACTTGCCGTGCGGTAGCAGAGAGAACAGTCTATGACTTGGGTGACTGGAGTCAGGATGCTCTCGATGGTGAAACTGTATAACTTTTTGAAGATCTGGGGACCTATGCCAAATGTTTTCAGTTTCCTGAGGGGGAAAAGGTTTTGTCGTGCCCTCTTCACAACTGTCTTGGTGTGTTTGGACCATGATAGTTTGTGGACACCAAGGAACTCGACCCGCTCCACTATAGCCCCGTCGATGTGAATGGGGGAATGTTCGGCCCTCCTTTTCCTGTAGTCCACGATCATCTCCTTTGTCTTGCTCACATTGAGGGAGAGGTTGTTGTCCTGGCACCACACTGCCAGGTCTCTGAACTCCTCCCTATAGGCTGTCTCATCGTTGTTGGTGATCAAGGCTGTCTCATCGTTGTTGGTGATCAGGCCTCTCATGCGGAATAATTTATATATCCTAACATCACTTTGTCGGGCAAAGACTTAACATCACAACTCAAAAGAACAGACGACTCTTCTGTTTCACCATTCACGCCACCCTGTCTGCATCGCACCAAACGACGAGCTTCACAAACACCGGGAATCTTCCCCTTCAGTTGGTGAACTTTCACCGCTACCCCAGTAATCACTCCTTTCAATGGCAACCTTTTCTTGAGAGAAAAACAATTCACATCTCTTGTCCCCATATTATTTGACGCGGAGCGCCTGCTCCCTCTGACCAGCAGAAACACAAACAATTATCACAAGACCACTTCTGGTTACCTTCACCGATTCCACAGTACCCAACTCTGTTTTCACCCACCCTGAATCCACACTTTCCCCAAAAATGTCACTCCTACCATCACAGACCTGACCCTCAGTGCAAGCCTCGGGCTCCGAGAACTTCACCACACCTACCACCTCCGACAATTCTCACTCACTTCCATTTCTCCTCCTGTCTTCGATTCGGCGTACAGCTCACTCTGCTTACAATTTCTACCATTCCTCTTTAACAAACCATCTCCCTTTTCCCCACCATTTTTAACTGATTCAAGCTCACCCTCTTCCTCCCTCTCTCTCTTCGACCTCCTCTGCCTCTCTTTTTCCCTTAATTCCTCCTCTGTATTCCAAGTATACGTATCCTTATGATAATATTATACTTCCCCTAACAAACATATCGTTCTTGCCCTCTCAATAGACGCCATTTCCCTTGCTACCTGTGGATCCTCCTCCTATCTATGGCAAAACTAGCTAACTCACTTCTAGAGCTATGTTCTGCCCTTCCTTCGTTGTGATTGGTCAGACTCCGCCAGGGACATCTGCTGTTGTGTTACAGTATATTCTGTTGTGACTATGCTAGCGATAATGTCACAATATAATGTACATTTAATATAGGCAATAGCAACAGTTCAACAGTCGCCTCCAGATGACATACCTTTACTCATTATCATATTCACTGTGTGGTGACTGGTGTTGGGTTCTATTTTTCTCATAATTGGATCTGTATGTGATGAATAGCTTGGAAGGAATGCATTAATGAACTGTACTGATATAAATTGTTTCACATAACAGGCTGTTATTCATGTAAGGAACGTTAGGGGCTGGGATGAGATAAGACTTGTATTTCTCACAGATACGAACACTCTCTCTTTGTTGTCTGTGAAACTGTCCTTGAACATGGGTACATGGAGTACAGTGGAATGGTGTCTTTTGGGTGCTGACTCCACAGGTTATAATGATAGCAACTTATGCCTGGCAAACAATGTGCAACAAATGAAATGCCGAGGAGTTGGGACCAACCCCTGCGCCAACGGATTGGCTGAACCACACTCAGTCCTTTGCTCTGGTTGGCCAACAGAAGAAGTGGAGGCTTTCTGTCAGAGTATTTGAAGAAGAACTTAGAACAATGGATCAGTTCTCTGTCTGCCCTGCGTGGTTTTTCAGTGAGCCCGTATACGAACCTTCATACTTATCATACATACATTTTGCATATAATAAATTTAGCTTGGATTGAATATCTCTTGATTATGTTTTCTCTTATTCCAATACCAGATTTGAATTACGCAATTTCTAACACTGGTAAGACTCTTCAGAAGCTAGCATGTGGTCTATATCAGGCCTAGTAATACCACAGATAAAAGTTACCAGTATCTTTGCTAATACCAATACACTGGTAGTTGTTTCGCAGCTGGAGAGGCAAAATCTACAATAGATTTGTGTTAATTTCCCTCAAGGTTGTTAAGGAACATCAAGTTACTAACATGAGGGACCTTACTAACAAATCAAATCAAATGTTATTTGCCACATGTGCCGAATACAACAGGTGTAGACATTACCATGAAATGCTTACTTTCAGCCCTTAACCAACAATGCATTAATTTTTTTATAAAAAAGTAAAATAAAACAACAACAACAAAAAAGTGTTGAGAAAAACAGAGCAGAAGTAAAATAAAATAACAGTAGAGAGGCTATATACAGGGGGGTACCGGTGCAGAATCAATGTGCTGGGGGCACCGCTAGTTGAGGCAGTTGAGGTAATATGTACATGTAGGTAGAGTTAAAGTGACTATGCGTGACTAACACCAGGTATTAACATGAAGTCCTATGACAATAGACCTTGTCTCGCTCTATGCCTCTCTAAGCCAGGTAGAAAACATGCACTCCTATTGACAATGCTTCTGCCTCTCTCTCTGCCTTTAATACGCCAGGTTAAATTCCCCAGGAGACTGTCAGGATGACAGTATGACACATAACACCCCAGTCATCAGATGGCATACCTACAAAGCTACTGGAGCACAAACATATCTCCAGCCATCACCCGTCTGTCCCACATCC